GGATGTCAGCAAAGAAAGGTATTCACAAATCAACTTCTCCTACTTATTACTCTTGTAAACACAAACTTCGCCAGCTGCACAACAAGGCACAGAGATTTTGAGCTAGACAATCTGAATTGTGCATGGACACAATGGAAGGACACTACCTTGTCTTTGCAGTTATTGTTACACATGCCAAAGGGCCTGCATCATTCAGTTGCTTTTCTCCGAGAGACATGCATGAAAAAGTGATGACTTCAAAACCTGATTGCTGTCGAATCACATTTAGATGGTGCAGCGTGTCAGACAGTTTAAGAAGCTAAGAAAGTGGACGGGGTGCTGCATGTGCACACCTCAGGAGAGGGATTTCTCAAGCTGTGTGCCAACATTATCCGACCTCCTCGTGGCTTGTCGCGAGCGAATCATTGCAGGTGCAAGAGCAGCTCATGAAAGTGAACTACTGTGCTCGTCGTTTGGAAATGGCATTCAGCTAGCTAACGCTTTGGACTGATTCAGATCAAGCGTGACGAAGCCATATCCAGCCATTGCAGACAGTGCATTTACAGTAATATATGATAATACTACTCCTCTTTTTCACTACCTATATACGCGAACTCATGTATACGTTTACAAGTTACAGCTTGGATACAGTTTTTATGTCAATTAAAACAAAGAAAGTGGTAATGTCACCTATTTTTATCCACGCAAAGACAACAGAACATATGTGTGATATTTTCTTGTGTCTCAGTGGTAAATAGGTCAGTGCTAGTGCTGTACAATGTGTCATGGTAGAAGAAATATGTCTCTCTTCCTCTGACTTTGTTCCTCTCAACATTTTCTTTACATTCTCTTTTCTGGATCCTGGTCTAACTCTGTCTAACTCTGTGCAGCTGGAAATGCCTTATCTTGTGTGTCCCAAGGGCCCTATAAGAGTCCTCTCTGAAACCCCTCCTCCCCTCCTCAGTCCCCCAGAGGTAAGACCCCGTCCCACCCCACCCCACCCCTCCTCCCTGCCATCCACGAGAGCATCTGCTCCCAACGTGGCAGCCTGCAGCCCTCCCTCCCTCCTCTTCCTCCTCCCTCTTGGTTTGCTCTGGATAAGTGAGCTTCCCATCTCCAACCCGTTACTAACAACCCTCCAGTATTTACCTGTCCTGGCTGCATCCCAGGTCTACTTTAGGGGTAAGAGTCCAGGACTCCTAGTAAACCTCTGTCAGAGAAAGAAATCTTCCCAAAAAAAAGGGGGAAATCAATTTGACACCCCTCTAAATTTCATTTTATCCTAGCCTTAGACTTCTGACTAGACGTCTGATTAGGTCTTCGCTACTGAGTTTTAAATGTACTCAGTGGCCTCACCATGCACGGAATTCAAACACAAGGTAAACTGGTTCACTCTCAAAGTCAGAGTAATCTTTTCAAGTTCTCCAAAAATGCTGAAGAGTACCATGTATACAGAGAGTTGTGGCTTTAACACACTGCAGATGGTCGATGCTAAGTCTAAGTCGATGCTTCAGTCCATGGAGTTTTTTTTTGTTTTTTTTTTAATTGCTCAGCCTGAGGCAAAGCTGCATATTTATAAAAAAAAATCATAATAAACTCAGTCATGGTGTGTTTCAGCCACACCAGTCTGCATGTCTTAATGTCTATGAGGAAGAACTGGATTACTATGAAAATGAGAAATTTGGGACACAGCCATGGAGTAGACACTGCACTAACAACAAGACAACTCACATCCGTCACATTTTGTCCAGCTAATAGTTGTTTTGAGATAACTGCACCTTGCTGTGGAGTGAGACTCTTCTTCAGACGCCCTGTTTGTCTCGTTGGCTCTGGTTTAGTGGTCAAAACTAACTCTCTGACACACGTTTGAGCAGAGATATCTTCGAGTGGATTGTTGTTGCAGATAACAAATCATAATAGCTACATTTGCCTCTGCTCATGCAACATTTGTATTTTTTAATTGTCTAATGATTACTTTATTAGTGTCATTGGAAAAGTCTGTAGCTCCAGATAAATACAGTGCAAGTACAGAACAAATCCAATAGAACAGTGACAGCAGTAGTGTGTGTATTGTGTGTGTGTGTGTGTGTGTGTATTGTGGTGTGTGGGGGGGGTGGTTTGTCTTATTGTCAGCAGCAGGGGGGTACAGTGGCCGTGCGCCTCTGCGGGCCTCCCTGTGGGGGTTATTTACTGGGTAACAGAGATGCAGTTCTGCTGAGTCTGTCACATTGAACATGCACTCGAAATGCAGACACACACATGAGAACACACAAACTGCACATACACGGTTCACGGTTGTGTATATGAATATGGGCACAGACCATCACATGCGAATGCATTCTGTATATAACATAAATCTGTTACTGCTGTATTAGACACACTCACAGCGACACTTCCTCTGCCAGGACCAGTTCATTCAGATGAAGGATGACCACCCAGCACAGGCACACGCAACCTCTGAAATTAGACACATTTATAACAGCTGTGACAAACACGCACAAACACAGAGATGCACTGTTTCTCATTTTCTCTCATAAACAAACACAGTTTACCTCCCTCCCTTGTTTACTTTTTGCTTTTTTCCATCAACAAAGACTGTTTTCACCTTCACAGTGCTGTGAAGCTCTGTTGGACAGATGGTAGTTTGATGGCCTTATGAATCTGGATGCTTTACCTGTGTTTTATCTGTCTGCCACCTGTCCTTCCTGCCACTCCTAATTGTACTATCAATAAAGCCAAAATCCCATAATAATAGTCTATAAACCTCTGAGTAGTATTGTAGTATGTTCACTTGTTTTTTTTTTTGTTTTTTTTTTGCTGATGGTGTTCTTTAATACCTGTTTAAATAACTGCCAAGAGACGGTGCCTGCAAACCTGTCAGGAAGTCAGAGGTTAGTCAGAGTAAAACTAATCTTCCAAATTATATGGCAGACATGCAGCTGAGGCTCAGCACAGTTTGGAAAATAATAAGTTAAAATATCTGATCTTCTGATGCAACTCCTTCTGCCACAGCATACAGTGTTGTTAGGACACAGCGCTGTCTCACGTTTGTCAGTTCAGATATATGAATGTGTGGGAGAAGGTCATTTATCTGAGTGTGTGTGTGTGTGTGTGTGTGTGAGAGAGTGCAGAGGCTTCCCCTCAGCCAATGCCTCATCAGGGGTAATGGGCCATGATGAATCAGAACCTAATCAATGTGCATTACCATTAGGATTTATTCCCACGCTCGCTTTCAGCCGCCCCGCCACCGCAGTGGACGGGCGAAAATCAACATCATTTAGTCAAACCCGACCAGATGCTGTCCACATCCCATGTTGTGTTGAATCAGCCAGCATGTTTCATTTGAAGACCAGCATGTGGCGCACACACACACACACATACACACACACACACACACACACACACACGCACGCACGCACGCAGTGTGGTATAAGCAGGGTAGGCCACCCTGGAGGATCTATGGTACATAAAAGAGATCGATTAGTATTGGTTTTAATGGAGCGTACCGGTGTCGCAGGCACTGAAATTACATTTCAGAGGCCTTTTCTTTACCTCGCCTAGAAACTTTTCTGGGGGAAACGATACACGACAAATACGCACTCACACAAGTACACAACCTCTAGTGGTGTTTCTGCAACCAGAAATAGAATTGCAATAATTGTTTGATTCCTCAGAAGCTAGGAAGTCAACAGGGGAAAATGTTGTGTGTTTGTTTTTTTTGTAGAATAAGTTTTATTTCATCCAGTGTACCACAGTTTGCTTCATACCTGACTTATTAATAACCACAAGTCTTTCCTTTCTAAGCTAATAACCTACCCTTAAAGGATATGTCTGGCAATGTTATATATTTTGCTTCATATTAACAAATCACATGAAAAGACCAAAACCAGCAATGAATTCATTGAAAAGTATTGAGTCTGTAGCCAAAGCCTGACATGGCTTATTCCTCTGTGTGCCAGAGCTCTCACAAAAACTATTAAAAACACATAAACTAGCCACACTGTTGCACTGGGTGACATGGTTATTCATTATCACGAACATGGACACTGACAAGTGCACTATTTACTCCAGTTTTAGAAATCTACAATACCCAGCTGGTTTAGGAAATGTTTATGACCTTTACAAAAAAATGAAACCATAAATTTGTGACCTGTTTTTGAGGATTCACATCTTCAGTATGAAGCAGTGGGCTTGAAGCCGAGTGCCGCAGGCAGGCCAGGGAAGTCAGAGTATTGTTGATGCATTGCTGTTGTTAGTCTTGTCATGGATTTGTGGACATAAAGAAAAACATAGAATAACACCATCTCCATCCTTATCCTTAAAATATGTACTAATACAGGTAGACAATGTGTTTTCAAATGAACTGTTTATGCCAGGATTGCAAATCATTTACTAATATGAATGCATAAGGTGGTTCAGGATAACTCAACTGACTGAGAAGGCCTTTTCATGCATATCAGTATTTAGTTACACTGTGAAATGCCCCTAATTCATTTTAGTGTCTTCCTTGTGCCACAATCTGCCATGTGTTATTTTGGGTTAACTCTTGCATGTTGTGTGTTTGTTTTGCATTTCATTCTTCAGCGTGCGTTGTTGTCGTTGTAGGTTTGAAAGTCTTTCCCACATGTAGAAACACACCTTTGTAGTTTGTCCTCCCATTCCAGTGAGATCTCTCCCTTTCTACCTGAGTCTCCTTTCTTTTTGCGCGGTTGCCAGTGTGTGTGTGTGTGTGTGTGTGTGTGTGTGTGTGTGTGTGTGTGCACTAGACCATGTGCACCGCTGTGTCCCACCTGCATTGTGACGTCCCCGGGGCTGTGCACGTTGTCATTTTCTGTTTAACAGCACTTTTCTTTTCCCCTCTTTCCCTTTTGTCCCACTTGCTCTCACCGCCCACTCTGTTTTTGTCCCTGTTGACTGTGTGCAGCGGTGTTACGCTCAATCCTGTGCCGTGTTGATTTTTTTGAACCCCCCTCCCCTCACCCCTGGTGCTTCTCTTGTGGTTTTTGTTTTTGTTCTTGTAGTTGCAGGACCCCCGCATGTATGATCAGGTCTATAGGTACTTAGACCTTCCAGGGCAGGTATGTGAAAATACAGCGATTATTTCAAAACACTGTGTGTGATTTCTGCTACAGCAGCTTGCTGCTCAGTTTCTTTGCAACCCTGTAAAGTGTGTGTTGAAAGTCAGTCATGCTGAAGTCTGGGAGGCAGGGAGTGCTGTTTGATGATGGACATGAGATTATCGTTGTTGCAATATATAAAAAATGTTTTCAAATTGTCACTTTATTGCTTGTGCTACTTTTCCAAAGTTCCATGCTTTCGATAAAGTTACATGCACTACGATGATTTGATCAGTCACTGAGCACTCCCTGTTCCCAAGCTTGTATGACATATTTTCTTTTCTGTGAAATGCTTCTCCTTAAAAAAAAAAAAAAACTGTTGTGTCTTCAGAGAGCTAGTTCACTACACTGTCAAGTCCACATCCCCTAGTTTAAGATGGATAGACATCTCTCAGGCGATTTGATTATAGCTGCCAAATGAAAGTGAGTTGTTTAAGAGGAAGGCTTTGGTATATGGGTATTTATGTGGATGTAGCAGTATTTAGTAACAGAAAACAGCCAGAGGGGGCAACTGAGACCCATGTTTAAAATTTGGATTGGATTATATGTTTGGTGTTCTACTTGAAATAGTCAGTTTCTTTTACTCGTGTTTCTCATTTTACTTTTAAATCTGACTCACCTTTTCCTGTTGTTGTAGTGTAACAGGCAGTCACTGTATGTTTTTTTCATATAGGATGACATGAAATGTATTTAACAGCAGCTAATCTTACCTTCTCTCTCCTCCTCCTCCTCTCTCCCTTCACTATGTTCTCTCTCTCCATCCCCCAAACTATCTCTTGTGGGCTCGTCCTCCGTTTGACTCTCACCGTCTTCCGCCTCTTCCCTCTAACCCTCTCGTCCCGCACCATCATCACCGTCGTCTCATTCTGCCACCTCATCACCCTCCTCTGGCGAAGCTGAAGGCGATAGACCGTCCACAGGAGCCGGAGAAGGTACCGCGGGCGCCTCACGACCGTAAAAAGGAGTGGCAGAAACTGGCACTGGGTGCAGAGCTGGCCCAGGACATACCTGAAGACAAACACAGAGAGGCCAACGGATCTGCGGGTTACCACAACAACCGGTATGTGAAGGTGGAGGTTCGGTATTCATCACACATCTCATAGTCGGAAATGAGTGTTACCATGCTAAAATTCTTTAGGTGTGTTACAGGTGTGAAACTCACATGCGCATACTTCTTGGAAACCGTAGAACATCTAATTTAAAATCTCAATGAGCTTCAACAGTGCTGATTGGGTAAACATTGATTTGTCAGCAGGATGTCATCCCTCCATCGACAAAAATAAATTGTGCCCACTCCACCGAGAACGGGTTCTTGCAATTTACACTCCACTGGCACCGAGGAAAACGCAGCTACAACAGCAATGATTAAGGTCCCCCTCGCAGTTGTGATTGCATTTATTGTGCCTCAAAGCTCCAATGCCACTCATATTCAGTAATTTCCCTGCCAGTCAATGTGATGAATAAGAAAAGATTTTATGCAAATTGGTGGTTTTCTTGGGTTTGTCAGTGCCATGAACAGCTGTCACAAAATCCTTTCTCCAAGCGTAGATGAGGATGGATTTCTTGAATGCATGCTAAGGTTTGCATGATGGACAAATGCGCAGAGCAGCACTGCCATAGCAAAAAAAGTTGTTTTTTTTTTTTTTGTAGCTATGGCACATTTGCATTTATTCTTAGGTTAAAAAAAAATAAAAATATACAAAGCACCAGATCAAACCCAGCTGGTGTGAGCAATTAAAAATGAAGTAGTTTTTGATGAAGGCTAAAATAAAGCGTGTACAAGTGATGGATGGTGGGCTCAACTTCTTTTACATGCAACAATAAGCTGAAACAATTGGGAACCGTGGGCTCTATTCTTCACCACAATGTCTGATATTTTGTTTAGATTATTTATTTTGCTCATGTTTACCTTACGAGAGAAAAGGAGGATTCGTGCACCAGCATAAAAACAATCATTCAACCCAGAAAAACCAGAAGAATAAAAACATAAGACGAGTCAAGGACAAGTGAGAAAATGAAAACGTAACTCTCTGCTCAGGGCTCCCTTGTACATGGAGCATTTGGACGGGCATTTCTCGCTGGCGGCGCTGCCCTACAGCCAGATGAACGAGCTGCTGAACCGTACCGGGGACAGAATGTATTCGCGGCCCCACGACCCTCCACCGCCACCTCCTCCCATGCACCCACTGGGAGAGATCAAGCCACCCTCTGTGATCAGGTGGGACAGGAAACCACACACACACATTCACACACATAACCTCAGTTTCATGTCCCCTCAGAAACCTTAGTTATTACTTTATGGTTTTGCAAAGAAAAACTAAAAAGTTGTAATAGCGATGGGTGTTCTACAGAAAGTCGCTCTGAGATAAAAGAGTTCCAAGCAGATTCAAGTGTCAAGAGTCATTTGTAAATACTCTTTCACCTTGTCTCTGATTCACGAGCGCACACACAAAACTGCAATCCTCTTTGTTTCATTCATGTCTTGTTTTTTTTCCTCTTATGGATCGATTGGCCATATGTTTCTTTTTTGTGAGTGTTTATTTTGTTTAAGAAGATGAAGCTTTTTCGCTCTGTTAGAGCTTAACAGAGAAACACAGCGGAGGAGGGAGGAATAGAATGATAGATGGATGGATGGATAGATGGAGAAAAAAGAAAAGGCTCCAAGAAGGGCAGGATCAATAAAGTGTTAAGGCCACTGAGCGTATTATAGGTTGTTTTTCTGCTTCACACTTTTGCTGCATGTCACTGTTTGAAGGGATGGAGAGATCAGAGGGAATGATTAAGGCTGTGGCTGCAGCACTAGAGGAATATCATTGATTTTTTTTTCAGAAGTCCTTGCAGCTCTCGTCTCTTCTTACTCTCAAAATCCTGTCCATCCCCGTCTTTGCCTGTCCCCCGTTCTTCTTCTTCTTTACATTTACTTTTCAATCCTTTTCTGACCTTTTCATGCTGGTGTCTCTCTTCCTTTTATAACTCACTATCACCATGTTCCACATCTAATTTTCTCACTTTACCACCTCTCAAATCTTCTCCACATTTAATGTAGCACATTGTGTAGATATTGATACAGACACAGCCTCGAGCGTGCTCGGAGGAAATACTCAACACATTATTTTCCACACTCTTCTCTCTCTCGTTGCGCTTTTTGTCGGCAGCAATTTTCTCTGTAGGAAGAAAATTGTGTCGGCCTTTGTGTTGCAGTGTCCTGGTTAGGGGCTTGATACACCCACACAGCTTCAGCATCAGTGAACGGCCAATACTCTGTTTAATGTATGAGTTAGCTGCTCTGGGACTTCAATACTTCCCCCTGATATGCAGCATCTTTTCAGGCAGACATTCTTTGTCATACTAGGATTTCCTGTATATTACAAGGACAGGTGGAAGAGTTAAGGACCCCCTACGGCGCCATCATCACTCCAGCCAAACTTCTAAACCTCTCTGGCAACACTGCAATTTGAAAAAGCCACTGTGTGTATGATTATGACTTCCACCAGTCTCAGCCTGTGTGAACATGTTGCGCAGCGGCCGAGTCTGATGCACCGCTGCACATTTTTAATTGAAAAGAAACTATTTGTCTTATGAACTAATGGAGCACTTCATTTTTGATGTTGTTGAGCAAAACTGAAGAAAATCATCTTGATCTTCATTTGCACTCCTTGAATAATACTCGTGAGTTGACAGTCCACTGAGCCCTGCCCCCCTTTAGTCATTACACTTCAGACGTGATATCATACTGAGGCTAAAGCTGCATCCCCGGCAAAATGAAAGTACCCTCAGCCATTGATAATCCTCGTAGAAGCAGTGGAAATAAAGAGTCAGCATTGGTCTGTATAACAAGGAAATGTGTAACGTCACACTTTTCATTTATTTTAACTTTTTGTCTGACTAACTTTTCAGCTCTATTTCCCCATCATCATCTTTCTTTCTCTCTCTCTCTCCCTCTTCTTCCCTCCAGCTCCAGTTCGGGTTTTTCCGACAGCAGACCCCAGTCTCCAGCCCGGACAGCAGGCCTCAACTCCAACACTCCTCCTCCTCCGCCTCCCCCTCTTCCCCCTCCACCTCCTCCCTTGCCCTCCACAGGCCTGCGGGGTACCCCTCCTCCTCCAATTCCTCCCCTGCCAGTCCAGCAGCAGCCCCCAGCCATCCCGCCGCCCCCTGCTCCTCTCCAGATCGCCCCAGGGGTGCTCCACCCGGCCCCTCCGCCCGTGGCGCCTCCCCTCCACTCCTCCTCCCCGGCCCGTCTCCAGCAGGTCCTGGACAAGGGCCCACCCATGGGCTCTGGGACCCAGTCAGATGGCACCATCCTGCCTCCTCCCCCGCCGCCTCCCCCTCTGCCCCTCCCCGGAGCGCGGAGCTCCTCACCGTGTCCATCAGGCCCGCCACCTGTGCCGGCCTTCCCCTCAGCAGGAGCCATGGCCTCGCCGCCACCCCACGCCATCCACGATGTGGGGACCAAGAGGCACCATCCAGCCAATCTGCCGCCCATCAGCGATGCACGCAGTGTCCTGTTGGAGGCTATCAGAAAAGGTGGGTGATGTTTTACCAGAAATGTTTGAAACCTTCCCAAGCCAGAAGAGTCGTGGATGGGAGGCACATGCTGGCAGTTCAGGAGGAAGTTTGTATTTTGTTTGATTCTGCATGTGCCTTTTGGACGCCAAAATTAATTTAAAAAATACATCAAATCTATAAAATTACATCAGAAACAAGTAGTTGAAGAATCAGTTGGTTGATTGTCATTAAATTATTTTACAAAATTTCTTGATAATGACTTATTTGTCAAATTTCTTTTTTAAATCAAAAACACAAAAAATTCACTGGTTCCAGCTTCTCAAATCTGAATATTTGCAGATTTTCTGAGACATGTAGGATAGTAAATTGAATATGTTTGAGTTTGGGACCGATGTTCAGACAACTTGGGAGATTGAACTTGATCAGTGAATTTTCTCTGTCCTACTTTGTAATTTCAGCCGATAAGAAGGTTGTGTATGTTCAAGTTATACTTTTTCTGAACAATTAAATTATACTTTTGTAAGCCTTGATATTAGATCATCAGAAACTGAAGTCTTTGTCTCTATTTTCCTGCGCAGGCATACAGCTGCGAAAAGTGGAGGAGCAACGAGAGCAAGAGGCTAAACACGAGCGAGTTGGCAATGATGTGGCCACCATCCTGTCACGCCGCATCGCTGTGGAGTACTCCGACTCCGAGGACGAGTCTGAGTTTGACGAAGGAGACTGGATGGAGTGATGGAGATGGAAAAAAGCAGCCGTGGCAGGAGAGGACAAACATGTTCAGGTGCCCCCCACCCCCCAAAAAAAAAGCCTGCACTCCACACCTCGCCATCAAAGAGTCCTTTCTATTCCGGAAAGAAGAGGAACATCAGTGTTTCCCACTTTTTCTCTGTCAAGCTTTTTTATCTCATCATATCTCTGTCTCGTTGTGGTTTGTGATCAGACGAGTCTCCACGTCGCCCTCGTCCGTCTTTCTAGTGTTCCAAGTTCTTTGCATTCATTCTTTTCTGCACAACCACACAACCTTGTTTCAGCTGGATTTCCTACAATGGAATCCCCCATGTTTACTATTGTTATACATGAAAATAACTTTTTTGAAGAACCACTTGTTTTTGTTTTTCTTATCTGTACATCAATATTAAAAAAAAAGGAAAAAAATGGAGGCATGTTGCATCTATCTTTAGTTCTCCAACACAGTTTTGCCACCTGGTGGCTGAACATGGCATCGAATGAATGCTGTTTTATTTTATCGTCTTTCATTTACCCTTTTCTGCTGAAACATTTGCGGTTTTAATAGGCCAGTAGTTGCCGATAGTGACCTCTACACGAATGGTCACTCAGTATGAACACCAGCTGAGTCGTTTTTGTTTTCTCTCTCGTTATCAGGACTGACTTTACCACTAAGAACAAGCAAAAGATTGTGTTGGTATGTCATGTGATGATTGTTGTATGGTTGAAAATGAGGACGGGGAAGCATATGGCCGCCTTTGGCAACGTGTGTGCATATCCATCCACTTACATCTAACCTTTACCCCAGGGAAATGTATGCCAAGAGATTGAGCTTTTTCGTCTGTCCAGGTTCTAAGGAACCACGAACGCTCATGTTGACATCAGGCAATGTCTAAGATAAACACTGAGCCATGGGTTTTTAGTATGATGAGCTCGTTACGTTATTTGCCACAGATATGGACACTGGAAGTGATTAGATGCTGTAGATGTACATCAGATTTCCTGCCTCTCTTATTGTCCCTGATTAATATTCAGTGTGCCGAGGAAAAATTTTGAGAAGGTACCCATGATAAGGTACAAACCACTCAAAACTACAGAAGGCAGCTTTTCCCTCAGATCCCCCTTTACCGTGTACCTGCCCACTAACGAGAAGCCTTACCTCGTTTGGTTCTACAGCAGCAAAAGAATAAAATCTGCGTGATACTGCCTTTTCAGGCCTAAAAGAGGAGGATACATCATGCCTTGTTCTGGCTCATTTCAAAGAAAATGTCTGCCATCTTTTTCTGTTTGTTTGTTTGTTCGTTCTTTCTTCTACTTGCCTTATTGTTCGTACAAAACGTATCGTTGAGTTGATGAATGTATTGTGCTGTTACTACTTACTTGCCTGCGCTTGTATGGATTTGCTGTTTCTATGTTTGGGGGACAAAGGGACGGGGGGACAGAAACCCTGGTTTAAAAAAAGAATAAGATTAGATCAATACTGTATACCATGTAACTTATGTAACTGTTGACTGTAACAGTTTGCTTGAATTAATAAAAATCTAATGTTATGTTTCAGCTCTACATGTTATGGGTTTGTTGTTGTTGAGCTGAGTATGTCTCATCTCCTGTTCTTTGTAAATAACTGAACAAACCTGATCTGATTGTTGGGGATTTGACTCAAGTGTGGATTTTTCAGTTCAGCGTTGGCTACAAATGTATCTGTAGCTGTTTTCATAGCAACAAAGCCTAAACCTGCAAAAGTGCAGGTTCATTCGCAGTTGGCTGGATTCATGACCAAGTCTAGTCAACCCCATATATGAGCTCAATGAAAGTAAAATTAAAATAAAAAGGTTCATGCAATTATTATTATTGTAAATGCACATATTTAGGTTATTGTGAAACCCAATCAAGCTAAACTAAAAGTTTGTTATTAAACCAATGGAACCATTCATAAACCATTCATTTGAACACTAAAATGTCTTAAATGTATTTGCATTACAAGCACGAATTAAATATTTTGATGACTTTATTTGATTTTGACAGGGTAGCGTATTTGTGTGCATACATTATATTTTACACACACGCACGCACACACAATTAATTCATAGAATTAATTTAATTTAAATATTTAATTGTTTTAATACAACTGAATTAATTCAACTCAATTTAATTGGGTGAATTTCATTTAATTTAACTACACCTAATTTCATTCAGGAAATTTAATCTAATAGTCTAATAAACCTTATACCTTTTATTGAATTCCTTCAGTCTTCTCTCTCTCACACACACACACACACACACACACACACACACACACACACACACACACACACACACACTGCAACTTGACTGATTGGCAGAGATATACAACCACAAGGCAGCAATTCTAGCGTACTTTATCGGGTTTAACTTTTTATTGTTAAAGTTAAAATGCAATCATTCCACCAACAGATGGTAATGGTCACTTTCACCTAAAAACAACCTTGGTAATGAATCACATTAACTGTGAATAAACCTGTACTTTACAACGTGTTTGGGCCTAAGGACATTGGTATGAGAGCTACTACAAATATATATACACATTTCAAGCAAGAGTTATAGAACTGAAAAATCCAAACTTATATCTAATCATCAACAAGCAACAGCTAACTCTTAATCCAGGTAGAAAGAATGGGGCCTTTTCATTTATCTCGGGGGTTTTTCCCAAAAGAATCCACTTCTGGACCCAAGAACCATCCTGTTAGAAACTGTCTCAGATTTTATTTGTCAGATGTAGATAAAGAATGAAGATTAAAGTTACAAGTTCACTTTCACCTCCTTCTATTTGCATTTCTCTCGTCGTATTCTCATTCTACTCATCTTTCTCTACTCATTTCCTCGGCTCTTTCTTCCCTATTGTCTCTCTAAACAGAAGATGTTCCTGGACTTTTCATGTTTATTATCTTGTCACTCTTGTTATAATTTTTTTTTTTTTTTTTTTACCTGTCACTCTTTATCCTCTAAGCCTGCAGTTTCAAAGACGCTTCGGGCATTTCAGCTTTCATGTCAGGGTGGCACATGACATCATGTCAGCTTTGGGACTGCATGAAATAGAACTTCAATACATTGTGCAGAGCTCTCATCACAGTATGCAGCACACTGGTGGGAGGAGGCCTATTAAAAAGTGACTGTGTGTGTTTGTCTAAAGGGAACTGATGAAAAAGAGATTTAATTACCAGATACAGTGTGTTATTCTATTCATACTGGGAAGGTGTCCAACAGTTTCACCTTGGAGGAAATTGCCTGATTTGTTTTCTTCCCAACATTAAACTGTAGTCAACAGACCTGAAATAGATTTTGCAAATAATCATCAGCTGGTGTACTGAAGTGTGTACTGATGGGTATTGGCACGTTGGACAATTAGTTTTACAGCTTCGTACTTGATTTATGCTTGATGAATATCCACCTGCTCCTCATAATTTACTGTAAAACGGGGGGAAAAAAAACACTATGTTGCCCTAATGCTGAACTGTTTGTGTGTGTTCCTCTTTGTTGTAATCTATACTACAGCAGACAGTTCTTTGGAACAATTTCCAAAACTAGAAGAAGTTTATATAGAAAGTCTTCGGTGCAATAAACTGTATATGAATTGTTTACTTTTAGAAGACAGTGTAAGGGACTGCACAATGTACTCACATGCTGTCAGGCGCTGGGTGTATGGAACAGACCGATACAAAAAGGCATATATCTCAGCATATCATCTGTTTATTTTAAATGAATACTGACCACTTTCTATTGAGACTATTCTATCAAGGTGTTTGAAAGATGTGTAATATATAACAAAAAAGTGATGATTACAGAGACAGAATACATGGAAATGTGTATAAATACTGTATAAACACAGTTGCATCAAAACACTAAAAAGGAGAAGGCATAGCATGAGCATCGAGTGTTTCAATGATTACAGATGAATAAATAGACTACCTTACTCAAAAAGCCTTTGCTTTACAATTTGTAACAATTCAGTATTAGCATGATCTAGATCTTAAAAGTGGTGTGCATGAAAGGGAATTTAATAAAGTGGAATGTTATTGAAATCCTACCTGTCTATAATTTTAATGTTATGTATAGCTATTCAGCACCCTTAGTAATGCCAGGCTTAATTACACATTAACAATGTGTATTACAAAGTATCTGCAGCTTCAGCCTATTTATGACATTTAGTGCTACCAAGATCTATTGAAAAACAGAAATATAGCAACAATGCTGGCACAACCAACATATTTCCTAATTAAAATCACTACTAAAACCATCAAATCTGCAGAGTAAGGAAACTGATATTACATTATTACTACTATTATTTATATAGTTTAGGATTTTGATATTATATGCAGCACCAAGTAACCTGGTGATAAATTAAGATGTCTAATGACCACAATAAGTTAGTCTGATATTGTTTAAGGCCGTGAACTTTGATTGTCAATCTTTCAAGAGCCCAAAGATAGTCATACATTTAATACTAATGTAAAATAAAAACAAATTAGCAGGTATGCATCTTAAACTCTTAAATCTGCTCTATCGGCATCACTGTTAAAGGATATATTCTGCCACAGCAGCTGCTAAGGATGAAATCTTTCTCTGTCTCATCACTTAACTTTGAGGGTGTTATTCTTCTTCCGCGGTTGCTCCTTCTGCACCTGACGGGCTCGTGTGCCTAATCCCAGAGACTGCAGGGACTCGGTGATGAAGCGCTGCGTGGGAGAGACACACAGCATCACCAACAACTTGGCATCGCCACCTGATGGACAAGATGGGGAAAGACAAGAGGAGAAGTTAATATGAAAACATTAGATACGATAAACATAAATAACACACTTTGTACTTTTTTTTGGGGGGGTATGGACATTTACTCTGTATGTGTATGTTCAGGTATTTTAGTGTATGGGTTTGTTCATGTTTCTGCATGTTTGAGAGTACTGATGTGTGGAATCTCTAAACTGGATGGGAAGACACTGGATTTAAAGGAGACATACGAAGCATCTGTCCTACACAGAAGAAGGAAAGTTAGAGAGAGAGAGAGTGTGAGTGTGTGTGTGTGTGTTTGTACCTATGCTATCCTGAAGTAGATGAGTCAGTTTGCTGTTCCTGTATGGGACATGTGGCCTCTGTTCAGCCAAAGCTCCCAGGACATCAGACAGAGCAGAGAGGCTGCGATTTATACAGGACAACTCCCACAGAGCAGCACCCGAAACTCCAGACATACCTGAGACAAACACACAGTTTACTCATTTGATATTTCATGGTTCAGATGCTATAAAAACAGAAACAGGCTGTGTTTAAAGTCTTTCTGCACTAAGCAGCATATTTAGCTTGAAGTAACTACAAGTGGTGACAGAAAACTGTTCACATTTAACTACCAAACACTCACATAGCCAATCTGTCATGTCATCAATCTCAGATTTATGACACTTCATACCAAACAATAAAGATGTATTTTTTTATGAATCCAGCTTGCTTTTCATGGAGTACACTCTGGTGTTTAAGAGTCAGGCTCTGGCTTAAGAAAGATCTCATCAGAGCAGATGACAATTGAATTTTCATTTTTAGCAGCAGTCTATCTACAACATGGCTAAAGCCCCATTTTGCAATTTTTATATTCCAGTTAAACTCATGCTTTGTGTATCTTCAAACACTGAGGGACCAGTGTTCATCTGAAATCTACAAATTCAAAGAACCCGAAACATTGAGCCCCTCTTACCAACACACTCACTCCCTGCCAGGTCCACCAGCTGCAGCTTGGTCCTGAATGGAGCCTGTGTGATACTGTTCCTGGGGGATGGACATGGGGAATAGGAAGGTGAAGGGCAGGGAGAGGAGGCAGAGCTTGCAAAGAGTTCGTCAGATGAGTGGCGGGCAGCAGGATTGGCACGGCGACAGCGTGGACTCCACCACTCCTTCTGGTTGGATCGTTGCATGTCCTTCTTGGCACTCTGTAGCCTACGGGCTGAATGGAAGTGGAGTAGTAAAGTCACAATGCAGGAATATGTGGCCAACAGGTGTCATGTATGCTAATGTGAGTGTGTCTGTGAGGTCCGCAGGTCCTCCTGGCTCCACAGCTGCAGCTGTAGAGTCTGGATCTGCAACTGCGAACCACCTACTGCCCCCATGTTTAACACCTTGCTAATCCTGCTAAAATTTACTATAATTAATAATGATAATTATTAATTTTATTAGTTGTCATTACTATTTTTATCAGTAGGAGCACTACAGTTGCCATTACATTACTATTTCTGTCACTGCCACTAGTATCCCCTATTATTAATATTGTTATCATTGCACGTTCTTGCCCCTTGGTGGGAATTGTCTCTGTAAATAATATTATAAAAGAGAGGGTCTAGACCCTTCTCTATTTGGAAAGTACCTTCAGATAACTTATGTTGTGAATTGACTTGACTTGTGTGTATGAATGCATCTCACCCAGGGCCAATGCATTGGGGCTCTTGGAGGAAATGGTGAGGGTTACAATGAGATGAGAGCGTGAAGAGTCGGTATGGACAAGGGTGGGACAGTGAGCCCTGAGTTTCAGAACACTGCTGATGACCTGCATCACTTCAGAGGCGCTACACACAGGCCTGTTAGAGAAAGTGATTAAAAAATTAAACACACACCATTTCCTAGCACTTTACTAATCTGCTATAATCAATATTTTTTATATGAACACTGGATCAAATGACTAGGTGCGTGTGAAAGGTCTTGTTCATAGTGACAAAGCCACAGTGAATTATAGCCCAACTTTGCAGCTCTTCTCAGCTCTATGGAGTTTAGCGTCTTTTAACTTTTGATTTACTGGTCTTTACAGTTTGATTAAGTCTCACCACTGTCATAGTGTTGTTTTCAGCCACAGCTGTTCTCAGTGAAGAAGCTCTAAAAACCCACTGTACACTAGCGACTCAGCCCTAAATAACATACAAACTCTGTGACTAGCTGGTGAACACAGTGGAGCATTTAGCAGCCAATCCTGAAATATGACTGCACATGAATGCTAATGTTGCTCTATATTTGCTGATGTTCCAACAAGTTCACCATATCAACTTAAAAGTTGACATTAGGGTTGTTTTTACAGTTTTAGGATGAACTGATGATTATTTGTCCAATCCAGCAGCTGCAGCACAACATTAGTATTCAGTTGGACTTGTGTCTCTGGTCCTCTTAACAAAGTTAGGACATACCAAAATTCCCTCTCCATTAGTCATTTTTTGTCACCACCAACTACTGACTCTTTATTGTGTTTAATGCTCAGTAAACTTTGTCGATCAGCAGTTTGGTGCTGGGCAGGTTGCATACAGTGGCTTAATCTTAGCCATGTAATTTGCAAGCTGTACAACATAAAACAAAATAGTTAGAAAGCCCCATTGATCTGAAAGCAGCCCATTTCCAATTACACATCATTTGATAAATTTTTCATATAAAAAAAGTATTGATTAGCTTTAAAAATTTCCACCAAAACATATAATTTTTTCATGAACCTGGCAGTCTAGCTACAAAATGTCACATTTTAGGCTAAACTAAATTGAAGCACAAATAAACACTTTCTGCACACAGTCACCTAAGCTCTGGCATTACTCACACGTATGTAAGGGAGGTGACCTGGATGGCACCAGAGGAGGTGGTGATGACGTCCCTGCGCTGGCCGGCAGCGTTCCCCTGCTCATCTCTGGCCAGCAGGTCAAACACCTCATTGTTATACACTTCCATCACTGACACCTCCACCGTGTGGCTCTCTGCAGGCTTCTCAGAGATCAGCCTGGGTCACACACACGGGAACATATACGCAACATTGGACAGATAAAGAAAAGAAGGGGTAACAGTTCAAGACAATTACAGTCTATTTTAGCTTTCAGTGCACATTATAAATTAATAGACAGATTTTTTTCTTTTTTTTTTATGATGACCATCACCTATGGTTTTTATCATTGACACACATTAAAGGCAGGACCAGACTTTCTTCTTGAATTTAATCATTACCTGTTGTAAATTTTACACAAAACAAATGAAGAGTCTATTCTCACTCACCGAAACAGCTCAGCAGCAGCCTTAGGGATAATACCCTGCTGTGCCTCCTGCTGTGTCCTTGAGTGGTCATGTAGTGGCTGGGATCCCATCATGGTGTGAGTCTTCCCACTGCCTGTCTGTCCGTACGCCATGATACAAACATTGTAGCTGCAGGGTAGAGAAAGAAATGACATTCAATTAATGCTGAAGCCCTGCAGTCATATTATGCTGTTTGACATTTATTTCATTCAGTTTGTTCTTAATTTGAAATCCCACGTTGACACAGGACAGTGTTTAATGAAAACAGTTGAATGAATACACTTGAATGACATGTTATTTGATATAGTCCTGTTTGTATTGTTTAACACTTACCCGTCCAGCAGAGATGTAAGGAGTGGCTTGACTTCCTCAAACACGGCATCCTGGGAATCCTCTGGTCCATGCACCCTGGAAGAAACAAAATCACCACAGTGACCTATTGATGAAAAAACTGGAGAAAAAAAATCACGCTAATGTACACTGCATCATTTCAGTATTTTACCTCTCAAACTCAAACATCTTGTTTTGCATTGGCATCCCTGTTTTCAGGCCATTCACCATCACTGTGTCCTGAAAATACAAATAAGGAATAACGAAAAAGTGAGAACACTGAGGCAGGTTCACAGCAACCACATTAAATTTAAGAGTCAATTAAACTCACATCACTGATTGCATAAACCACTTCCTCTGATGACGCAGGCCTGATAGTGAAAAAGAGACAACTGTAACATTAGATCATCTTAACTTTTCAAGCACAGAGCAACTGTGCTCACACATCATTTATCATACAGTATTTCGTGGTGTGGACAGATGATGCATTGTGTTGTTGACCCACCCTGATCCAGATGTCGAGGACTGGATGTGGTCAAAGGGCAGAACTGGTCGCACCCTGCAGTGAACTCTGATGTTACCTCTCAGCTCCTGTAGCAAAACAAAGAATGACCAAAATCAAAAATTATATGATTTGCAGCAGTTTTTAATGTGCATATAATCACTCGAGGGTATAATACTTTGCTTCTGGCCAATATGGCGATAAAACATCTGTCCTCACCACCAGTGTGTTGTGAAGTTCTTTCCTCCTCTGGCGCTCTGCCCTGCACTTCTCTTTCTCCTCCTCCAGAGAGCGCTCCAGACCTGCAACATGGGCCTGTAAATCTGAGTCGGGAAGGCAGAAAATTAGTAGAAAATATTTTATTACATTATAATGTAATACATAAATATATTTATATTAAAAAAAAACTAATTTTTTTGAAGTCATTAATAGAGGTTATAAGGTGCATTTTTGACATTGTTGTGCTGATTGTAAGAAAAAAAAGAAAAAAAAACACTGAAAAGCCTCCACTGGCTTCTATGACTCATCAGACATTGTTAGCCACCAGCTCAGATTTGGTGGGGAATCTGGTGCAGTGCAGTATAAACTCTGACTTTTAAGCTGTAAAACAGTTTCGTGAATGAAAATCTGTGTCACAATCAACTGCAAAGCCAGAGGCATCTGTTCTCTGTTGTAAATCTTTGAATTCAGGCCAAGTCTTTAATCCTGCAGCATACATGCACACACACCTGGCACCAAACACCTCCATTCACACACAGGACAGGATGAGACATTCAAGAATAGGCTGGCCTGAAAATAAATAGAACAGAATAGTGTAGAATGACTAGGATTCTCTCTCTTCTCTCTCTCTCTCTCTCTCTCTCTCTCTCTCTCTCTCTCTCTCTCTCTCTCTCTCTCTCTCTCTCTCTCATGATTATTTGAAGCATTAATTATTCTCAAAAGTTTCAGCAAATTTAGTTTAATGCATCACACAAGAACATAAAAAATGGGTGCTGTTGCTACATCATAGTTTCCCAATCATGTGATTAAAAACAGCTCCAGGATTTGTCTCTTCATCTGGGTTTGAGATGATTTCTACCAATCATATACTTGTTGTTGATACTAACTTGGGGATGTACCAAAAAAGAAACCTGTCCAATTCTTACAAAAATTGACCAACTTGTTCAGTGTTTTGAAATGATAGATTTACACTTTAATAACCTGACAGAGGGTTTACCAACCTACCACACAGCCAGTGAATCTCTAGAAATCTTGAAATATTCAAAAGGATTATGGTAAAATAGCTGTTAAAAAATAAACGAAAAACAAATAATTATAAGTAAAGTAGCAAATAGTGTGCAAATAAAGTGCTGCATACGTGTAATGTAAGAAAAACCCGTTAACTCCCAGTAATTTAAACGACGACCCAGTGTGGTTGTTGCTAACAGGAAAGAAAATACTTTGTGCAGGTAAGTGGGTACATTTCTACATTCTTCCTCAGTTCTATCAGCTGACATCAAAAATAAAAGGTCAAGAAAAGCCACTATGGAGCAGCTTGTGTTATGCACTGAACAGCATGTGCTGAGGCTTACGTGTGCCAAAGCATTTGACAAGATCAGTTTCCACCTATCGTCAGAGCCCTGATGACCAGCTGACTTGCAAGACAGTGTACAACAGAACAGTCAACCTTGGACAACCTCGAAGGGAGGAGTAAGAGAGAAGAGGGAAGGAAGTCTGAGAGGATTACCAGCACACACACCCTAATGGAGATACAGCCATTACATAGCCTGTAAGACACTTCAGAATGGAGTGTGACACAAGGTAATCAGAAAAGAACAGTCAGAAGTAGTATGACGTAGAAAATGTGAGACCAGGAAGAAGGGATCAAAAAAAATGTTCCTGTAAAAAACATCTTCAAAGGTCATTCAAATAACATGCATGGTCAGGTGCACAGCTCACATGTTGTGCTCTTACTTCCACAGTACAAACTCATTGCAAAGGACATACGCCATTTGTTTTAATTTTGGTAGACCACCATAAAGTTGGATTTTCTAACTCCAACAACTGCCTAGATAATGCCAAACAGTAAATCTAAATCCCAACTTCAAAACATTCCCTCAGAAACCTATCGATGACGTCAAAGATGCTACTTACTCTGAATCTCGTCTCCACAGTGACTATTTAGGGAGGAGCTGACTTGCTCGACCTTCCCCATTAGCTGCTTGCTCTGTTCCTCCAGCTCTGTGGCAAAACTCACATAAACTGCAAACACCTCACTCAGGTCCTGCTTCACAGCCTGCCACAAACACACAGGGAGAAAAAATAAAATGTGTGAGTATACTCTTTGTTGTATATGTCTTTCTGTGTTTCCATATAACCTACTTATCTTGACTCTGGATGCCATTTGGTAAAACATCAACAAAATAGATATAAAGACAACTCAAAACCTGCCATGCGAACACACACGCATTCAATTCACTTCAGTGCATTTGTACCTGGACCTCAGACAGGAGTTTGGTGAGGGCTGACCGGGTTATATTCTGTGCATCCCGCTGGTGCTGATGATGGTTCAGGGCCTTGATCTCCTCTTCTCGCTCCCGACGTAGTTTCCCCAAACACTGAAAAAGGACATGACATCAACATACTTATTCTGCACTAACTTAATGGATAAAATTGTTTGTGAACTGTTAAGTAGTTAAGAACATAGAAATCAACAAACTGCTCCAATAGATGGTTTGGTCAAATGTGCCATATAACACACTAAATGTTGAGACCAATGTTGAGCTCAATCTAGCTATGTTCATTTTTTATGCATCAATTACTGGACATAACATTTTACAGACAACACAATAGATCTGCCATAGTATGAAAAGCACATTAATGATGGCCCTGTTCAATTCAATTAGTCCAACAAGTCATGTCAGTGAGACATCATACACAGCACTGGAGTTGGCATTGTTGATCATTATTATTGCATACAGTTGTGTTTTCCCTGCTATATTTCCAACTGTTCAAGGTAAAACAAGCCTATAAAACCCAATTAAACATCTCAACTTTTGTGTATCATAATTTAACAGAGACACACAGACCCTTCAATGAAGTGGCAAAAGGCTTACACATGTGTCTTGATACATGAGAAAAACAGTTAGCAAAACAGTAGTCATCTGCTGTTTGCTAGCATTTCTGTCAAAAAATTTACTTACCATCTGCCCAATGCACCAAAAGAAAGTTATACCCGTACAACACTAATGTCATCAAATTTTGTGCTGCACTACTTCTGAACACATTCCATTGAAATCGTATCACATCATCCAACTGCCAGAGCTCTCAGCCAGGTGTAAAAAAAACTGTTGACATTAAGTCAAGTGCCTGCAACATGCACACACTTGGCACAAGCCATTCAGATAAAACAGTCATTCACACAAAAGCCTTCTTAAGCCATTCAGAAGGTCAAAGAATAAATATAACAGACATAGCTCATGGAGAGTAGATAGATAGAACAGAATAGAATAGAAAGGCATAGAATAAAATAAAATATTTAAGCCTGTACTGTAAATAATGAATGCCAGAAATGTTCAAACCTCTGCAAGTCTTAAATGAAGAATAGCATTCTCTGTCTCCAGCTCCAGTATTCGCTCTTCTTTACTCTGAAAACACAAATAAATATATCTTAAATGTGAATTACAAATATTGAGTGTGTTTAATTACTGAATAAAGCTAGAAGTCGCTATTCCAATTCTCTAATACTAATAAACATTCATAAAAATTTAATTCAACTGTAACTTACCCTCAGTTTGTGCTCCAGCAGATGTACCTGGTGCGCAAATATTTGATCCCGGTTTATAAAGAGAGGCATTTTCCAAAAAGAAAAGACGCTAGTAGAGATGAGAATCCGAAGCCTCGTCTCTTTCCTTCTCAGATGAACAAGTCGTGTCCTCTCATGTCAAATAATCCGATTAGGGACGGTCAACAACAACTCTGTCAACTCTGCTCACCTGTCTGCGTTTGTGTAGTGAGGCAGCCTCCTCCAGCCTGAAAGATAAGGAAACGCAGTCGGGCGAATTTTTTGACAACTTCTGACAGCGGAATACAGTCTAAAGGTCGCGTAATATTCATGATTTAAAGTGTCATTTCAGTGTGGCTGCTGTTGACGAAAGCCCGACTATCTTGGTCTAATTTAATTCAAAATGCATTATGTGAAACAGCATGACAGTAACTTAGTTTGCAGGAGGACGGGGCTTCAGCACACAGGTGGTGTTAATTAACCATCAACCACTTGTGACCATAGACTGTATTCTTCTTCTTCTAATGGATTTCCGGCAGGCTGTACACTGAAAAGATTGTGACTTTCAAAGTAACAGGCAGAGGGCAGCAAAGCCTCCGAGGAGTGATGTTTGCAAAAGGAAGACATAAACATTGCGAAGAAGAAAAACACTTCCGCACAGTCACAGTGTACATGCAGCCAGCCTGTCAACTGTAGGACCTGTTACAAAATGGCTAAACAAAAAGACAAAAGACGAGAGAAAATCAGCGTCGCCACTGAGGTCTGACTTAGCAAGACGTTTCTTTGCCTTTAGCTAGCTAGTAGCTCTTTAGCCAACGCTTGCCAAGTACTGTATGTAGTGTTAACCTCATGTTCACAGCTTGTATAAATGTCATTCCTTCACTCACTGTGCTGTCTGACCGCTCTCCTGGTGAAAAGTGTGTTTATCTCATCTAGTTAAGTAATCTTGTATGTCATCTGTAAATACTGTATCGCAGATTGACCGTTTGGAGGAGCGGAGGGCACGTTGCCAGGACAACTTGGAGAGGGCAGAGTTCAGGAGCAGAAAGGAGAAGCTCTCTGAGAAGGAGAGGTAAGGATAGCGATGATGATGGAGACAGTAAAAAAAAAAGAAAGAAAAGAAAAAAAGACCAGTTCTTAAAGGAAAATTTTTGAGTCAGTCCTAAAACAAGACCACACATATGTCTTTGATGTTTTAGCTCTGAGTGATTTCGCCAATATGAGCAGGAGGAATGATTAGAACAACCAAAAACTGATGTCTGATGTTGTTTTAAGACAATAATTGTGTACCTATCCTTTAGTTTCTACTTTTGGAAATTAAACCTAATGAATGATTTTCTCATTTTGTGGCTTATCCAAAAAATAAAACCCTCCTAATTGTGCTGTTTGTCTTTCCTATCCTCTCTCCTCCACAGGCAAGAACTGGAAGATGAAATGGTAATCCTGAATGAAAGGGTGCAAAAGCTAGGTGAGCTTATGTGCTTAAAATGCTTGTTCGTAGCTTTGAAGTCCCCCTTTACTCAAAGATGTGTTTTGCTGAAAATTTGGTTTGACCCAATACCAAGTAATACCAGTCCAGGACCAGGATCACCAATACAAATACCAAATTGATACTTTTTATTGTTAAAAGCAGCCATTATACAATCATGAAAGGGAGAGAAAATGGACTGATTAATGAGGTGAATGCTGCATCTGAATATGTTTTAATCATCTCCAAATTACCTCCCTACATGATGCTTTTGTTCTTATTCATTTCTGTTAAATACTTATTCAAATGCAGGTTTATACACACTTTTCTCAATGGTAAATAGTAGTATTCCTTATGTGAATTCTCTGAACTAAAGAGCTTAACACTGTGCCCATGCACATAGCACTATTCACTGTAATATTCAAACTCAAAACAGGACTATGTATCGGGAGTTGTGATACTTTCAGTATTGATTGTTACATAATTTGGATATGTGACCTTCACTGACACCTTTGTCTGCTAAATAAGTAAAGTTACTCTGTACTGTATAGAATTGAAACATGTAGTTGATCAACAGATACGAAGAATTGTATCCTAGTCAAGGGACATGAAAAGAAATATAATATTTTGCAGATGGAACCATATCAGATTTTACAAACAAGAATGTATATTTTACAGACTGCATGTACATATTGGTTTTCAGCTCTATATTGCAATTTACACAATTAACATAATGAAAACAGGAAGGATTCACATTGAATGCCGTCTAAGTGCACTGACTTACTTATGAACAGTGATAGATCTGGGTCGCTAATAATTTGTTCTGTTGCCTCCATACATCATTAGAAGAGGCAGGTTTTGTTTCTACCTGAGGTTTCATATTTGATGGGAACTGATTGAACTGCCACTACCACACAGTAACACCTACACAACAATCTTGTTTTACTTTTCTAGACAAGGAGCTGGTGATGTTAAGAGGAGAGAATCGCAAGAACATGCTACTGTCAGTCGCTCTGCTTGCTATCAGCGCTCTTTTCTACTATGTCTTCCTCTACAATGAAGAGGAATCATGATACCACACAATATCTTAAAGGGACCTACCACTCAAAGAGTGACAAACCTGCAGACACATGAAAAAGAACTGAGCTGTGTTGGTGAAATACCTCAGTTCTGCCTCCAGATGGCATCATTTCCTTTTGGTTCCATCTCATCTGGTCATCAAACTGTTTTTATCCTGCACAGTCCAAAACCCCACCACAGCTTCCACAACTGTGAAATTGGTGTTTTGACCATATTTGAATACTTAATAATGGCCTTCTGCGTTGATCAGTATACTCTGTCAGTGTACATAAATATGTGTTACTTCTCTTTAGTTTAGTTTTTTTCTGTCACTTTTGAAAGTACAATTATTTTGCAAATCTCAATACAAGCTGGAACTTGGTAGTATGACATAGTCACTACACATATTATGTGAACAGAAAAAAAAGACAAAAAAGGCTGTTGGCTATTTCACCAGCATTTTTGACACTGTTTGGATAGTTATACCTGGCTATCAGGTGACAATATTGAATATTCATCAGTGTGTGACTTGTCTGTTGTCCCATGATAGTCTCAACCCATGTGCTGGACATCTGCACACTACTGCAGGTGACTAGGATTGTACCACCTGTAAACCATCAGTTGTGTTATATTAAGGTAACGCAAGACAGCACCTTTAGTTTTTTTCTCAGTTTACGTATAGTCACATTTTTATTTTCATTGCTGTGTAAACGACCTTACTGTTTATCATGATATTCAACATGAAGAAGTACTGTATTTACAGACAGTTGTCACGTAAACAATCAGTAAACTACAAAGTTTGCCTCATGCCACAAATAAACCAATGTAATATTGCTATATTTTATATAATACATTGAATAGATTCTTTGTGCCAATCAAGACTGCTTTTCAGTGTCATAGGCTATAAATGAATATCCTATAGATAATAGTGCATGGTCCACATACTGTACATGCACATGTCAGACAGTGAAATGGATGGAAATGCTGCAATAAGGGGAATTAAGGCATTTACAGAGGACCTGAAGAATGTATTTAATGGCACAGTATTGCAGCCATTCATCCATCTCTTAATAAGAGCTTAAAGATGCCAAACATGTTCACAAATGTCTTTTTTTTAATACACTTAAGAAAAAAGGGTATGAGAAGTGGGTTTGTTCTTCATAATTGTTCTGTTTATCTGTTTGTTGGTCTTATATGTGTTTTTTTCATGAACATATTAAAAACTTTATATCAATTTTGGAAGCAAATTGTTTTCTTCTACCTGAAGATCATAGGTTTATTATCTGCAGTGCACTTTAAAAACACAGCATTTATTTTATATATAAAATGTAGAGTTCATTACATGACTCACAACTTTAATAGAGGCCCAAATTTGGAATAATTGGATGTTATTTTGGAATGAAACTCGTGGTTCTTCTTAAAAACATCAAACTGGACCAACAAATGATGCAACAGAAAATTATCCATGGTAAGGGACAACACTGTTTTATGTGATTTCAGTGGGTGAGAAAAGTTTATTGAGAAGTTTATTGTTCAACACCGGAGGTTAGTGTGGCACTAGAGGGTAGTCCCCGTCTAGTCCGCTCACACACACATTATTGTGAGACACTCCTCTAAAACTCTGGCTTGTCAGTCAAAAAACAAAAATTCTTTTAAGTCAGTTTCCAGCTGAAAGTATGAATGTGCATAAGGGGTTGAAAAATGCATGAAAAGTTGTAATGGAATGGAGTTTCTATATTGAAGCATCTAGGAGGAGATACAAATCCAAAAACTGGAATAATAAAGAAATTTTGAACATGAGAAGAACACAGTGGGGTTGCTTTCACAGCAATCATTGTTTGTGTGCCTTCCCTCCTACACACACTATTATCACCAACACAGTGCGCATCACGCCTACACACACTCATTCTCTCATCCCCAGACAAAACAAATGTAAACAAGCCCATTATGCAACAATTCTGTGGGATTTAAATGCTGATTAGGGACACTGAACACGTTTTAATATTCATTTTCACGTTGCATTTGATACTATTGCTCAATTAAAACTTAAAAAGTAACAAATCTGCAAATTGGTCTGAATATTTTGATTCATGGTTTTGTTTCAATTATAGACTTAAAAGTAATAAACTAATAGTCCTTCTGCTTGAGTGTGTTCTCCTGAACAGTCAGACGCTGACCTTCTGTCCAGTTTTGTCTTTCATGACACAGTGTGTTAGTGGCCTCAAGTTATGAAAGTACATGACTCACAAATAAATTGATTAGGTCTGTCTGAGCACCAAAATGCCAGATGTCACTTTGAATTCTTTTGGTTCTTAAGCAGGAGGATGTTTGAGTTCACCCACAGCAGGTGGAGGTTCAGTGTCTGCACTCAGGTCAGATGTAATTATGTAAGTTTTTCAGAAGTTGTTTGGTTATGTCTTCAGGTACTGAACCTTCCTTGCTGCCCTTTTTGGTCCAGTGCACTTGAGTCAAATGACATAATGAAGTTTTTATATCAGATGCTTCATCATATATCAGTTGAATTTCATATTTGTGTCCTGTGAGGTACACAGCTAAATGTGTATGCAGTGCCAATGCATTATGTATATTTATTGTATTATCTATCAGTGGTGGGAGAAGTCTTCTGATCTTCTGCTTTAGTAAAAATAGCAATACCAAAATGCTTAATATACTAAATGCCTGTATTTGACATTTTACTTAAGTAGAGATGTACTATAAGCAAAATGTACTTACAGTATTGCATTAATTATTACTAAGTTGGTCAAGGCAGAGGTAGAGTTTGGCTGTCAAATCTAAAACAATATATTATTTTTTGTAAGCTTCAATGTATGATTTTCATGGCCAAAAGAATTCACAATAACGACATTATCACGATATCTACAGAAAATTTGAAAAGAAAAAGAATCCTTTCAGTCAAATGAATCTTTAACCTTGTTTGTTGTATTTCCTGTCTCTTTTCTGGCAAATGAATTAGACTGAAAGGCCAGTGCAGTGAGGTGGAGGGAGAGTATATAACTATGACTGTACAAAAGCGTACAAATATAACAGTTACACTTAATGGATAGTGAAAAGGCAACCAGATGAACTGAAGTTCCACAAGGCCTAACATCTGCCATCACGATGTTATCATATGTGTCTTATTAACCCAATTTAAATATTAGATTTTTTAAATATCACAGTCATTCTCAATAATGGTATATCACAACACCTGTGTTCTTATGTGCAGTAAAGTCCATAATTAATCAAAACCATGACACATCATTTTCACTGAGCACAACCGTATTGAATCCCTCTCTGCACTTTCCATAAGTGTAAAAATATCTTAAGCTTAGTCCTCTGTAAGTTCAAGCATTAAAAACAGCTAATAGTGAGGAGTTAAGTCAGCATGCCCAGACACTAAGTCATATTCCTGAGTCCTTAGGCTGGTCATGGCTGGATTGATCCACTCCACACCTAATTTCTACATTAGTCATCATCGCTGCAGACAGAGTGGTGATGAATCTCTTAATAAGTAAATGGGAGATGAGAACAGAAAAGATGAGGATAGGGTCAAGTAGAGGGGGAAGATAGGAGTTTGAGAGGTGTAATTCGTGGTGAGGGGGAGAGTTCATTTGTTACAGGAGTGGCTGTTAAGAATTGAGCTGTCAGGTTATGAAGGTTACACTACTCTGTATTGTCCTGGAGTATGAAGGCTAAGTGACTGTGTGGGAGAGGAGAGGAGCATCAGACAAGGCGAGCTGATGGTAGGTAATGAGGCCGAATGAAGGTGTTAGTCATGGAGAGCCAGGCCTGCAGAAGAGTGAACTGGCTGCAGCCACATTCAGACAAAACAGACACTTTCAGCTTCAGCAGTTTTACTTGCCTTCTTAACCTTCTTATTGACCTATCACCCAGGAAAGTATGAAAGACATTTCATTCATTGTTAAAAAAAAAAAAAAAAATCACTCTGAAATGGGGTTAAAAACTGCTTATTACTTTCTATAAGTATGTCTGCAATTACTGTCAATTAAGGACAATTAAGTGACATCCTGCTCTCTTTCTGTGTTGTTTAACTTGTAAAATAAACATAATTAGGTGGTGCAAGTACAAAGCTTAAATTTCAAACAGTGTGATGTTGCTCACAACACTTATTAAGCTCATTGTCCTTTGAAATATGTCTCTCATGCACACTCACCACATCACACATTGATTTTCTGAGAAGCCAGAGGGGAAGGAGGAAATGTCCCCTGAGCCAGGTTTAGGGCCTCTCTCTCTCTCTCTCTCTCTCTCTCACACTCACACCAAGGTGTATATGCACATACACACACACACACAAGCATATACAGTTCACAATATAGACATCACAGCAAATCACACCCACCAACAATCTGGTAAGTTACCCATGACAAATTGTGGTAGCAGCCAGGCTACTGACAAGCACACTCATACAGTACAGTCCTGTGTCAACACGTGCACACACACACTGTCTTACACAGACACACACACACACACAGACACACACACACACACACACACACACACACACACACATACAACACACACACACACACACACACACACACACACACACACACACAAACACACACACACACACACACACACACACACACACACACACACACACACACACACACTGGTGTTTGAACAGGCCACAGCCAGAGAGACAAAGGCAAATGATGACAGCTTTTATTGCAAAGCAGATTTTATGCAGCTGATAGTGGCTTGTCTGTGCATTTCCAAGAGATAAAGTGTGTGTTTGTGTCTGTGCTTGTGTGTGTGTGTGTGTGTGTGTGTGTGTGTGTGTGTGTGTGTGTGTGTGTGTGTGTGTATGTGAGTGTGTGTCTGTGTGTGTGTGCGTGTTCATCATGGTAAACCCCAGTGTCTAATAATCAGAGTGTAGGCAGTTCTGAGGTTTTCCCTCAACACCACTGCACTCTCCACAGGGAGTCAGATCAGAAGTGAATGCCACTATTGATCTCTTTGGGTCCGTCTATCCCTCTTCCATCTCTATCTCAAACATTCTTTTCCTTTGAATATGAAAAGACAACCCAGGAGGGAAGCGAAAACCAGCAATTTGTGTGATTACACAATCAATAACACCAAAGTCTTTTCCATCGAGCTAATGGCTACTCAGTAATAGTAATGTTCCTATTGAGAGCATTTGCTACACCACTGTAATTAATGTTATTAATGAGGGAATCATTGGACTGTGTACTTTGGTAATTGCCTGGAGAGCTGCTCAGGTCCGCACTGATCAAGCATTACATAATTCAAACACTGCTGCCAGCCCCTATTTAGTCTAATGGATGTAACATCAAAAGTGAAGGTCTACAGGTGAATTTCAGCGTTGTTAATATTAACATCTGCTATAATAGAGAGTCCACTTTGCTGCTGAGAACAGATGACACAGAGTTGATAAAAATAAATGAATTTCATAATTTTTGTTATCGTTTGCATTTTCAAATATCAGATGTGCATTACTGGAACTTCTGAAATGTAAATCATGAAACCAAACTCTGGTAATGCCAACAGATACAAGAAAATAAGTAAGTAAATACAAGTGTAGAGGCAAGAAGAAAAAGTAACACGTGTTTCTTGCCTCCACAGGTAATAAGGTGGTTGGGAGCAATAATGTTTTGCTCCAATAACAGCTGCCCCCTGTCATGGAAGAGATTCAACAGGCAGCATGTAACGTCGTGTTACATGTTAACATGTTAAAGCTGGCAACACAGACAGCTATGGGTTGGATGGTTACATGATCAACTGATCCTACGTACAAGTTAACCCACAGTTGTTCATTAAGAGTAATTTAGTCAAAGGGTACTCCAGCTATGTAGAATTGATAATGTTGGTGGACTAGAAAGAATATTAGAACAGCAAATAAATGGACTAGACTCTCTAGTTCCTCTCAACTCTTTTCCTGTATTTTAGCTCATTGTTTTGGTTTTTGTCCCACGATGTTACTGTTTTGATAGTGGAGCACTTAGCAGCTACAGAGCCTGATATTTTCATCAGGTGTGGGCGATGGAGAGTAAAACGCACAACTCCATGAACATTGGTCAAAAAAGTTAATGTTGCTCTGTATTTGCTGAATGAGTAAATAGGCAATGTTTGCCCCAAAATGTTCCACATCAACTTAAAAGGTCAGTACTGTGTTCACACCTTGTTTCCACTGCCCTGAAAAGTGGCCATAAAATCAATTATTGCAGGTGTGAGTTGAGATTGTTTCACCAACTGTAGTTTCCAAGATCTAGAATAAATAATGAAGCCAAACTTTTAAGTCAAAAGCTATTAAATGGACCTTGACATTGCTTTGTCAATTTTTAGTTCTCAGGTCAAGAAAGATCTTTGAAGATCACGATTTTTTTTTAGCCTTTTATACCTTTATTTGACAGCAGCAGAGAAGAGAGCAGGGGAGTGACACAAAGTCCCACCGACCGGTACTTTGCTGCTTAGGGCTTTTACACCTGCGTGGTATGTGACCACTCAGCTATCAGGTCACCCTGAACATTAGGAATATTTTTGTTGAAAGCACATTAGGGTCTGCTCTGGCATCAAGAGGTGAATTTACAACCGTACATAGTATATGACTATGAATGGCAACCTAAAATCTCCTGATCTGACTTGCATAACTGTTTATGACAAGTCCATAACCCATAGTCAGAGTTGTGCTGAAAGAACTAGGGTTCATCAACATTTTTCCAACCAATGGTTGAGCCCTGAGTTTCTTTTTTTCTAGTTACTGGTTGTAATGATTGTGTGGTGTTGCAATATCTATCAACTGGCTTTACCAAAAAAAAGAAGTCACAAATAAACACACGAATCTCAGCTTCATCCTTCTATTGCAATTATAAATAAATGTGACACTTAATAAATTTGAGCTCTAAACACGATATACTGTGGCCATTTGCCATGAGTTACCTGCTATGTACAAACAGGTGGTTGCCTGCTCTGGAGGGTGACCAAAAGCAACATCTGTTAAGGTGGAGAAAAAAACAACATGAACAAACATGTCCTGCTCTCACAGCGTGCAGTCCATTAGTGGTATTCAGCATCCCTCACCTTTCCCCCACTTTGTGATCAGCCGTAAACTGACTGAAGGCTTCACAGCAAACTGGAGATCATTACGGTTGATAGTACACATGAGGGGCAAGTGCAGTGACCCCTATTCTGCTGTTGTGTGTGTATATATATATATTTATATATATATGTATATGTATATTAGTATATGTATATTAATCCAGTTCAAAGCCATCACACTGAAGCACACACACCTGTATAAATATTGCATAAAAGCTGTCTTGTTACACTGAAAGAAACAGACATGTTTCTTGTTATTTTAACAATAAAAAGGCATTCCCTTGCTATACAAATGTTGTATTACATTAAATACATTACCATATACTTCATATTTCCATACTAATCTTTATCAATTATAGTTTGGAGTCTTTCAGTTTACAAAACATTTAATTGCATGCATGGATTTGTCCTGAGCACTCAATCCAATAATTCCTTCCTATTTGTTTTTATACTCCATCATTTCATAACCATGCTCATGAAGCAACAACACTGTTAGTATACACAGGCCATGTTCAAAGTAGGATTGAGCAAGCTGATACAGTCTGGCTTGCATTAGGTAAAAACTGGCTGTTGCACATTGTAGGATGTTAAAATATGAGTAAGAGGGAATACACTGTGTGGGAACATAATTGCAATGGATTGCAAAACAGATTGTGAGAGAGTGGAAAAGTTAAAGGAGGCGCAAAAGAGAAAGCAATAAAAACCCTGCCACTGTGGCATTGGGTGCTGTAGCTGTTATGTAAATGTCTGTGTTGGAAAGTTGTGCTTGCTCTTTAACTGAAACACAAAGGAATCAAAAAGCACGTTTTCATATTCATGGTGGGTGTATTTAACATTTATGGTCGGGTTCTGATGTCACTTCTGAGCAGCAGTAACAGTCTGGCATGTAAAAGCTTTTACTAGGAGAAGAAATGTCGCTATGTATCCCATCACACCTGCAGGTCTCCTGGTCGACAACAGTATCCTTGTTCCTGTGTGGCACTCTGATGCCCTCAACCAGAACCTGTTTAAACAGCCTGGCGGATAAGCCGCTGTGTTTGTGGCTCCCAGGTTCATTCAGAGTTGTTAACGCGCAGCTACCAAGGAGAGCTCTTCTTGCTCTGTCACACACACGTACACGTGCCTGCAGCTGCCTCACTCCTGAATCATAATTATAGATGCTGATGAGACAAGTTGAGATAAGGCAACAATCTAAACAACCTTTTTAATTTCCTGCACTTTATATCTTATCAATGTAACCATATACTAAAGCCAATATGGAATTACATAGTTAATTGCGAGAAGACAAAAAAACAAAAAAATGCTCATTTGATTTCTGCAGCATTAATAGTTGGCGTATATTAGATTACATTTCCCCTGCTCATCCTGAAGGGGAGGAAATCAAAGCTGCTAAACACACTTGACTTCATTGCACATGTTTTCACATGTTTGTGGTATCTCCCTTTATCTGTCTGTCTGACTCACTCGCTCTCTTTTCCTCTGTCAAACAAACACACACACACACACACACACACACACACACACACACACACACACACACACACACACACACACACACACACACACACACACACACACACACACACACACACGCACAAACGCACACACACTCACACCTCACACACAATGTGTCTAGGTGTAAATTGAAGCTATTTTCTGGGGCAAAGTATTTGCTTTCTCAATGTGCCATTAGTCTCTTTAAACAGACCCACCTGCGCTCTGCAGGAAGAGGCTGGAACGAGGTGAAGAGGATGTAAAAAAAACAAACAAAAACAAGTCAGGTGTGACACAAGGACCCTGTCAAAGTAACGTGCTACAGTAAGGAGACGTGATGGAGCCACAGCCGGATTTTCATCCCTTTATTCCTCTTGTAGAAAATGTACATCAAAGACAATACAATACAAAATAGAAAAATGGCACACAGCACTCACAGGTTCAAACGTTTAAACACAATAAGGGCTATACAATACTGCTTTGGCATTTCAAAAAACATTTAATAAAGTGCAAGATTTTCCATTCCTTTTCTCATTTAAGTACATTCTCAAGTTTGTTTCGTCTTTTTCACAGAAATTTGTTGTTCACAGCATTTCCAAAATCTCATCCTCACTTGTGTTGAGACATAGTAAAGTGCAGATACAGTATGCATGAGAGACACGATTCTAGCATCACACCCCCCTTTTGTGTTTGTAAAGCATTCACTGTCAACTGTAAGCAGATTGTCAATGGTCACTGAATGGTTTGTCTTTTTGCTCTCTTTTGGCACACACACACACACACACACACACACACACACACACACACACACACACACACACACACACAAAGAGCCCTTGCACCTTTTTAGACTTCACTTGGTGACCTGGACCGGTAGGCCCCGTTGGCCTGAAAGCAGCCACAGAGAAGCATGTAGATGGAGCGCTGGATCTCTGCATTTCTGTAGGCGTAGATGATGGGGTTGATCATAGAGTTGTAGGTGGCTGGCAGCAGTGTAGCATAGGTGTACACTGATGGATACTCCTTCTCGCCCACCAGGCAGTAGATGGCGAAGGGCAGCCAGCTGGCGCCAAACGTCCCCAAGATGATAGCAAGAGTGGAGACCCCCTTCTTAGTGGCGACATAATGCGACGTGGCAAAAAAGTGCTGCTGGAGGGCGATCTGGTGGGCGTGGTGGCACACGATCTTGCAGATCTTGAAGTAGAGGGTGAGCATGAGCACAAAGATGGCGAAGAAGGACGTGGCCAGGAGCGTGACGTTGCTCCGGGTCAAAGGGCGGACGATGCTGCAGGAGGCCGGCTCGTCCAGGCAGTTCCAACCCAGCACCGGCAGCAAGCCCAGGAACAGAGACACCCCCCAGGTCCCCAGTAACATCAGGTGTACGTACTGCAGCGTCTTCTCTGAGAAGTATGTCAAGGCGTTGTAGAGGGAGAAGTAACGGTCCACTGTTATGGCCAAGAGGCTGCTGATGGAGGCAGTGAAGGAGGCCACCAGGAAACCTACAGTGATAAGGCTGATAGTCTCAGAAGAGATCACATACTGAAACACAAAGTTCAGGATTAATCCCATGCCAGCCAGCAGGTCCGCTGTGGCCAGGCTCCCAATCAGCACAAACATGGGAGTCCTTAGTGTCGGCGTGTAGAAGATGATGGCTACCACTATGGCGTTTTCACAGGCGATGACAGTGCCTGACATGCAGAGCATAATGTCCCAGGGGTTGATGGGGAACTCTAACGGGGCGGTGGAGAACTCCAGGCTGCCGTTGCGGTCTAGGGACTCAGCCTCCATCCATGGCAGGGCTTCCCCAGCCGCAGGAGTTGCAGAGGAGTCATTCACCACCAGCGACTCATTCATAGCTCCTCTCTGCTGTCCCTTTGTCCTGTAGGCAGAGAAAGAACAAGTAGATTGGTTTGTTAATGATAATGTGAAGGAAAATTCTCTTTTGACTCCCCCCTTTTTAAGGTCAAAAGTCAGGGTTGTTACATGACAACACCAGCGGATCTATTAACGTTTCAGTGTCTTGCCTAATGACATTTGTGTAGAGTGTTTCCTTGCCATTAGTGACCAGTGAAACTTGAACTAACCGGCTACATTAATTAAGTCCACTAAGTCACTGAAATAGTGCCCAACACAAAATTTCATGTACAACAAAAGCAATTTACCATTCCCTATAAAATTAGGTATTTTAAATGAGAACGAAACAACCCTCAACTTATGCTGGATTCATTTGTAGAGTCATGCAATAGTTACCAAGAAGATCCACCTTAAAACTGATTTTTGTCATTTCTATAGTGTCCACTATAGAGCGCAGTTTTAATTTGTGAATTTGAGTTGAACAACAGAGAAAGAGATAGAAGTGATAAAGTCATCTTCAAATCCTGGAGCAGCTCCATAGTGAGTAAAAACTGAGACAACTTGTATTTCACAAAATGAAAGCCCTACATTCAACTAAAGATGGACTAAAAAACCTCTGTGTCAAAAGTGCTCCAGTTTCAATCTCAGAGCAACAGCTGTCTTTTAGATCTTACCATACAAAAACCAATCATTCATAGCATGGTTAAGTTTTAGGGTGGATCTTTTAAAAGATGTCACCACAGTTCAGCAACAAAAGCAGAGAAAAGCCTTGAAGCTGTCCATGGTGCTGAAGTCACAAACTAAACATCATTCATATCATTCGTTTCCTGGTCTAATTTCTTTCATAAATGGTCTTAAAACTTCTATAAGGACTTACAGGGTGATTGTGGTGTTTAATAACTATCTAGCCTAATTGGAATATATTTTGGTATTTTTTTACCCTAAGATTCCTCTAAATTGATTTTAGGCTTATTTCACTATAATTACAAGGAGTTCATTCTTGTAACTATCACTCTGCTATTTTGGAGAGACAAAAGAAAATCAAATATTTAAAACCGAGATAAATAATATTAATAATCATTATTATTATTATCATTTTGCTACCTAGAACAGCATTGATGATGAGTTTAGGATACCTACCTCCGTGACAAAACGGTATTAGCTGAGATTTTCGCTGAAATCAGAGCCCTTCGTCTGAAGACAAAATGTAAAAAAACAAGATAAAAAGGATGCAAAGATTGCCCCCTTTTTGTCGCTCCTTTGGACCCGCTGCAGTGAAGCCCTTGCTTTGGTTGTGCTTCCCACGCATGGGACAGACACCCAGGGCAGGGGTGGTGTGAAGCATTGGCCGGTGTTCAGCTCGGTGAGGAAGGTGAATGTGAAGAGGAGGAGGAGGAGGACGAGAGGGAACCGACCGAGGATACGCGAGGAGAGCTTTAAACCTGCGTGACGTCATGGCAGAACGAGAGAGAGAGAGAGAGAGAGAGAGAGAGAGAGAGAGAGAGAGAGAGACTCTCTCTATCAATAATATTAAACTACAGTTTCTTGCAGGGTCTTCTTGTCTTTGCCAAACCAGTACACCTCTCTCCTGAAGTGTGTGATGAATTTTGATTTCAGGCAAACCATTGGTGTGTTTGTTAAAGTCATAATATTTGTCAACAGTTATAACCTCTCAAATGTACATGTTATTAACTGTGTTTTAGCTACTATATTGTCATTCATTGTCTGTTTTACAAATACACTGATAAACACTGATATCTGCTTAAAACTACGTCACTACGTGACAGTGTTATCAGTGACTTTTTCATTTCATGCACACATGCTGTAGATTAATACCATGAAAGCATAGAGTATCCAAAAGATTAACAATGAATAGGTGGGGCGAGTCAACTTTTTTTAAACATATGCAAATTTTATCTCATTTCCAAGGTGTGGTTTAAGTGGAGAATCAGTGGAAAGTGTTGATCATCAGCTTCAATACAAATAAATATGAACAAGCCTAACATGGCTGATAGCCTACTTATAGTCTTACTTTTCTACAATTTAGCTAATGTTTAAGGAGTAGCTACAGTGTATCCCAGAGTTTCACCTAATAGATGGGATGAGTCAACTTGTCTTAAACGCCTCCTAATTCCACCCAATTTCAAAGTGTGCCTTCAGTGGAGAGTTTAGTGCCTAATGATGATGCTGTTTTATGCTGTTTTTTTCCTTACTGCCAGACGTAAACTGATCAAGTGCTTAAACATGGTATTTATCCATGTGAAGAAATGATTACTTAATCAGAACCAACATCAGCCTTGAAATATGTTTTATCTATTCTACAACCAGCAGGTGGGTTCCTTTCTGTTGCTATAGCAACCATTACTAGCAAAGTTCAATAAAATTTAGTTTAAGATCAGATCTGTGACTTCCTGTTTCTATACTCTCCAATATCGAGTGTCTGTATGTGATGTGATTTTTTTTTTTAAGTTTTTGTTTTGGGCTTTTTTTTCTATGCCTTTATTAGAGTAGCAGTGAGAGAGAGACAGGAAAGTTTGGGGTGAGAGAGGGGATGACATGCAGCAAAGGGCCATGGGTTGGATTTGAACCCAGGCCGCTGTGGTAAGGACTGAGTCCTAATGGTACACGCTCCACCAGGTGAGCCACAGAGGCACCCCAATTTTTAGCTATGCTGATGATGGGGCAACATGGGATGCCATGTTGGTCCTAACAGTCCTCCACTTTGATCCATCTTAAATAATATCAATCCAACATGGACTGTGGATACAATTTGCTCAAAATTCATAGTCCCCAGAGGATCAGTCCTAAAGACATGGTAAATATTAGTAAATAAAGCAACAGTAAATTCAGCAAAGGTCTGAATTTACTGTTGCTTTTCATGTTTTATTTTTCTTGTGGACTTGGAAACTGTATATCACTTACTGTGTTGTAGGTTCTTTCAGTTGTTACGAGTTATTCCTAGGATGTTTAATTGTTGAATTATACAAGGACAAAGCAACTAATTTGACTGTTAGCATATTGCTAAGCTTTCATGTTAAGTCAGTATTAATAATACCATTAGTCTTGATTTAGTTTATTGTATTGCATATTTTTGTGATTTGAAAACCATTATCATCAACCATTATCATTGCTGTATTTTTTTCAATGCTGTTTTCATATTTCAACAGCTGCTTCCAGATTAAACAGGTCTTCCTGGTCTCAAACCAATATTAGAAGTGCGTTTAGTTTGTGGCTGCATAATTGCAGACTCAAACATATATTGAGGGGAAATGATTATTAGTTAAGCAGTTGTATTGAAACACCAAATGTAGTAATTATTAACTGGTGTTAAATACTGCTGTCTAATAAAGGGTGATCATGTAGGTTTAACAGATGGTCTAAACAAAAAAACAAACTAACACACTCTGGGAGAAGGTTGCCTTAACATCCTATACATTGTGCAAAAAACCTAATCTAACTGTGGAGATGATAGACTAACCACCTCGGTTCAGCACATTGTACAGTACTGTGTGTATGTGTGTTTATGTACCTATGGTTGTTTCTGGAGCAAGTTGCCTTCCAGCCTGCGGAAACAGATCCAGCTCAATTTGATCAGTCTCTAAACACTGTATGTTCTATGTACTTGCAACAAGTTACAGTATCTCGAACACACACCACGACTCACTAAGCTGACACCAGTGATTCAGTATATTGGGTAAATGATGTTCATCTGGGAACAAACATGTTATACCCAATAGGTACTGATAGTACTACTGTTACTCTTGATATAGTGATAATCATCACTTCTTTTCCTCTGTTTGAAACATTTTGGATCTCTTTCTCATTTTCCTTTGATAGATTTACTCACCTTAAACTTCTTTTCTGACTTATTTCATGTGTTTCAGCAGCCTACAAAAAGTGAGCCCTGATAAACTTGATGTGATACAACACATTGAATGTGAAGTTCAAATGTATTACGTTGATTCAAATATGACAAAATGCTCAATTGTGTGTTAAGTGTTATGACCTTGGTTGGTCAGTAAAAATCAAATATTTTATATATAATATTTCTAAAACTCAACCATCTATTTGGCCAAAACTGTTACACTTACATATCAATAATTAAATGGCACATAACAATGGATGAAATGTAGGGAGACAGATACAAAGCAGCATAGCAATATGGTAACCAGTTTTGGTTTCCAGGCAACAGCTGTTGGGCCACCTTTTGTCAGTGGACCAGGAGCTGGAGAGGGGGTTGTCTTCATTCATAAGCTAGGCGGTCACATGAAGTGCCTAGTGACTCATGTCAAAGACCAAGGCAGACACCCAACAAACACACAGGACTAAAAATACATCTCAAAATCATTCTTGATTGTTTTTTATGATGGAATAAACTAAACTAATTGCATTTTCATCATATTAGAGGCACTGCAATGATGGTGCCACACACAAACATTCAGTCTTTGTTCTATCATTGTGAGGATTACCAAGAACAGATGCCCAAAAATATCAGTGACTAGATGCATTTATTCTTCCATATCCATGTTTGCTGAGAGGTTTCAGTGTAATGAGACACCTGCCATCAGGAACATAAAAACATGAGAAAAACAGGGCCTTGCATAAAAGACCTCTTTTTCCCTTCAAAACAGCCCCTTTCGGGAAACAGACCCTAACCATGTACAGTCCTCCTGTCTGCAAACACAGACAGCAGTGCTCTCATTTTCAAGAGTGAACACACACTATCACGTGATTGTACACAAACACACAAGCTCAGTGACTCACCCCTAAATGTAAGAATACCCTTTTGTAGACATTTACTCAGGAAAAACTGAGTATGTCTGCAATCAAACCAAGAAGAGGCTATTAACAACAGAGGTGAGACAAAGGAAATTTGAATAATGAAAGATGACAAAGCATGGGCGATGGATAGATTTTAGATGAGAATAGAATTACTGCCTCACAGGTGTATAGTTGCAGTTTACATCCAATGTCTGTCCAGGCTCATATGATATTTGTAGACTTTGAAATAATGCAATAAAAGGTATGAAGTGTATTTTTGGATTTGTGATATAGGAATATATAAACAAAATTGATTTGAGTCAACTTCCTTCATGTGTTCACATGCTTGGCCAATAAAGCTGATTCTGATAGAGCACAAAGTTGTAGCCATGACAGTAGATATTGCTTCAAATGTGGATGTTGCTGCAAAGCTAAGAATTCAAAAGCATAAATGCATTCATACACGTCTTCAACCAAGCTGCACAGAAGACCCATAAGATTACTGTCACCAGTTCAGTGCCCGACCAATTGTGAAATATGGTCACAGCCTCCACTTCTGCTCCTGAACTACAGCGTCGAATAATGGCCAAAAAAAGTGTTTTTGCACAACATTATGATGTCACAGTGAAGTTGACCTTCGACCTTTTGGATATAAAATATCATCACTTCATTATTTTATCCAATTAGACATTTGTGTGAAATATTGTCAGAATTAGTGTGTGAATTCTTGAGTTATGGCCAAAAACATGTTTTGTGTGGTCACAGTGACCTTGATCCTTGACCTTTTTACCACCAAATTCTAGTCAGTTCATCCCTGAAGTGAAGTAAACTTTTGTGCCAAAATTTGAAGAAATTTAGATAAGAATGTAAGAAGGGAGGTATTGGGAGAAAATGGAGTGAGAAATATGTCTCTGACACCTAAACAGAGACGTAACAGAGACACATTTACCGTGAAGACATAACACTTCAATTTACTCACTAACTTGACCTACTTCTTACGAGAGAATTACTTGTATTCACACACTATCGCTCCTGGAAAACAAAATGAGCAGACCACTCACAAAAGGTGTCACGAAAGAAACGGTTATGTCATCTGATAAATGTGTCTGACCCACTACCTACCATACCTGCCTTGCTACAGATGTCATCATGACTTCGATTTTATGATAATCACATCTGCTAAAAACCTGCTAATGGCTAATGGCCCAAATCAAGTGAGTTCTGAACACTGTTAAGAAATTAAGTTGCTAGCTGTAAACACAGGTGATGGCTCATAAAGATGCCTTAAAATTTAAAAAAAATACGTTTTGGCTTTGATACATTACTGATAAAGCTTTGAAATCATACCCACAAAAGCTTGTTTTAGTTGTAAGGGCCACCACTGAGGAGACAGCGCTATTATCTTCAGTATTGTTTCTGAGAATTTGAGGAATTCAACAACTTGAAGAAAAGTTTATGTTCTACAATTACGGTTACAAATTAGACATAGTGAGTTTTTTTTTTAAGGTAGATCCAGATATTTTTAAGAGTCAACGTGACTGTGACTGATTTTAGAAAAAAAATAATGTAAAATTTTTTTATGTTTTCAATGTTTGTCCTCCAGATTTTTATTTCCCAGCAGTGTATTCAGATCTTCATGTAAGGAGATAAAATTTAGAGAAAATATTACAAGTAAATACAACAGTGAGATCTACTTTTTCTTTTTTAATCTTGGGGCCCAAGATTTAAATCTAGGTTATTCCAGGGACTTAAAAGTCATGAATATGTAATTAAACACTATCATGTCTACATTAGACAATCACAATCAGTAGAGGCAGAGACATTAAAAGGGCATATAACCTCTGGAAATCATCTCAGATCACAAACTTTTGTTTATGTTTTTGAGCCAACATAATTATGGAAAACATGTCAAGAGGTCATGTTGGAACCCACCCATAATGGGTCCTCAATCCAAATTGGGTCGGAAAACATAGACTTATGAAGACATATAAACTGAATGTCTAGTGAAAAATTTCTTGGGTGGTTGGGGTTCACACTGGGGGGTTTGGACTCAGTATTTCTACAATTCAACCTATGGTTTTATGTACTAGAGGCCCTTCCTTTAGTTGCCTGTTGTTTAAGCCTTTAAAAGCTGACCCCAGTGCAGAAGTTTCCTTGCCAAATAAAAAGGAACTAAATAGTATTAAAATACAGGCAATGCATGAGTTTTTCCTCCCCTTTGCAGCCATATGTGAGCAGAATTTTATCATAAGACTTGGTAAAGAGATACAAACCTGTAGGGTGATGGTAAACCAATACAGCGGAAACAATAGAAGCAATAATTGTCCGTGTACATGGTGTGTGCAGTGTAAGAACTTTTGCCAAATTTTCAGAAAATTTTAACTTCTGATGTTTTTTCTGGAATCACATGAAATTCCTTTATGGACAAAGACCCTTGATGGTCCCAAAACATTGAAGATTCATGGCACAAATTCTAGTAACTCCAAACAAAATCACTTCTCAGAAAACCACTAGAGTCACCTGAGTGGCTTTCCTCACTTTAGGTGACACGTGTCATTACAAGGTATCTGTAGTGCACTCTGAACACCTCTCAGCACTCCAGTTGTAATGATAGTGCTACAGGGTAGATGCCATATTCCCTCCTCTCCACTTGGTTTTATATACAGTGGAAACATTATTTTTCTTTAATTCCCCTGCCGTTCGGCATCACATCACATGCTGCAGCACCCCTCCCCTGCTCCCCGCCCTCCTCAGGCTCACGAGGCACTGATGCAGAGACCAGTGGTCAGTCGGTGTGCCGACTGAATGCGTGTGTGTGTGCATGGCAGGAAAGGCAGTCTTCATCACATTTCCTGACACTTGTGGGTGAAAGCTGAGTACTGAAAGAGGATGAGAGAGGAGAGAGGAAAGAGAAAGTGTGATAGACAGAGGGAAAGTGAATAGGGCGCATAATGGGTGAAAAGGGACTGAGAGAAAGAGGAACTGACAGCAGAGGAGAGATGGGAGAGATGACAAAACAATTACAGAGGCTAGATTCAATTTTTGCATGTACAAAAGAGCGAAGAACCACAAAGCTCAGACAGAGAAGAAGAAAGGCAAAGAGAGAGAAATAAAAGTAGAAAACTGCTTATAGGCAACAGCAATCAAACCTCTCACACCATGTTAATAAATAAATGTTTAATTCAGAAGTGTTATAAACAATAATTAGCTGACATTTAAAAACAAAATCAGTGTGCAGTTTTGTAAACTAAGAACGGGGTTTAATAAAAAGGTATCTGTGATGTGGTTTACTCAGGTTTAAAAATCCAGGTTTTAATCAAAGCGTGCAGTGCACTCCTCAAAATATGATCAGAAAAGTGAATGATCTTAAAAAAAAAAAAAAGACCTGGACGTGGATCGACAGTACATGTACGACTTGCATTTTGTAACACTGTTCAGCACTGTTTAGCACTGTTTCTGACCAATTAATATACAAGCAAACATGTATTCATGTCAAGACTTTTTTAAACAGATTTTAAAGGCTCAAATGACATGAAACGGATTTAACAAAATGAATAAAAGGACAATCAAAACTCACATCTGAGGTGGATTTTAGAGAAGTAGTCATTACAATCTTTGGACCTTCAATCTGACTAATGGTTCCAAACATTTGGGTCAAAAACAATTAACATTTTTGAAATATACTGTACATATATAGTTAAATAAACTTTTTAAAAAGATTTGCAATTAAAAATTTAAATTGATGGAAAATAACAAACAAAAAATAAAAAGAACCATAAAGGCAGCCTGTTAAGGCAAGTCTGAATGAGTAAAAAACTGATTAGATTTGAAGCTACTAAAACACACAAAGGACTTTGATTAATTACAAAAAAAAATAAAAAATAAAAAAATAAAATCAACCCATTTAGTTTAGTCCAAGTACAGGATACGTGGGTTGCTTATGAACCATTATCTTCATTATGGATAGTCTTCTCCAGAAATAAGGCAGAAATAAGAAACATTTGAAGAGGTGGGTAGATGAAGCAAAATGGATTTTTAGGCAAGACACTATCTATTTGCTCTGTCCTGTAGTTACAAAGAAAAAACTTGAATCCATAACCTTCAGAGTCTTAAAGTAGGAATGTCGTGTTGGACTACAGCTGATCATCCTAGACACGCATGATGGTAATAGAGATCTGGTTCATGTCAGCTGTGTCTCACATGTACCTGTTCTTGACGTACTCCCTGTACATCAACATGTCGTCCCTGCACAGCGCCCTCACCTGGCCCTGACCTGTCATCACGTGGCTCTCAAACACATCTCGGCTATCTCTGTCTGCATGCGGAGGAGAAACGGCGTAGATGCTGTCCTCTGCAAAGCAGGACACTGGCTCTCTGAGAGTGAGGGAAGAAGACAGAGGGAGAGAGGAATGTTTCAAATGGTGGATGTAGTGAAAAATTAGACAACTCGCGTAGCAGTAGAAAAACAAGCCATGAAGTTTAATTATTTTAACATCAGGGAAAAAATATTACTATCTATAGCTATCACAAGATAATCAAGAAGTGCACTAAGGAATAGAAAATTGTTTTAATCCAACTAACACCTTATGAAACGCTGCTAGGGAGAGCAGGTCATTAAGAGGGCTGTTAATGGAAACAATAAGAGGATGGCACAGATGGGGCTTTCTACAGCAGAATTACTCATATTTTCGCAGAAGCTACACTCTAAAGCATGTCTCATCATCTTAAGGGTGCATTATCAACCACATGCTTGTCTGGTCATCTATTCAGTCAGCCAGTTCAACAGCAGCTGAGGTCCCAGTGAAAAGCTGCTCTGACACATGGCTGCATTACAAGATGCACCTCCTTGATGATTGGCACAAGAGGCTGTGGTAGATCGAGGAAGCCTTGAAATGAATTACGAGCTCAGTAAGTGTCATTATGGAGTCTTCAACTACGGGTTTAATGTAAATTAAAGCTAGTATGACCGGGTTCAATCGACCCAATTTGGGCCCAAGGGACACCGACACGCAGCAACCGAGAAGCTGAGAGAACCACTCAAAAGGGCTTAAACATATCATTTATCACGTTTGTGTTTACATTTTCAGTATTTCAAGGGGATTTTCTGGGGAATTCGCAGTGTTTCCACTCAAGCTTTTTTATGCAGAAACTGAATATGCATATAAAACCAGGTGGATGGGAACCCACTTTGATGCTGCCGAGATCTACTCCAGCATTGGAGGAAGTAGAGTAGTGTGTTTCTGTGCCAAAACATTTTTCAATTTGCACCTCATTCAGAATGAGGCACAAATGATGTTGATTCACTGTCTCCTAGTTTCGGGACTTCACTCTGCAATACACATCAAACCTAAAAGGTGAAAACTTTGCTCTTTTCCTTTTAGCAGATTTGCAAGACACTCTAGAAAGACCTGAACTACACACAGCATATATACGTTTATTTCAGGAAGTAATAATGGAGTGGTCAACTAAGGGTCGAAGGGTCAATATAAATGAATCTATATGGAAAATAGGAGAAGAATTCATACCAGTTTGTTTTTTGTTTTTTGGGGTTTTTTTTTGCTCATGGTGAAATCTGAATATTAGGCACAATAGAATGCTTTACATATTGTGAAGAGTTGAAGATAAAATGGCTCGACAAAACCATGAAGGATCAATCATCAGAAATCAGGACATTTTTGATGGTTTCAAGTTGATGAACACTGACTGAGAAGATTGAAAAAGAAGACAAATAAATTAATTGAAGAAAATAATTAGTACTTACTTAAAAAAATACAACGCTTTACTAGTAATTAATGGATTTGGTTGTAGTTATTGTGAAAATGTGTGAGGTGAAAACATGTCTGACTCAAGCATAATTTGAAAGTTGCATTGCTAGCAAACAGATTTTATTGAGAAGGTCAATCTCCACACTACTATTTAAATAAGCACTTATGTAAATGTTGGAGCCAAAGTGTGCTCTGGTGAAACCACTTGAAAGAACATAAGAGCTGGAGTGCACAATGGACATTTTAAAGGCCAACTGGTGAGCAGGTCGTATCAGTACATGTGTGGGAGAGAATGATGCAAATGAGGGTACAATTTTAACTGTATGAACCCTGAAGGCCACATGTGCGTCTAATGTGTATTCTGCAGTTGCGCTCTGTATTTCAGTAAAATGGTCAGTGGGTCACGCTACATTGTCTGTTAAGCACACACAAGTCTCGTTTTGTGTCTGTTGACTAGTGGTGGCTCCTGACACACAGCTGACATCTCAGCAGCTCTGACAGACTATCATTACAGCCAGCCGACATCTCAAGTGATGTGAGCTGGAAAGCAGGGGATCCCTCAGCTCCAAAAATGTTTTCCCACAGGCTTACACTCGAAGAGGATGTGAAATGTTTGCAATTTCAGCTAGACAGACACTTTGATTACACACGAATACCTTAAAGAAAGCAACTGATCTTTTTTTTTTTTAACTGTCCATTAATTATAATTTAAGGAAGAATCAAATCACCACACCGCAATAATTCTTCTCAACAGGAATCTGCCACAGTGTTCATATCCTTTCCATTTTTACCTCCAACAATTAAGTACCCTCTGCCTTTGCCCAGTAGATCAATAGAGGAACTACACAGAGGGAGACAGACTTTCCTGTCAGTGAAACATGTTGAAACATGTGTTGTAACAGCACCTTAGAATAGCACCGTTACACAACAGACACACCTGCCAGACCCTGTGTACCTAACATGAGGACGACTGCAATGGATGACTGGACTAATGACTGGCCAGAGCGATGAGAGGTGAGGATGATAAAGGCGGACAAGGTTGCAAACAAGATGCAAACTGAAGAAGGATGAAAAGATGTTAAGATTCCCGGCTGACTGAGGTTGCTCTTGCTCTTGAATTTATGTCTGCCATCTTTGTGGGACGTAACCTAAATCAAAAATGGTATTTCTATTTAAAAATAACGTCATGTGTTCAAAGAGAACCACAAAGACTCATGTATTCACTCTAAAAAGGCAGCACTCTACAGAGAGTCAAAGGCTACAAAATACATCTGAGAGATTTCATCCAACATACAGTGCATTGGATTCCTTTAACCCACCCCAGAAAGCTGAGATATCTCACTGGCGTAAGTATTCAGACCCTTTACTGTGTCACATTTAGCTCAGGTTGCTCCCATTTCTCTTGATCACCTTTGAGATATTTTTTAAACCTTGATTGGAGTCCACCTGCGGTTAAATTCAATTGATTGGACATGATTTGGAAAGGCACACACCTGTCTATATAACATCTCACAGCTGACAATGCATATCAGAACAAAAACCAAGCTATGAGCTCAAAGGAACTGCCTGCAGAGCTCAGAAACAGATCTGGGGAATGCTACAAAAATGTCTGCTGTGTTGAAGGTTCCCAAGAGCACAGCGGCCTCCATAATAATAAATGGAAGAAGATCAGTATTCCTGGAGAGAAAGAGTCAGAAACACAACCTTCAACCTTTCCTCCTGTGACCTTTAGCTGTCTATGAAAACCTTCTGACCCGAATAGTCGTCTTGGTTTACACTGAAATCTTTTTTTATTCACCTGCACTCTCCCTCTCTCTCTCTCTCTCTCTCTCTCTCTTTAACCTGTGCTCTCACACTGCAAAGTGCAGCATGACATGAAGCAAAACACTGCCACGTGGATATATTTTTGCCGTCTATTTACCATTTTTCCATTCTGCAGAGGTATCATTTCGACAATTTCAGTTTCCGATCCATCCAGTTATGATGCACGCAGTTAAACTGCAAACTCCGTCTGGTAACCTGGATGTATTTTTAGAGCAAAACAATAAAACAAGCCCTTCAGTTTCCTCTTGTGCCACTGCTGCCTCTCCATGAAAAGCCCTCAATCATCTCTCATCTTGAGTAAGGGTTCAGAGCGTTATTTTTCTTGAGCAGTCTGGTTTGTTTTTTTTTTTTTGAGAAGATGAGTTATCTGTACACTATTCTTGTGCAGAATATCTCTGTTGAAAGAAGTGCGAAGAAATAAATATTACAAAATAATACACTTTAAAGAGAAATCCCAATGAGGCATCTTGTCACTAAAACGCTGTCTTTGTGTACGCGTCAGAAAGTTGAAGCTAGAAAAAAAGAAAAAAACTGCTCAGACGTCATTTTGGCTGCACATTGCCTTCGGACATATGGTTGAATTTTGATTTTGACTGAAGAGAAAAAAACTGTCTGTTACTTGCTAGGTCACGGCTGCAGAGAGCAGCAGGGTTTCGAGTGGACTGACTGGGAAACAGCAGGGGTGACAAGAAGTAAGGAAAGAGTGGTTGGTTACAAGAGATGAAGATTAAACTGCGCACAGCTAGAAGCCTCCCTGGAGACCACTTAGTTCAAGCAACTGTGTTCACTTGTCCCAAGGCTGCTGGAAATGTTGAGTGGTATTTAAAAGGGGCTGGATTATAACAATAAACCGATATTGCATTGTAGCGCTCAACATGTGAGTGAGGATTATTGAGTTTAGGTATATGTTTTTTTTTTTAATTTCATTGTGTGTTTGGGTGAATTTATCACGTTTTACTCACAAACAGATGATGTTTGTCAGGTTTATGTGTTCAGTTCTCTCCACTTTGTGCTGGCTCTCACCCAGATGTGCAAACCTGCAGAAAAAAAAACAACAAACAAAAAACATGAAAAATATTCCTGAAAAAAAGCCAATACTCTAGATGCGATTGTCTCTGCCACTTCCTCCTGCCACCGTCATCATAAGAAGAGCAATTAACAGAATATAATTGTGTAACAGTGTAATTTATTCCTAAAGCACCCGTTAAATTTGTTCTTTGAGACAAATGCTCAGAGATGAGCTAAACATGTCTGGTGAGAACTCTAATGTTCGGAGCACATCATCATCAAATCTCAAATCTTCCCATAGGTCTTTTTATTTTTTTTTTAAAGACACAAGAAATAGTTGAGAGTTCCCCTCTGGCTCTTGCTTATGATTTTTAATATTAATGCAATGATTAGTGACACTATGGCTGCAGCTAACATATTTGGAGCTGTTCCAAATTCTAGCCTCAATAATGAATGCAGTTTCATTTTCATTATGTGCCACTACAGTGGGAGGATATGAACAACATTGTTCACTGCAGGTTGAATTTTTTTTTTTTGTCGACTCCTCTGTGCCTGCTATCAAAGTCAGATGAGACACAAACCCAAGAAATAAAAGTCTTTATATTGCAGCATTAATTCCTTTGCAGGAGCAAACAACCAGTATTAAACAGAGACATCTCAGGGCGATACAAGCGAATCCAAAAAGCTGCTTTTAATAAATTCATTTATTGTTGTTGCGTAGAACACTAACTCTCTTTGAGTTGACAGGAATTCTTTTTTTTTTTTTTTTTTGCTGGAACACATTTTGGCAGTTGTTAAAACTGCAATTTTCAGAGCCCATGAATGGATCCCAGGATAAGTCTGAGGCAACACAAGATAATTAAAGGCATAAAGAAAGAAAAAGAACATTTTTGTTACCCATAACTATGTTTATTTTGACTGACTTTATTATAATTTTTGCTTTTTTCTTGTGAAAAACTGAATATTGAACTGAATCATGCCACGTTTTAAGTAGTATATCAACTGATATGTGCATTTGCAAAAACAAAAAGTTCACTTGGACAAATGGACAAATATTGCTTGAAAGACATGGCCAAACATTTGCCACTGAAATAATACACTGGGCCAGTTATCCTCTGTGGGTTTAGGACAGCTGCGTGGGAGAAAAAAAGCTATTCAAGCTTCATCAAATGCATCATACTGTATCACATCAGCGGTTCGTATCCAAAGAACAGATAGTTGTGTTCAGTCTCAGCGCCTGATAAGGGCTATTCACTGTGGCTCATCAACATGGTTGGGAGCATACAGAGAGAAAGGACAGAATGAAACCGAAAGGACAGAGACAAAATGAAATCTCAGGGGTGGCGGGAAGGGAGAGGTGGACAAAGAGCAGTGAGGTCAGAAGTGTGATGCACACAGCAGGGTAGAGATGGCAATGTCCCTTTTGTAAAATGACCTAATGTCAACTTGAGGGGGCTGCTGACAATGACTGCTTCTTCCTCCCCTTTCTGTCTTGGGCACTGGGTAAAGTTGTCAATAACAATAAAAGGAAAGTATTTTCCTCAGGACCAGTTGGTAGGTCTGAGAAATGACAAAAAATGAACCCAGAATTGTGTGTGTGTTTCTTTTTCTAAATTATCAATCACCTTCCTCATATTTCATGCAGCCTATACAGTAGACTTTAATGCATGAAAATGTGGTGTGGATCTCAACAACTAGTGGATGGATGTTCTAATACTTTGGTTTTTGACTAAATACCTGCAAAACTCATCAACTTCAGCTGTACTTTGTATTTACTACTAATCGTATGTCATTAAATATGTTTCTCATCCCTTAGAGCTGTACTGTAAAGGTCAATTACTACTACATTATCTATGGTGGTAACTTAAATGTCCTAACTCAAAAGACCATAAAAAGCCCTATACACTGTCGTTAACCATTCTAAGGTGTGTGCATTCATTCTAATATCGACGTAATATATGCGTGCATGTGTGTGCCATATTACCTTTGGTAAATGAGCAGGTCTTTTTCAGCAGGAAACTTGGCCAGATTGAGTCCATAGGGCTCCTTCACGGTCTGCTGCTGCTGCTCCTGAAGAGGTGAGAGGGAAAAGGTAAGAAGCTACAGGTCCATGTGAGCAAGACAGAAAAACACAAAAAGGTTTTACAGGAGATTTAACAATGACCTCAAAAGCACTGTTAAGAATTATACAAAGTGAAACACTTCAGGTAAAGCTCCTTGTTAACAGCCAGCTTCAGCAAATCAAGTAGCTGCGACTCAGGTCATCAGGTTCAGCTGCTTCTCTACCACTAATTCGCTAATTAGGACGGCCAAAGCAGTGTAATTTAAGCAACTTTGAATATAATTTGATTGTTGGTGTCTGATGAGGTGGTTTCATGTGGAGGGGTAGTGCCCTCCTGGGGTTTCTGCACACAGTGTCCAGGGTTAGTAGAGATATGACAATCATAATAAACAAAAGATCAGATTAAAAAGGTCAGACAATTCAAGATGACAGATTCAAAAAAGGCTTAGTATCAGAGGCAAAAGAGCATGATGTTCACAATATCATATTAAATTAATACTAAACTGAGCACTTATAATGGATTAATACCAAAAAAGTAGCAATGGCAAACTATACCTCTACTTCATAGAGAAGAAAAGGTTAAAGATTATGTAATCAGAACCTTTTCTGTCATTAAAAATTAGTGAGTTTGGAAATTACAAATAAATCATGAGTCAAAAATAATCAGTGGCTAAATCAAGTCAGATAATTATGAAATTATGACCAGGGGCGGCACACTATCATTAGGACTCTGATCTGGTAAAAAAGAAACACACTATTGCACAATATATGAAACAGTAGAATAATTTCCTATTGCATTTTCAATAGAAAATACAATTAATTAATTAAATGAAAATTATTATCAAGGATAATTCGTGACGAGGCCATGTTATGATTACAACAGCATCATTTCCTCAGCAGGACATGCTATGATTTATGTTAAATTTTTCGTTTTCTTAGAAAACAAGTTATCAAACTGCAATAAGACAAAATTTATAAAAATTATTTCCGATTTTTTTTTTTATACTGGTTTGTGTGTGATCTTCATGTGGGAATATACTCCTACATCCTTGCCCTTCATCCTTGAGCTGTTTCCTACCAAGCACAAGGCTGATGATGATCTGGTGTACGGGAAGACTACTCTGAAAAGACAACTTGTTGAACCTTGAAGCAGAGAATGGTGAACTGAACTCCTGTAAGATAAGAACAAGATACTGAGGCCACAGTGGACACGTGCTCACCAAAACCAGACAGCTGAATTAGTGGGTAAACGTTATCTGGTCTGATGAATCTCATGTAAACAGCATGAATCCGTCTTCCCTTGTGTCTAGGTGAGAGATTGTGGGGATGGTGTCATGTTGTGGTTGTGAGTGTTTTCTTGGCATGGGACCATCTCAGAACAACTGAGCATGATCTGAATACTGCAGTGTCAACCATGAACACTGGAAAAAAATGAAACCTTCTTTATTATAGTTTATTTTTTTATTATATTATATATTATTATATTATATATAGTATATAAATAAATAAATATATATAATATAATATATACTTGGTATCTATGATGATGTACCAGTCATACAACTGATCAATGGACCGGATGTAAGGAAACTGAAAACAGCCTCAGACACCAACCTGATGAAGGCAAGATAACTGAAAATGTTTGATGAATAAAGCACGGGGTAGTGGCGAAGAGAGTCTGTAAATGCATGTTATTTGTTCTCAAACCTGTTGTCTCACAGTATATATTGTCATTTTTTCCTGCCCTACATGTAATGGCTCATAGTTGTAGACTAACCTTACTATTAGTAACTTATTACTGTCCAAGTTGTTGAAAAGGCTCTGCAAGTACTCTTCAGAAAAAGGAGTTCTTGAACAAATCTAGGAAACCTGGACGTCTATTTTACGTCTTTCCATAAACCTAAAGAGAAGCTTGTTACGTAACGGCACGGCCATTAGTGTAGTCAGCTGTGCCATTCTTCTCTTTGAATATTTTCTGACGCCGCAGCAATAAGCTCGACATTATGCATTGAATTTTCCCTGAATTTGTATTGATCTGAGATGCAGGGAGGGAAGAACGAATGAGGGCTCGCTATGAACACACACACACAGCATCACAAAAACACTTGGTTCAAACTGAGATTACATGGGAACACACACACACACACGTAACATATACACATTCATATGGCATCTAGTGCACAGACGAGTGTATAAACACATACACCCACACACATTGCAAATCTGTCCATGTTTAAGCAGGCACACGTATGCCCGTATTGAGGAGGAATATGAAATGTGTATGTGTAATTACATGGCAAACGTGGTAATGATCTGATGTTTAAATATTTCAACAGTTTTGTGTTGTGCCGGCACCCTGGCAATCCATTCTCAGGGACAGGCTCGGAGGCTGCAACACGAGACGCATGAGAGTGAGTGTGTGCACCCGACACGTGAGCTAGCTGTCCAGCTCAAAATATTCATGATCAGCTCAGTGCTCAAGGAGAAGAACAGAGAAGAGAAAACCTATGGAAAATACACCATAAATCAGGAGGGGAAAGAGATGGATGGAGCAAGAAGGAAGAGGGAATCAAAACGGTCCTTTTAAAATTGCTCATCCAGATTCTCTTCTCAGTTTAAATCAAGCTAAACTGGGTTTTTGAAAAATGATACTTTGGAAACAGTTCTGGCAATTTAAACTATTTTTTCTGACTGTCTAAAATTATAAAGCCAATTAATAGTGTCTTCATCACCCGTCTATGTGATGAATGCCAGCTGCAAAGTACGTTAAGTTCTGGCTGGCAAAACATACAGTAGTCACAGAGATGGGAACCGAGAAATGATTCTATTCCAAACTCAAGATAGGAAGAAGAAGTAGAAGAGGAAGTACCACTACCAAAACAATACTATTTTTGAATAAAAGTGTTTTCTACAACACACATTTTATTCACTGAAACGCATTGGGAGAACATTTATGTTATTTGTTTTGAGATTGTAGCAGTTCTCCCTGCTTCTTTTCAATCATGGATTGTGCGTTATGTTGTTTCAGATTGTAACTCATATTTAGTGTAAAATTTCACATCTGAGGTGTAATAATGAAAATAAGTGACACCCCTAAAACCAAATTTCCCATGTGGCTAAAAAAACTATCCATTTGATAGAGGGGTGAGCATGAACAGCTTTTAAAATTTCACCTCTCACTGCCATCATTACAGAAGATGAAGTCCCTCCATCAAAGCACTGAAGGGGATTGTGTTTGAACAGCAGGAGCTGAACAAGCCTTCAAGTGATGCCAAGCAAAGAGTTGACACCATCTGATGCACAAAGAACTGATTTACCCACAATCCCCTGGTGTTTTTGGGACTGCGAGTAATTCTTTCACTGATCTGCTTGGTTGTACGACAACTGCCAACAAGGCACTTGGTCAAGTCATCTTTGGAATTGTTTCTGATTGAGGCTGATGTAAATTAGGACACAGAGTGCGGGCAGGGAGGGAGCCACCTCACTCCTGCTGATGTGAAAATGGCTGTAAATGATGCCTGTAACCACAGTAACATTATGGTTGCTGTGACCAACAGTTTACTCATCACTGGGGCCTCCTTGTGCACTATCTAAGACGGTTCTTATAAACTGACAAATTCCAAGAGGAAGCCATTTCCTGGTGCTTTTGATAGATCCTCTTGACACACTGACCTAATATCTGTGCTGATTAATGTGCTCCTTCTCACCACTGTGGAACTGAATCTGGGTCAAAAGGAGATGCAAACGTGCGACCAGTCCACCTGGGGCATGAAATAGATACTGATATAGTGATGACTGACCCTGGGCATTCTTCATGCCTATACTGTACTCTACATATAAATTACAGCATGTGGTGAGCTATATGATCAGAGGTGTCAGTTATGAAAGCAGAAATAAGATCTGATAGTTGTGGGTGGTTAAAAAAATGACATCCAGAGGAGTGTAGAATTTTTTTCCTACATTACTCTGTGACACTCAAAATCAGTAAAAAGAATCCTTGTCATATGCAAAGAGACTGAGGCCACTAGTTTGATGCCAGGGAACTTTAATGCTCCACTAATATATATTTTCGTATTAACAATATATCAAATAACTATGTGTAATATGAAAGACAACGCTCATAAGAGTGTTTCAGTGTCTTCTAGCTCATTTGTTTTGCAGCCACAACTTTACTGTTGTGTTCACTCTCACTGCTCTCATCAACCTAGTTTCTAGACGTAGCAGGCAAGCTGCTAGCGGCTAGCTGGTGAACATAGTGGCCGATCAACTGCTCAAAGGCCAGATATTTCCCTCAGCAGCTGGTGGAGATTAAAACCGGCTGACAATGGAGAGTAAATATTTGACTTTATACTCAGTGGGCTGTCAGGATATCAGATTTTCACTACACGACTATAGTGGCCAAAAGAATTCATAATAATGATATTATTGTGACATCTAAAGCAAATTAAAAATAATATATATCAATGGTATCAGTCAAATTCAACTTTAACTTTGTTTATTGTGTGATTTGTCTTGCTCTCTCTTTTTGGCAAATGAATTAGACTGTAGGGAGTGTGGAGAGAGAGAGAGTCTGAAACCATAACTGTACAAAAGCATATTGTAAATCTCTTCCCATAAATATGTCTTCACATTGTAGAGGCAGACTTGGACCTTACCATCAACCTTGGCAAGAAAACCCAAAGAGGACATTCAATGAGCAATCAAAAAATCACAGCAGGCATGACACCTGCAGGTGACCACATATCCCCTGATGCCCTAAAAGCAGACAAATCCCACAGGACATGTCCTACATACAGGCTTTAATGATACCTGGGCCTTGGGGGAGGAAGCCATAGAAGAACAGACCATTCTGCTACATTTCCCATGAAAGTAACACAGAATAAGTAATGTTTCTATCAATTCCCACCAAAATCCTGATCATGCCGGACACAGGATACAAGGCATGCTTTTTAAGAATCTCCAGAAAGGGCATGTTGATTTCAGGAAAAATGCTTATGTTTCAGATGGTGTTTTTACTTTCATTCATTCACTAGCATTCAAAAATCAAGACAGAAAGACGTGATAGAGATCAAAACTGAATTAAACAAAGAAAGTTAATTTAGTTCGTTAATTCTCCTCCTCCTGCTCTAGGCAGGCAGAAACTGGATCTTGAAAGGGAAGCAGTATAACAGAACAAAATTTGCACAAATCTCAATAATAGCCACCACACAGATGGATAAAATGATATATTTATAAAAGATTGTGGATTTTAGTTTTAATATTTTACATAAGGACAGATCTACCGGTGAAGGTAACTCAGGCTAGATCAAGAAGTCACACAGGGAACACCTATGAAGCTGCTCTCTGCATGCTATGTGTACATTATGTGTATAGAATAAGGTTTATTTTCGACCACTGATGCCGTCTACACATCATCCACAAGAGCATCAAAATCGTGGACTACATTCAACCAGCATGTAGGCATCGATAATTCCTTTCCTGATGAAATATTTGATGAGGAGATGATATTAGAGTACTGACAGAGGAAATTGAGAAAGGAAGGAATAATGGCATAAGGCACCTTTTATTTTAATCACCCTGAAACCAGCATTAACACAAAGCCATGCTGGTGATGAGGCTGATTAGGTTGATGTCTTTTCTTCTGTCTGACGCAAACAGAAACACAGAACTAATTTCTTGTGGGAGACTCAGGCCGGGAGGTGGAGAGGAGAAAAAAAAAACAATCAGGGTGACATACTCCAACTGGAAAGGAAAATGCTTCTGAGGCCCAAAATACAAGCAGGTGGCATGATCACATGTGATGACATTTCCCTGAGGTCCTTAGAGGAGGTTATATAACCTTGACTCATTAGAGGATCTGATTGGATAGGCTGCTGTTTTCCCTCCACGTTAAACAATAAGTCTCTGAGGTGATACAAATTTTTATTTGGTTTTACTTGTCTTTTCAATTCCTCCTTGAAACGTTAAACTTCGTGTTTTCATACCTCCTGTGTACGAGTGCTCTCTCCAGACTCTGTTAGCAGTTTGATCGGGGTGGAGCGCTGGGACACAGATCCGTCATCGTCACGGTCTTCCTCGGAGTCGTCCTCTGATGTGCTGGAGATGGCCTCTTCACTCGGGGGAGGAGGTGCACTGGCAGCAGTCTTCCTCTGGAGCAGTGTCTCCTCCTTATTGCTCTTGTTGCTGCCAACATCCACACACATGCAGACGGATTAACATATGCACAAACACACACAATTAGCTCATAGATTTAGTTCAATTAATTAATTCAAATGTAAACTTAGAGAATGTTTGTATTTCTCCTTGAAGAGACCACACTTCATCATTTAAAATAATACATCACAGCAGTAATGGCACCATGTCCTTTCACAACTCCACCCTAAAAAAACTAGACTAATTACTGACACTAGCTTTCTGGTACCCAATAATCAGAGAGAACTTAGATCTTTCTACAGACAACTTCTGAGTGCACCCTTGATTCTTCTAACATAATCTTACTTGAGCTCAGTTTTTCCCACCTCTACCAAGAAAAGCCTGGTTGAATCACCAAATGGTGACTCAATATCTCCATAACCAGTCCATACTCTCCAGGGTGTTTGCTTCTGCATGACAGTGTGGGCATGTACCCTGCTGTTTTGATACTAATGATCATTTCTAGGCAGTGCTCACTTCAGTGGAATAAGGCAGTTAATGTGAAAGCTAATATGTTGGCTTATAATATCCTATTGAAATCTAATAAGTAACAAGAAAATGTGGAACAGCAATGCCAAAGATATGTTTGAGGTCTAGCAGAGGCCACTAAAAAATGTACTTTTCAAATGCAGTCACTACACACCTGAGTCACAATTCTTTAATATACATATTTAAATTATCCTTATCAAGATTGTTGATTTTTTTGTTTTGATGTAAAAAAGAAAAAAAAAGAGAAGAGGAACAGCCAATATATATCAATAAAGATTGTTTTAAGCTCTTGATATGGAGGTTGGTATTGGCAAATCCAGTATCAGGCTATTCACTCATATACACTGTGATGGTGAGTCACACAGACAAGATGAAGACTAGTACCTCAATGATTGAGGCCATGGTTCTGTCTCAGAAAATATTTTCATCTCATCCATGTGCTGGTAAGCAACTGTCCACACTAGGGCTGCAACTAATGCTCATTTCCATTATCGATTATTCTGAAAATGTATTTCTTTTGACTATCACATAAAAACACAAACAAAAAGCTGAAACCAGAAAATATGTGACATTTTAACTTGAAAAATGTCCAAAAAATGTATCAATTATCAGAATAGTTGCAGATTATTTTTCTGTTGATCAACTAATCGATTAATCAACTAATTGTTGTAGGGAGAGTTGAACCGAAGAGCACAACGAAACTTAGCAGTCAAGCTCAAATAAGGTTCTGTACAGGTTAGCTAGTCTACTGCTCCCTCACATCGAAAAGAGCACCTCATAATAACGGAGCCTCTGCTGCCCTGGCATAACCAGAGGAGAGGAGACCGAAAAGAACTGCATCTTTCACAGGGCCTGAAAGAACCTGGTGATACTCCAGGAGCCTGAAAATGTTGAGGGGAAAAAGGACCTTTGGTTTTCTCTACTCACCATGTTGCCATAGTCACCTGACCAAGATACGTGGCTTAAAAAGATGGATGAATAGATGGCTGTGTGTGTATGTGTAAGCACACGTGATGTGGTTCAAAGCCAGTGAGTCAAATCAGTCGTAAATGCCACATACTGTATTTTTCACAAGGCGAACAGACAAATACAATAGCAGAAGGCTCCCTCAAGAGTTAAGTACTCAAGCAAAACATTGAAGCAGTATAGAACATTAGGGTGGTCAGGTGTAGTGTTGTGGTGGTCACGTTTTGCTGTGCATTAAAGAGCCACCAGTGCATGAGGTTTCTAACCAAGAGAAATAACTCATTTTATAATAGTATGTGTGTGCAGGAGTGATTCAAAAAAAAAAAAAGAAAAAAGAAATATGCGAACACACACGCATGGACGCACGCACAGACGCACACAGGCACGGTTGCTCGCTGGTGAATTCAGTGCCGTGTGTTATAAACAAAGACAGGAAAAATGGACAAAGTGCTGTGAGAACAGAGTGAGAACACAGTGTCAAATGAGGTTGTGTGTATGAGGTCGCAGTGACACAGGATTTATTGCATCAAAAAAATGAAAAAATATATATATATATATACCTACGAAAACATAGCAAATGTGGACATGTGTATTGGCTTAGATTTAGATTTACTCACCCCAGCACTGATTTCCCTGTTTCCTCTGGCTTACGAACTGTGAATGGGCTTGGATCCACCCCTACAGTCTTGGGCATAAATTCCCTTTATGAACACAAAATAGAAGGAAACCCATTAGCAGACATCCTGCAGTACCATCGCAATAATAGCTAATGAATGTTTGCTACATCCTTTAAGTGAGGCGTTATTCATTGACAGAAACGTTTCAGCCACGCTTAAGCAATAACTTCACTGTAGTTAGCTGTAAAAACATGCCTTTGCTTGTATATTACAATCACCAACCTTTGTTTTTTTTATGTCCCTAAACAAAATCTTGGATTGCCAGAATTTCTGTCTAAAGGGGTTTTGTATTTGTGTTTTCACCTTGCGGAGTTGGTCATGGCGATGCAGAACGTGTCATCAAAGGAGGTGATTTCATAAGGTTTGAAGAATTCTGTGTAGAGGTCGGTACTCTCATCAAAACGGCTCACTCTTTTCACTTCGACTTTCTTCATGTTGTCCTCGCAGGGGACTGCATCCATACAGCAACAAACAGGGAAAACAAGCTTTACAGGGTATTAATCCATATAAATAAAATATATGGCTGGTGATATTTTATCAACATGTCCCATGAAAAAGCCTGTGTTGCAAAAGCCTGATGTAGCTTATTCCTCTGTGCCTGAGCTCCATTGTTGAACAAACACTACTTAAAACAATCATCAGAGAGCCACAATATTGCACTGTGAGACATATCTTTTTTTTTTTTTTTTTTGGCCATTTTATGTCTTTTTTGGGATAGCGGAGGCATTTGAGCCCATGTGGAAGTCGCCCTAACCATTCAGCCATTAGGTCACACAAAGGGAGACATATCTTTTAATTGTTGGTCCACCATTGGTCTAGACAGAAGTAGTTATTATAACAGAATTACTGGATGGATTTCCATGAAAGTTTGCAGAGATACCAATGATGCCCTGAGAATGAATTCTTATGACTTCTCATGTAGAGGCACAGGTTAAAAAATTATTATTATTACAATTAAAATATTTTTTTTATGATCAAACACCCATTCCTGTTAGCCTCAGCTGTTCTTTGTTTTGTGCTAATTAGCAAATGTAAGCACACTTACACGCTAAACAAAGAAGGCGAAGTAGTAAATGTAATTTCAACATTTTCATGTAAGTTACTAAGGCTCAGCTGTGCTGTAAGTACGACTGACGCTGATGTTAGCATTCAGCTTAAAGCACAGCTGAGCCTAAGTTCCTCACAGGGCTGCTAGCCAGCATGGCTATAGACTAAAGATTTATCTCTTCAGTAGAAATGAATGGCCTTGGGACTGAGAGCCACAGGCTGAGGAGGTTAAAAAGTACTGTGACACAGACTGATAGGACCATTAAGAGTGCCTTTTAAGCGCCGGATTGATAAGCAGTATCAATAAAAGTAGTAGTACCCTTAAAATCTTGTCCATGCCTGATTATGGATGTTTACAATTTTACATTTATTACAGATATTATATAATAAAGAGATACCTTCATCATAGGGAACAGGAAGATAAGACAGGATTCCCTCTGACCACCACAGTGTGTAGCTGGAAACAGACAAGATACATAAATGTATTGAAACCTTACAGAAAACTTTGCACTGACTCAGGTATTATTCTGCAGTCTGCAATGTCTCTTCTGCGACTTCACATAACCTAGATATAAAAATTGACTTGGCTGGACCACCTACTGTACAACTCCTGAATACATCAGCGTTTTATTCAATATGACCAATTTGAGTGTATGCACTGATTATGATTTAGTGTGTGATGTGCTACTTAGACGGGTTTGAGAGCAAAAGCACAGTGTGTGGCTGCCGAATTGAATTCAGTTCCGCCCATGATAATTTCTTGGAATAACGGCTGAGGTACATAGGCCCATTGTTGCTAAATAAACTAGTGGCCTGTATCAGAAAACTGGGTCTACTTTTATGTAAGTATTGAGACTATGGAAAGCAAACAACATGCATACTAGTATGCTCCCACACACATGCAGAAAATGCTCAGAGCTACTGTGGGTCAGACCAAACCAAACAATGTGCATTTCACAGACAACGCATCATCTTGAAGTAAAAAACAGCTTCATGAATAGACTGGAAGCTTAGTCTTTTCATGATGACATATGTGACATAGAGAAAAAAACAGTAATATTTTTCTTAATACTACTGTCAGGGAGGAGGAAGGCAACACTGGAAGTCTTTCCATCTCCTCTGTGGAATTGTTTTTTTTTTCTTAAACCTCACCTACATCATTCAGTGTAGACTGAGCAGCTACACGAAATCAGGAGTTTAATGCAAGGAATTACCATCTCATATTAGATGCAGTGGTGCAGTGTAATGTAGACACTGTATTGAGCTGGAACGGTAAGCAATGAAGCCTCAGGGCCTCAAGAGCATGACACATATAATTATACCTTGAGGCCAAAAGTCTGTGACCCTCGTCCAGGTAACGAGGAGGCTCGATCGTAACTACATGGACTGACCACAAAAGCAATCAAATGAAAATCCAGCCACATGCTTATGTGAACAACCTCAGCACTCATGGCACACTTGTATAGCTTGGGCTTAAAGAAAAAAAAATCCTATTGAGAAACAACAGAGCAGATGCTAATCTTCTGTGAGCGATTTCCCCACCGAGCTATTCAATCAGCACAAAAAAAAACACAAAGAAACTTTCACAACATTCCGAGCAACTGAAAGAGTTTAGGGTTAGGGTTTATTTGTGATGGTTAAGGTTTGGTTAAGGTGCTCATTATGTCAATGAGTGTCCTCACAAATACAGAAACCAACCTCTGTGTGTGTCTCTGTGTTTGGCTGTGTGTATACCTGCAGTTGTATATTCAGATGTAAGCATGCTTATGTAAGTAGGTTCTTAGATTTGTGCATGTATGTACAGTAGGTGGTTGTGTATTTGTAAGTGTATGAGTGTTTACCTGCGTCTGTCTTGGGGGAGGGCCATAGTGCTCTTCTGATGCAGGTAGAAGTCAGTGGGCAGCTCCCATAGGTGCGGCTTGGACTCTGATGGCTGGTAGACTTGGAGAAACAGGTTGATGGCATCCTGTCTGTCGGCATCTGGAGAAGCAAGATGGAAACAATAATGACAAAGACATTGTGAAACACAAAGGTGAAGGTAAAAAAAAAAAATCTAGATTTCTACATCATCATTTGTCGCTTGTGATGTTAAAACAATTAGTCAGTGAATCTTTTTTAATTGCATTTATTGTGAAAATACCACATTGTCCAAATTTCCAGCTTCTCAGGTTGTGAATTTTTGCTGTTTTTCTTAGTTTTATGTGATATTAAATTGATTGTTTTAGTGTTTTAGACCATTGATCAGACAAAACAAGTCATCTGAAAACATCTTGGTTTTAGGAAATTTTAACAAGCATATCCCACTGTTTTCTGACATTTTATGAATCAAATCATTAATTGGTTAAGCAAGAAAATACACAGAAAATTACTTAGTAATGAAAATAATTGTTAGTTGCAGCCCAACACATATCAAGTCTGTGCCGTGAATAAACCAATTCATCTGACTAAACCGACAGAAGCATTCTGTTCGTATTCCACAAAGTAACACAAAGTCCTTTTATTAGCTTTTTCCTGAGCTTTCAGCTAGCTATCAGAGTCATCATGGGTGGACAGAATTTGCTCAGTTGTCATGGAGATGGTGGAGATGGAGGTGGATGCATCCACCTCTTATTATGTGTTGTGTCACATGATGACAATGACCAAACTCTGTCTACTGATGTAGGTGTAGAAGAGATGTGACTGAAAGCTCCAGAAAATGTCAGTAAGTGGAGCAGTGTTAAGAGAAGACACTGCAAAGGCGCCAAATAATGAAATACAGGTAAATTTGAACTCCCTCAATCGTCGACTTTATGTTAACTGAAAACACACCAATGAAAAGTCTCTACAGCATGTTTGGCTATGAGAGCGTGCTGAGATAATCTCTGTGTGTGTTTGTGTGCTCAGCGTGTGGCACGTGTTTTGCATGTTGCCCAGTTTGGTGCCATTTAATCCATCCTCCAGCTGTGTAGCCACGTGAACGCTGCTCCAGCAGTCACGTTAGATAATTAGAAACTAAATTGGGTTCTATTAAAGCCTTCTATCAAGCCTTTTCTCTAGGTAATTTTCAGCCAGAGATTCAGTCAATACATCATGAGATAAGAGTTATGGATGAACATAATATACACGTGCAACAGAAGACATTGACACAAAGCCTTGTCTCATAACATGTATTATGAATGAAATGCACACAGTAAAAATCGGTCTACAGGTCTGTTCATTTTCAGCACACTTTTGCCACCTCTTCACTGGTCTCATCAAAACAGTCATTCAAAGTTGCTTCTACAATTCAAGAGGCTGCAAAACACCTCTTAGTGTGTTCTGAACGTTTGTCTGTCCAAACACAGACCAAACAGCAAATAATTTTAGTTTATTTGTTTGCAGCTGTGTTCCTCCACAACAGAGTGAATAGTTAAATAATATTAACAAGTGGCACATGGTTACCTTAATTGGTAAAGTCAAATATTATGTTCAAGCACATCTCTCTTTCAGATTACAGAGCATGAATGTGTTCAGAGGTGTGGAAATGCCTTAATGATAACTGTGTAAGGATATCCAGAGAGTGAGCTATGACTGAGTAGAGATCCTGGGCAACACACAGCCCAGAGGCAGGATTTCAAATGAGTATATGTACTCTACACATCTAGGTATTTTACAGAAGTGGCTTTGATCAGATATCAAGTAATATGGGGTTAATATTCTTTGCAGGAAGTCTTTGTGTTGATCCTAAAATTAGAGTTCAGTTTTATGGTTAAACCATCAAAAGAACAATTTAGTAGAGAGCCTGAAATTGCAGGCTTCCACAGAGATACAGGGTCAAACTTAGATTATTTCAATTTAATAACATCACCGTGACCAAGGGGAAGTGACTGAGGAGATATGAAAATCTGGCAAGTCTAGTAGGACATGAAAATGTAATCATGGGTAAATGTATGAAAATGGCTGTGCCCTGGTAAAAGGGCAGGTTGACAGCAGACAGTAGTTGGCCCTCAGATCACTGAATAGATTTTTCAGCTTTTCTTTGCCCTGATATCGACTTTTTCAGTGTCTTGAAGGGAGTGGAGATGCATAACTTGTGCAACAGTCATCTTGGTCAGCCACTTCATACTATAAGACCAGATATATTGTAGATCAAGGCATTATAGCTCATAGATTATTGAGCACTTGTATGTAAGATTGTCTGTGTGTGTGTTGCATCATATGAGCTCCTCTCTCTTGACATTTCAGTCTGAATAAACAACCTGCTACTCTCCGGGCTTTGCTCTGCAACCAGCCAGTGATCCCATTTTTCAAAAGACACGGAGAGGAGGTTGACTTAGGTCAAGTAGTACAGCTCTGTAACTCCTGGCTCAATACATAATGCAAAATCTTCCTCTTCATTTCTCGGGACACAAGTACCACCCTTGATGTGGAACAGTCACTGGTATGTTGTGAAAAGACATGTGTACACCCAGGTACATTTTCTTAGACACACTTTTGTCTAACTACAAGCTAGGGTGTCATTATAAATTATTAGAAATCTGAAATGCAGGAATTTGATGGCCATATTGTCAAGCATTGTTTGGCAATTATGCCCTGCTAATCAGAAGACAAAGAAAAACATCAATACAGGGAATTTAAAGATTTCTCCAGATAACAATATCAGAAATCACATGTCTAAAAAATCTCCTTTTTCCTAGGTTTTGGCAATAAAAGTTTCTATAAAAACATTGTAGTTGCCATTAAAATTGTTTACCAGCATCTACAGTACTCGGGGAGCTAGGATGGATCTGTGTATGTCTAAATTTTAAATCAGGAGTTGCATCACAATCTGGATATATAGAAAAGGTTTGCACTTGGTCTTATTGTAGTGAAACAATAAGATTTTTATGATGTGGAGCTCTGGGTGTGTAACATGCTCGATGTGATGTGCTGGATATCTTTTTCCACTTTTAAAACTACTATCTTTTAGAGAAGGAGCAACCAAACAACAGTGGAATTATACAGTAGCACTGGTCAGTCGAAAAAAGCTGAAATTAGTTTACCTGTGAATGTAGTACTTTTTAGCTTTATGTCAGACAATTTCTTGATCTCATAACATGTTGTGTCAAACTCAAATGATAAGTTACATCAGCTCCAATAACATGTGCTGATGGCAGAGCAGGGTTGCACAGTCTGAAAAGTTCCAAGTAGTCTTCTGAATGTTTTGTGAAAGACTGAGAAGACTCAAAATACTGAGAAAATACTTGAGAGGTTTGACTTAGGAATGCATTATGAAGCCTTTTTTCATGTAAATATCTTTTGTGTGTTTTGATTTCTTTATATATTACCTGAATGTACTGTATCCGTATAGTCTATAAGTGTATGAGAAGTCTAAGTTCAAAGTCTATGTCTAAAGTTGCTATGGTAACTTGAGATGTGAAGATGATTTGTGTAAGGCTCATGCAAATAAAAGACTTTACGAGCCGGTGTAACACATACCTGAGAAAGCATTGCTGTAGTAGCGAGATAGGGTCTGCATGATGTCTTTGGAGTGCTGAGTCCAGGGGGCGATCTTGCGGTAGGTCTTGACCCTATGGACCAGCTGGGAGCCGCCATACTGCAGAGACAGAGTGTCTCCATGGTCCTCGTACAGCTCTTCAAACAACCTGCACACACATGCACACAGACACACACACATGAACATACAAGCGATGGACAGGCACATACGCATAAGGTTGTGGCTTTCAGCGGACACAATCAGACATGTAATACACACACAAACACACATACATTTTCTGCTTCTATAGGACAACAGAGTGATGTGTATGTGTACATGTGTATCACATGTATGACTCATGTATGATTGCTGCAAGAAGCAATTTCAGCGTCCAATCAGAACTGGACATAGGTAGTAGAGGGCACAGAACCACAGATACCTGCTGCAAATACATCTGAATATAGTAAAAGTGCTGCAACTATGTGGAATTGGATTTTGTGCTGGAAACAGTGGGATAAAGGACTGGCGTAACTGTTCATTTGCTAATCGCTTTCCTAATAATTAAGACAACATAAATTACCTTGAGTTTTCAGACACATATTGATATAAGGCTGTAGCGATTACAATTCTTCATTTCGTTCGATGCAAGTATACACAACTGGTTCAGTCAAAGGAGTTTTACCTCACACAGTCAGTATCAAACTGCAGTTTCGGCTTGTCAATCATTCCGAGCGCATAAAGCTGATAGGCCAGTGCACACTTCCCCACCATGAACTGGGCAGTATTGGTTCGGTCCAGACAGTCCACACAGTTGGTCCGCAACACACCAGTCTACAGTGACAAAGACTTATGAAACTTCCTACACCACTTCACTAATCTACAAGATGTTTATGTATTATGTATTATGTATTAATATGTGTTTCTATTTGTTTACTCTGCTCTGTTTTTGTTTTTGCCTTTTTATATTCATATGTGCAAAAACTGCAAAGGAAACACTGAGGTGGAAGAGAAAATTATATTTTTAATGACTTAAGACTAAAGTTATACCAAAACAGATCTCTATGTGGCATACCTGCACTCGTCCACTGCCTGTGATGTGTCCACCTACATCTCCCCACCTGCAAAAATGACATTTAATTCAAATGAGAGGATAGAAAACTGGAAACAGACAAAACTTCCTTGTATGTATGCAATGCATATGTGTGGAAAAATAAGAAAATCAGGAACATAATTACAATACCATGTGTACTTTCACATCACTTATTCTCATTGTACTATAAAAATCCATAGACTAAAAAATATATATTACACATTTTAATTTCTTTTTCAGGAATAGTTTGACATTTTTTGGAAATACATTTATTTGCTTTCTTGCTGAGAGTTAGATGGGTAACTGGATACCACTCTCATGTCTGTATAGCAAATACAAACCTACAGCTGCTGGCTAGTTAACAACTTAGCATTAGACTGGAAACAAAACAAAAACTACAGGTTGTCCAGCACATAACCACCTGTCAAACCAAAAACACTTTGCTTTTACTCCAAATTAAACAAGGTAGATATAGTGTTTTAATTAATAAGCTTTTGAGGTCCTGGTAAACAGAATTTGTTACCTTTGGACAGAGCCAGGCTGTTATTTTACCCTGATTCTAGTCTTTATGCTATGCTAAGATAACTGGCTGCTGGTTGTAGCTTCATATTCAATGGAAAGATATGACAGAGGTAACAATTTTCTCATCTAAAAAAAAAAAAGAATATAAAAATGTTAAACTATTCCTTTAAAACAAAAGTAGGAGGAATTTTAGGTTTAGGTAAGTCCAAGAAAAGTCAGATACTGAGCAAGTTCCACCTTTGGCCATTTGCCTTCAGTTGTTATTGGTCTTTTTTTCCACCAATTCAATACACTACTCGCTATTCATCACTTTCTGTTTAAAGTGTTCTCCAAAAAACAGCAATAGGCAAAGAAGAATAAACTTGTGAGAAAAAAAACTGCCTTTAATTTGCTGAAAGGAGAAGCTCTGAAAACAGAATTCAATAGTTGGTGAAGGGTGAGTTTTAAAGCAAAGTGTTTCTCTACAGGGCATGAACTCAATGAACTGACTGAGACCAATGTAACTGTCTGAGAAAATGTAAGTGTAAATGTAGTGAGGTGGAGAGGATACACAAAGGCAGTAAGATAAAGATAGACACTGTTAAATCATCTGTGATCCTCTTGATTATTCATGAGCTAACTTATGCACGTGATCAAAGCTACAGATGTCATAATCATTAGTACATCTACATAAAAGCTTGTGAGTGTTTTCTTTGTGTTTGAACATTAGAGCAGGGGACTGTGTGCATTAGTGTGAAGTGAGTGTGTATTACAGAGAAAGTGAGGCAGTGCTGGGTAACGCAAAAGAAAGGGTAATAAATACTGAGCATGCTGTAGTCGTTGGGTTATGTAACAGAATGGTAATGTTGGATGAAAGTGATTAAAACATGCAGACAATGGAAGAGGCATGCGTTAAGAACACGGACGGCAATCTACTCCGCTCGTTAGCATAAAACTCTCTGCGGCACAACTGCCATCAGGCATAATTTCCATTAAGAATTCATATCAGAGAGGTTCCAAATTAAGCCGTGTGGATTAATGTATGATTCTGGATAGGTATGAATACAAAAATGGATAATACACTTGTTCTTCGAAAAAAATTGAGTCTGATATGCAAATGCACATGGGCCATCTTACAGTTTTCTTAACATCAATCATGCATAATCTGTTACTTCATTTTGATCCAGTGTGACCTCTGATCATTTTAACAGTGCTCTTGCTTTCTTGTAAAACAAGTATTATTGTGTTTCATGAACAAAGCTTGAAATCTGGTCGGAAAGTGTGTGTATCAGTTTCCTCTATTTTTACGAGACACGGCAGGGATAGTGTAGGATTGGGAAAGGCCCACCTGTCATCCGGTCTGAGGGTATGACAGTAGAAGTTGGATCGATTAATGAAGAAGCCTGTTCTCTTGACCACGTTCTCCGCGATCATACTCAGACGGTCCAGAACGTTGCACAACTTACTGAGAAAAAGAATGATAAAGAGCAAGGTCATATTAGTAGTTTCTCAAGAAATCAACCTGTTTCTGTGTCTCTGTAGCTGAGTTACAGTGATGATGTGCAATACTTCTAACTTTTGTGATATGCTTATTTAACTTTTTAACACAAGTCAAAAAAGGCAAAATTCTGGGGATAGTTGTCCTAACATGACTCTGGCACAAAAAGCAAATGTGCGTCATTCCTCGAGCAAGGCTAATATTTCACATGGAGAAAGCAGCTGCATGTCTTATTTTTACACCAGGCTTTTTAAAATACTTAATTTAAAAAACCTGAATTGATCCCAAATGGGATTCTGACATTGATGGAAGGCTGCAACAATTTTACTTTAAAGAAGAAATGTCAAAAGTTAATTTTGTGTCAAAGAATTACATAACTCTACTCTTCAATCCTAATGAAATTTGAATAATAATCTCAAGCATAATAGAAAATACCAAGAAGTATTGTATTTTAATTGTAATTATTTCCATAAAGATGTTGTCCATAGCATCCTAGTTAGCCAATTTGTGCTCCTATTTTATCTCCACACTAGCTCACTCGCGCTTTATGTGCTGTTGCACATTTTGTCTGAAACCATAAGTCAAAGTATTTTATTGGTAGACACAACTAAAATATCTTCTTTTGTACTGCAAAGGCTGCATTATGTCGAATTCAGGCAAAAAAAAAAGACTTATTTTACTACTTATAATACTACATTAACAAAGCTGGGTTTAAAGCAAATTTAAGCTCACTACATAAGCACATTTGTTATTTCAACCTCTTGGTGTAGCGGGCCATGTCCCAGGCAATGTAGTCGATCCAGTGGTCTGGAGGGAGGAACTGATTTAGGTTGATCACAGCTGGGTAGAGCTCTTCACTCAGGATCTTCTCATGTTTCCTTTTTTCCCGTTTCTGTAGCACAAGAGAGACGTGAAATATATCACATGTGTATGACCTTGGTTCTATAACAAAAAAACAAAAAAAAATCCTATTTAAAGGTGTTGATGTACAGTTATAATAGAATTCTAGTTGCTTAAAGGTCTCATGAGTACACAAACAGATATAGTCAGACATGTGACGGATTTTTTCTCTCTTTGATGCATTCACCAGTGACCTCAGAGAAAAATAGACCTGCAAGAAGCAATTTACAGGAAGAGATGGATATATGTAGTGCTGAGGACTGATGCTGCAGATATAAGTGGTGCAGCTATCTGAGATTTTTATGCTGCAGAGAGAGGGATTAAGGGCTGGAATAGCTGGTGCCTTTGGAATCCAATTATAGTAAAACATTTTAAATTTAAATAAAATAATTATGATCCAACTCAGGTTAAAAAAATAATAATAATAATTTGTGAAAAATATTTCTCACCAGAAAATTGGTGTGGTTAGTATATTAGTTAGTTAGTAGTTAGAGTATCAACTGACTGACTAGATTAACATTATTGTTTCTGAGGCCCAGATAGTTTTAATTAATCGACAAAGGGAAAATATAATAATAAAAAATTGAAACAAAAAACATTTGTTAATGAAAATGAGTGCACACAATCATAGTCCTTCTCTGTGACCTGTAGTCACACTGTCTATTAAGTTATTACTTCATGTACTCCTCCACCCCTCACTGTGGCTTTTTGACTGATCACCCTGAGTGATAATTGGCTTGGATGCATCATTTAGCAGCTCACATCTCCGTCCACACATCCAGCAATGGCAAAGAAACACAGCAACCAGTCAATTTATGAGTGCATTTCCTACATACATTTCCTCCTGCTCACTCACACTCACACACTCACACACTCACTCACTCACTCACACACTCACACACTCACACACTCACACACTCACACACTCACAAGACCAGAGACACATTTCACCTACAAAAGCGCACGTGCACTGTTCACAGGTATAAACCAGCATACAAATGCCACAGTAATAATCATGGTTGTAGATGTATGAAGGTGCAGTCACAGATCATAAATGAATCCACACATGCACTTGTACATACAGGGGGAGGCTGTTCATGTACATTTTAATGGACGGAAATGAGCTCTGTAATTATTTGTAATTATTATCTGTATATATAGTACAGTTTTACACAGTAAAGGGTTTACAGGATGACTTGTTTTATGTCTCTCATCTTTATTCCTCCTCCTCCTTTTGTGTGTGTTGGTTGGATGATGGGTGGTTGCTGCAATTTTGGACAGAAAAAAAAAAAAAGATTTTTGTTCTTTAGAAATCATCCTGATTAAATTAAAGTTAATAGATGAAATTTTTTTTTTTTTTTTTTTTTTTAGAAATGTCTATGTGAGGAGAGTAAAAGTTATCTCCCACAGTTGGAACAAATTGACTCTAATTAAGTTAGCCAGTTAGGAAAGTGATTCACATGCTTGGCCATGTGCACTCTCACTCTCCCTCTCTTATCATGCACACTGAGGAACATGCACTAACCCATGACAAAACCATGCACCCATCCCGAAGTTAACACAGCCACGCCAACCCCAGTCACCACCATGGAGAGATGGGCTGTCATGATTTTATGGTAAATTGCCATCCCCTTCCTCTCCCTGTCTCACTTGGATAAGCTAGAGGGTGTAGTCTATAAGCAGGGGGGTCCCCTCCCTTATTGCCCACAGTCTGCAACTGTCACATGGCTGCAGCTTGTGCGGACCTCTGAGGCCTGTGATTGGTCCCTTGCCTCACGGCTCCCCTTGTGAGTGACAATGTGAGCTTGCAAACCAAGCTACAGAGTGTATTGCTGCGTGCCCCAATGCGTCCATGTGATCGATGCGAAAAGGCATTGCAAAACTACTACTAGAGCACTGGCTTAAATGGAAAAATGTCTAACAGTCTAAGAAGGAAGAAGAAAATGGGGTGGGCGGGGGGGACTTTGTTTGTGTTACCTTTCATCAGGGCTGTGTCTGTTTGTGTGTTTCCCATGCAATGCATAGGGAGATCAATATTCAAGGGAGCATTTCAACTGCTAGTAATCACCAGCCACCAGGAAATTCTCTCGTGACTGTTGAAGTGAGTGCTCGGACTATTACACACTCGTATCCTTATTAGATAACTATCTGTTGAGTGATTCCACAGGCCTGTTATATTTTATCCAAAGACAACCACATCAACAATTCACAAATATCCACATCTGGATCTTACATAATCCTCACACTGAGAAGCCGGTCTTCTAAAAGACAATGCCAGCATTTTACAACATGGATCTTATTAAGATCATTTATGATAATGTACTGTAACTATAGGTTAGCAGTTTCGAGTAGATCACTCTTGCTTGCCATAATACAACATATAGTTCCCCAGAAAACAATTCCTAAATAAAAATATTCTTCCACTGGTATCCTGTCTTCTCGTCTTGTCATCATTTCTTTTCTTTCTGACATGTAAGCAAAACAGAAAGGGCCACAAATTCAATTAGAGAAGGAGTGAGGTAACAAGTGAGGTCTAAGCACTTAAATAAGTAAAATAAAAAAACAATAGTGCATCCCTTCTCTCATAACCTTTAGGTCTCCTCTAACATATGATCCTAAATCACTGTAGATACTATTAGTGACCCATTGAGTGGGACAACATCAGGTGTAGCTCCATATTTACAATTGCAAAAACTGTCCTGAATGAATTCTTTAGAAGTGTCTTCAAGCAGGATGTTGCATGATCTCTGCTAAATCACTGTAATTCATTCTGGGTAGATGTTTTAAATGTACGAACTCAAAGCACTGTAACTATTTCACAGTTTCACAGCCACGGTCAAAGAATTAAATAACTTCAAGGCACTTATAAAGAATGTATACTTACATAACTGTCTTCAAGTTCAAATGAATCGAAATTGACACATTGTGTATTGTGATGTAGTTTACACAATATATACAGGCAATGGGCTATAATTTTATTAGTTAGTTAGTAAAAGTTTTATTAGTATTAAGACTCAAAATGATGATGATTTGTGTAGATGTAGTATGTGAATGTAACATTTGTTTCTAAAAAAGACAATGCCTATGCAAATATTCTCTTGATGAATGTTTGAAAATGTCAGTTGACCCTTTTTTCAACATTTGCCAGTTACTGTTTTTTAGTGGGATATCCGTTTTGTTCTTGTTATTCCCATTGTTCATGGGTTCATGTTCATTCAGCCAAAATGGGGAAAGGGTGTGTGCATGTGTGTTACCTTGACCAGGTTGAGGATGATAATAGGGGAGCCAAACCGCTGTAGCATCTGGTCAAAATGGAGGGCAGCTACATGGGCGTATGGGTCAGCTTGATCCACTGCAAGAGAGGGCAAACTGGTTGCTTAACATTTAAGGCATTGAGGTCACCACATGTTACTGAGTAGCTAAAAATGATACAATATCTTATCAGGATGTCCCTGTTGAAAGTAAGGACACAGATAGTTCATTTATCGGCTAAATTTAAGAAATTATGAGCAAAATCTGAAATTCTCAAGGCATTTCTGAGCCCACTGGTTCAGATCAGATAAATGTGTGTAACATCACCAACACAGAACACGTTGGACTTTGGGCTGTGTCATTTTGAGGATGAACTTTTCATCAAAATCCAAGGATTAAACAAAAAAATGTTTTTTAACTGAATCCAGCTTCTTCTCAAAATTCAAGCTTCAACTAAAACACAGGGAGACGAGGTAATGCGCGGTAACACGGCCAAGTCTGTTTCATAAAGCCGTTCCGGCTTATTGTCCCACTGTTTCATGCGTTCACTTCCATTTTCATTCTTCTATCCATTCTTTATTTTAAAATCATATTTAATGCCTCCATTTGCCACTCATGCACAGTACCACACCTGCAGCCCGCCGGCAAATTGGACCAGTGAAGCAGCCAGAAGGCAGATTAGAGGAAATAGGTCAACTTGTTCCACAGTTTATTCCACCCAGTCTTCTGCAAGTGTCTCAAAAACAGACAGTACAAACAAAAGCTTGGGCACATAGTTTTCAACTTCACTCCACTACTGCTACTGAGGCCTCTGCGGGGACGAGGGTTTAGGTAAACATAAAGAGATGGCACCCGATAACATTCTTATTGCACCTTGGGAAGGGAGCGTTGATAGTGATAATGATGATGAAGAAGAGACGCCCATTCAGGTCATCTCCATCACAACCAAGACATCTGACCACTTCAGGCCAGTCATAAAGACATTTTATGTATACTTATGTAACAATTAGTCTCGACAGGCATGGCAAAGACAGGCAAGGGGCAGTGCATCCTGGGATATGGATGAATGTACTCAACATGCATAGACACTGAGCTCAAAGCCACGTCGCTGACCTAGATTCGTCTGATGTCATTCTATGCAGCCCACATCCAAATCAAATGTTACAATTGTATTGAACGTGGGCTGATTATTGGTCTGGTTCACGCTGTACCTACTTTTGCATACTTGATGCTTCATGTCAGTTTCACAATAGTCAAGGCTGTGGTAGAAAAAATAGATGTAAAATGTACTACATTAAAGTCCAAATGATTTGAGTTGCATCAAATAAATTTGTCATTCCCCTTATTTAGAAATAATGTCGAGGTGATTTTTGAAAATATTTTTAAATTATTTTTTAATAATCAAAAACAAAGGGGTGGATATTTGAGAAAATTTCAAATATGTTTCTTTTTCTCTCAGCCTCTGTATGTGTCTCCCAGTGGTGCCCTGACCGGGGCACAGGCAGACACAATATTCAAACTCTATTATGGTGCTGGTTTTGGGAAACATGCTTATTCCCTTTCTTGAAGAAAGTTAGATGAAAAGATCGATACTGGAAACAGGGAAACACTTAGCCAGACCATGCACTACATATGCGAGCTACAGACATGAGAGTGGTATTGATCATCCAAACTAATTCTGAGCAGGAAAGCAAATAAGCTAACTTCACCAATGTCAAATTATTCCTTTAGGCTGTTTAATGTGCTGCAGCTGAGAAGCTAATTAGTTATCAAGCCTGCAAACTGATAGTAGTGCACTTTTTCATTGTAGATGTTGCTTTGGTTGTGGCTATTATTGTGCCCATGGACAGTTATGGACAGTTGTGATGTTAATGCAAATACAGCTTAAAATAAACACAATTTGATAAGCTGTATGAAAGCAAGCTGTCCATTAACACGGACAACCGAAGGCACTTTGACTGGTTAATGCACAGAAAAGGGTGCAATCATGAAACCAAAAAATATCAAATAAATTTCTTTCGTTTTTGATTTCTGTCCCCAAAATGTCCCTTGTACGTGAAAGCCACAGATGGTTAGCTTAGCTTAGCACAGAGAGTAGAAACAGCTACAGGGCTCTCTCCAAAAGCAACAAAAAACTGCCTACCATAATGCCTACAGCTCAGAACAGAAACTGAAGTGTACTAGGAACACAATATGGTTTTATAGGGGCTATGTGCAGGATTATTTCTTGGCCAGGCTGCTGGTCGTAGCTTCATATGTACTGTAATGACACAAGAGTGCAATTGATCTTTGCATCTGACTCTTGGAAAGAAAGCAAATAAGCAGATTTCCCAAAATGTTATTATCATATATAATATAATTTTACCTTTAATATATATACAGACATGATGACAGTATTATCATTAAAACACTGTACATAAACCACTACTACAGACAAAGTAAACCAAACCCAACATGAATAATTTTGTGGTTCTCTCTTGGTGTTTTCTTTATCTGCTCAAATATGTATTAGTGAATGACAAATTAAATAAATCTTAATTGGAGACAAACATATCATGTAACAAAGAAACATATGCCAATACCAAGGGCATACTGTGTCAGACTACACACACACAGATCAAAAGATAAACTGATGGTGCAACAATTGGGCAACAATTGGGAAATGTAAAATAAAGACTGTCTTTAAAGATCAAAATGGGCCCAGGATGATGAGGTAAGTTGATACACAGAGGGATCTTAGGGACAGGCTCAGTGTCTCTATCTCACACAGGTAAATGTCATCCAAGTATGAATTAAAGGGCAAACTAGGGGGGGAAAGATTATGATTTAATACAGGCATTGTACACATGCAAGCACCAATGTCTTCCAGGCTATACACACACAGCAGTCTCCAGTGTCATCATTCTCAGAGACCTAATCACCTCCCTCTGGCCCTGGTTTTGTGTATTTATCTAGTTCATAATGAGATGGGAGAATGGATACAAAGATGAATACCAAGGGGGGGTGTCCTGCATTCACCTATTTCTTTTATTTTTTTTTTATCTTGAGAAGAATGGCCCTGGTAGAAAGCCACTGTCTTGTTTTAATGCATTTTTTCTGATTACATTCTTCTTCTGTCCCTGCAAGGTTATTTGTGGTCCTAGAATGAATACAGTGAGCATTATAAATATAAATAGTTAAATACCCATTCAAGAAGATATATTTGTGTCCATCATTTGTTATCTGTCCTTATGTATAATGGCAAAGTGGATATAAGAAAAAAAATGTATCAAAGCCTGGGCAGCTTTGCTAGCTCTCTACCATTTCAGTTATAAAGCCATGATACAATTTGCTCATGATACTGGACAACAAAGAGGCTGCTGCTGCACACAATAAGACATATATCAAAAATAAACGGGTGTCTTACGTCGTATGGGGGGTTTTGGCATCATGGTGGAAATGTCCTGGGACCAGTAGAGCGGGACTGAACCTCGCACTTGGACGTATGAGGAGTAACTTCCAGCTGTGAAAGACATAACTGAGGCGTCATGGACGATCTGCTCTGTCTCTACTTCATTAGCAACATCCCCCTGAAACAAAAGAAAAGCACGAAGAAAATTTAAATAAGGTTGATAAAAAAGAAAGTGGGGCCTAATTAGTAGCTGGCCTGGAGCTTTAGATCCTATCACATGAACTTTATCAACAGATGGAGTTTAGTCAGTTGTCACAGAATTGCAAACGTTCAAATTTCCATTTTTTGATGATTGACTTTTCATTTTTCAGCGTTACACCGGAGATCCGGCACAGTGGCGGAATACTTTAAGCCCTGCATATCTGTGCATTTTCTGCTATAATGAGTGAAAATGTCGATTGTGAAAAAAGCTGTGTTAGAATGAAAAACAGTTTGAAAACTCTATGTGGCAAAGCACATAACAGCAGGAAATGGTGAAAATAGTGTCCAACCTAATCACGGTGGAATAGTCCAAATAGAAAGAGGAAATCTGTGTTTGTTCCTAAAGTTCCTCCCTCCTCCCGCCACTCACCCACACAGACACTCATGCATACTCAAGGAAGAGGCAGCAGGTCAAATTAACCCCCTGTGATCACTCTGAGTCATCTCAATCATCCTGGTGCCTCTAAGCCCGCCTCCACTATCTATTCTTCCCTGTTGCCTCGACAACCGCTGTACCTCACAGTTGGCTCCTCTTTTGAGGAAGCGGGTCCCGGCGAATTTGCTGGATCTCCTGGCAATGAGAGTGATGTGAACTGGTCGGCCATAGATGAGAAGCTCTGTAGTTGGTGGGTAAAGGAGGAATACTAATCATAATAATATGACACTAACAGCATTACACAATCATCTGTTGGTGAACACACATATACAAATTTACAGTTTTAAATTTGTGGTTTTTGTAATCCCCTATTATTATTTTTTTTACCCTAACTACACACTTAAATCAGAGGAAAACTACCATTAGAAATATTACAATTATTCATATTTATGACATCATTATTATTATAATCACAGATCAACTCAAAAGTACAGTAAATCTTAAACTACAAGCGAAAAGATGCTTGCTGGCTGTTGAAGTATTACGGTCAAGGGAAATGGAGTGTAGTGGGTCTAAAATATCACTTATGTTTATTGCAATCACTGATTTGCTTAAAAGTAAGTTAGCCATAGGAAATAAAAGTTCTGACTTATTTCTAAACAACTAATCTACTATCTGACTCAATATCAGTTGTGTTTTATATGCTATGTCATGTCCTGTCACAAAACATAAAAACAGTTTGCGACCAAAACAGGACTAAATCATATACTGAGGAATGTTTGAATGAGGCCAAAATGTCTCCCTTTTCTTCACCCACTGTCTTATTGCATCTTTTCAAAAATGTATTTTCTCCTGCCTGTTTCAGTGTCTCCTCATCAGCTACAAATTTCTGCATTTATCGTATCCACTGAATCTCCCACTATTGCACCCACCAGCCCTCTTATACTGGCAAGAAAAAACAGCACTGAAGGCCAGTTTACAGGAACTGTATAACATCAAAACACTCATACAGTGTCTCTGTGGCAACATGCTGCTCAATAACAAACGCTGACTGATAAGAGATGGCAGCACTAACTGTAAAGTGCATCCTAACTTATCTACCTGCTGCCTTTTAATGTGCAATACAATGGCATTAGGCAAGCATAGAAACACAAAATAAAGCGTTCGAAAATACTTCATTAAAAAATAACCACTGAAATGCAAAAAGGAAACACATTTACACAGCTTTGTATGATTTATGTAAAGGGGACCTAATGGAAAATTATTGAAATCTTTAGTATAGATAACCTAAGGCAGCCTTTTACTATAATAAATCAAACTGTTTATTCAGCTCTAGTCTAGCCCAAAGCCCCTCTGCAGCAGTAACCCATGCATCAATACTACAAAAGCTTCTCAAAAAAATGCAGAAGAAATTATTAATGTAGAGCCAAATACAAATTCCTGGTCCACAGCTTCTGTCTAGTCAAGACTTAAAAGCAAAAACTACTGAAGCGCTGAGATGCAAAACAAAAAAACCCCCAAAACAAATGAACAAAAAATATGTGTGTATGCATGTACAAAATAAAAGCCATGTATCACATTTGATTAAATATGCAGAATATTGCTGCTTTCTCCCTGCAGATAACAGATGAAGAGATTATGCAAGTGGCAGTGTTTACATACTTGATAATCATTGCTTAATTGCCATCATACTTGTTCTGCTAAAGCCCTAAAAACAAACAAAAATTGATTCTGCAGTTCTGTGCTGAATCACACACTCTCGCTCACAGTGTAATCCACGTGCTTTGATGGAGGTGGAGCACAGTTCAACAAGTGATGGTGAGAAATGAGGGGGAGTGTTGACAAAGGATGACAGACTTGTGTCTTCTACAAGTGTTTCTTCTACACTGATTCTGACAGATGTTTTCTGTGTATTTCATATAGTGTTACAATCTATTGAAAAGCACTGTGCAGTTTGTAAAGCAGATTTTTTACATGGGCACATTTTTTTAAGTTTGTTTTAGAACACAAAGCAAAAAGTTGTTGATGCCAAATTTTTTTTGAAAAGCACACACAGGGATGATGATAATAATGATAATTCTGTCATGCACAACTGAAATTGACTGACAGTTCTCAAAGGATACTGGACTGGCCACAAAAGCCATGGATTATATACATGAGCCAGTCATGATGCACTATGTCCTTGACTCGTTCCAGCAGCCTCCCGTTCCACACGTACTTGTAGTAGGGCTCATTCTGGAGGCCGTAAACAACTGTGGCGGAAGAGTAGGAACACATAAAACCTCTGGATTATTTTACCGACCTGGAATCAGACCATCATCACCACCATCAGTTAGAAAGCAACAAATGGAAAAAACGATTAGCTGAGGTGACACTGGCCTTGGAACAAGATTATATTTAGAGACATTAGTAAATTGCTGAAACTGGAATTAAGCTTATATTATTGTATTACAATACACATCATAAATGACAGAATACATCGGCCAAGGCAAATCAAGTTATTTTCCAATGGACTTCAGTGGCTTCAATAAGGTTAAGGCAAACCTGCTATAGAACAGATTTAAATTAAAGCATCTGGCCGTGACTTATACATCAGTAACTCTACACTTTTTATGGGCACCAATGACAAGAGGAAAAAACAACAAATATGCTGACATTATCTTTCATTGTTGTTTTAAAAGGCTTATTCACCAAAAAGGTAAAACCCAGTCGTTTAACTAAAGCTGCATATTTGGAAAAAACCGACATCAGATTTTTTCTGATTTTTATGACAGCAGTTTTACGGTATAAAGAATTATAGGAATGCATAATTTCTGTCAAAACAGCTTTTTAAATTTGCACCTAAAATGGACAACAAAAGGTATTTAGGATTTATGTGAATTCTATGGCAATAATAAGTGGGGAATAAAATAATAGGATATAAATAATAGAAAAAACAACCTTTCAATATGTTACACAGGCACACAACAGTCAACCTGAAAACTGTAACCTCTTCTTCTCATCTTCACTGCTTCTGTAGACACTACTCTCTGCCTTTGTGTACCAAAGCATCTCATTTGGAGGTTTACTGAACTATAGTAATAACACTGAGAGAAGGCTATTATCCATATACTCTGTTCACTGTGCACAACCTTCTCCTCTCTCTCTCCTCCTACTGCCATTCAGTCACTACCAAGGTCTCTGGTTCACTACTATGCCTCTTTCCATTCAAAACTTGTCTCCTTTAACTTCTCTGTGTTAGTCACCTTACAAGCACACACCAGTATGAGTATGGAGCTCTGGCAGATTGGTCTGCCAAGGTCTTCTCCAGCCAATAGAATAAAATAAAGGACTATAAGCTACTGATTGATATATTAAATATATATTGATATATTGATCATCTTCTGCTTACCTTGTGTAGGCAAACCCTCATCTTCAAAGATGTCAAAACTGTCCTGCTTGCTCTGCGTGTGTACCTCTTCCTCAGTGGAGGAAGCTGCTGACGACCACAGTTCATAAGGCCTCTGCAGCAAAGTCAGGTTGTACTGCAACGAGTGGCTCAGGTCATAGCTGTAGCTGCAGGGTATAACAGCAGTGTCATTTCATCTTTTGTCAGTTATTAACATTTTTACCACATGTCAACGTGACACATGCAAAATGAAAGCCAAATGTTTTTTTCTGATATGAACTACTCACACTGTGTTATCACTCTTTCATATATTTTTTTTTACTTATTAAGTAGCTGCTTGCTTAAAACTGCAATAAACAGACATAGAGGCAATAGGAACCTTTGCATTAACTGTCACTGAAAAAGCTGACATATTCAATCAAATCTTCAAGCTGTGTGCAAACTCCTTGTAGCAACCAGGGGCACATTGGTCAAGATAGAACTAAATTAAAGCCTTTTTAGATGTTACAAGGCTTTATCTGACCTTCATCATCACATATTGTTAGCCTTGTGTTGAGTTTATAACAGCTTCAAAAATTAAAAAATTGAAATCTTGGCAATTTCATCTAGATTCCAGTAAGCCTTAAAGACATGACATAAACAGACATGTACAAGCCAATCATGGATTCATATCTTAGATTTTGTTCATTCAATTCATTATAGTTTGTGTGAAAATAAAATTATATATTTTTTAGAAATGTCCCATATCACAATTGTTCACATCTCCTAACCTTTTACCAGGTTCCCCTGAAATGTGTTCATCAGTTTATTAGATAACCTGCTAACATTGCAAACAAATGGGGCAAAAAAAAAAAGACCTACTTTAAGAAGCTGGGCAGGTGTTGAAAGCCCCCTCAAAGCTGAGTGTACTTGATGTGTATTATTATTGATATGTGATGCTTTGCCTAAAAATGTATTTTTTCCACAGAGAATTTGAAGTAAGAATTTGCCTTACCTGAAGTAGAAGTTGCTGGAGAGGTCCACGTTCTGAAAGATCCGCACATACCTATAAAAGGTCATGAGCAAGAAAACAAGAGTTAGACTGATGCAGATAGGCATGAGTAAGCATAGGCACCAATTGTGTTTCTACCTTTTCTTATTCATCATCTATAAATTTTCTTCTTCTTTCCCTTGAAACCTATGGTAAAAATTGATTGGGGATGATGCTTTTCACTAAGTTGGAATTTTTTTTTTTTTCCCTGCTGAATCCTGCTGTATTGGCTAAAAACATTTTATCTTATCGTTTTCGTCCTTGAAAGCTACAGTGTGTGTGTTTGGGAAACAAAAGCGCATTCACAATCCTCCAAATGGCGCCCTTACAAATCTAAAAAGGGAAGGGGAGAGAGAGGGGAGAAGTAGACATTACCTTGCTTCATCGGGGTGTGTAACCCTGACCGAGTCATTGGGGATGTAGATCATGCTGGTGTCTTCAATTTTATAGATGGAGTGGCCACCGATGTCAGCCATTTTTCTGCGCTTGGTGATCAACACAATGTAGTACCCCTCCAGGAAACGTACAAACCCTGTTAAGGTAACACAAAAAAAATTACAAAATTATTCTCTTTCAGAATAAACTAATTTTCTTTCCAGGAACATTTTTTTCCACCTTTCCAATGACATAAAAAAAACTGAGCAAGCTGATATGTAGGTCAACCTCTTTGTTGCCTGCAAATCAGCTACAACTTTGATAATACAAACAAGTGAACTACTGTGTTTGTGGAGGTGGGTCATGAGTATTTGTGTGTCATATTACCTATACACTCCAATCCATTTAGTCTTACATAATTAAAATCTGACCCAGAAAGTATCATGCAGCATAGTCAATGATTTGATTTTAGCTTTTGATGAGCTATTTTGTAATCTGTGGCATTCAATAAATAATAGATGGATGGGCATGATGTCTGTGTGTTTTTATAATAGTCTGAATATTATTAGCAATATTTGCCTCATCAAGGCCAGTGGTTTATGTAAGTGTGCCAGTGTGCTAGACATGCACCTTCATTATATTACTACTAAGATTAATTTGTGGACAGCTCAATAGTGTGAATAACAAGTCCTTGTACATTTGGACCATTTACGATAACAGAAGCCCCAGTACGATTGTGATGTAAGCTGACTAGTAAGGATGATGAGGTTCATATTGTGTTTCCAAATAAAATAATACATACGTAATGCTACAAAAGCAGACACAAGTTATCAGACAACTCAAGAAAGTTGTATGATATTGCCAATATCACACTCTATTTGTGTTTAATTACCTTGAACAACAAACTCTGACTTGCGCGAGGCATCTATGACTCAAAGTCATGCTGCTGCATCTATTTTAACCTCTTAATTTCGACCTGCTTCCCCCTTTATGAAAGTATGATACAATATTACTGGAGTATTCTGAAGTTTACCAGTATCTACCAAGGCCATCAAGTTGTCCTATGTAGTAAAACTTTTGATCTAAAGCATTTATTGCACATACAGTATGACATACAGTCATTTTATTTGTTATAGTACAATACCACTGTCTTTTTGATGATGGTTTTAATTATACAACAAACCACACCTTTATTCTGTTAGTCTATCTATTTGCCAAAGAGTGACAGTGTTCACCAACAGAAAACAAAGAAAAGCAGCATGTTCAAGTCTATGAAAAACACATAATGTTGCATTACAGCATTTTGTTGTGAGCTTTTCTGACGCCTCTGCTAAATAACTTGACTCATGACCACTGGGCATTCATCTGAAGAATTTACATTAAGAAGGGCAGGTATGTCCAAACTTGCACATATGAGGTATTTTTCCCTGTGTAATGACAGTTAACTAAGTGTGTGAGGCACAGCCATGTATGAAAGCAAAATATCCTTCCATAGCCCACTTAATATTTTCTCACTTGTGGCTTTGCTGCTTTACAATTCCTGTGTCAGTTCATTGTGTTCCTTCTTGCCAGAGACGGGTCAGACTGACAAAACTGCCAGATGAAAGTGAATAAAAATATACTTAAAATAATGGTATTCATTACATACTGTATTAAGAAAGGTGCCAGGCAAAAGGGCTCTCAGGATACACTGTACCCAACGTGGCTGCATCACTCTTTTATTCCATATGACACAGTGACTTTGACAAAAAGCAGCTTGTCAAAGATGGCACAGTGGAAAAAAGCGTCTCACTTATTTGCGCAGACGCTGAAGTCTGTGTCAGTGTGACCAACCCTTCTAAAGCCTCAAAGATAATGCTGAATTTAATCTCAAAAATATACTATTACGGCACTTATTTAAACGGGAGTAGGACTGAATTTTATCTTTGATGTATTACTGTTATGCCCTGAAAGAGCCTCTGCAATATTAGTTAAGAACAGCTGGTATGTTCCTTGGCCAGAAATGGATACATATACACACACACATACACACACACACACACAGGAACAGGATGAACTGGAAAGTAGAATTTAAGACCGTTGCAATTGTGACATATTTTTAGCAGCATGACTCAGTGGATGGCAATATCAATCAGTCAATCAGTCAGTGAATCGGTCACTAAAATATCTCCAAAACTATTGGATAGATTGCTGTTAAATTTTGTACAGACAGTCATAGCCCACTGAGGATGAATGCTAGTGACCAAAGCAACAAAAGGCAAACATTAATGCCCAAGTGAAACCAGATATCACCTAATTTATATAAATTAATTATAAATACAAAACAAGTTTAATATAGGGGTACAGTTGTGCAGTGGTTAGCGCTGTTGCCTCACAGTAAGAGGGTTCTGGTTTCGGCTAGGGCCTTTCCGTGTGGAGTTTGCATATTCTCCTTGTGCCTGTATGGGTTTCCTCCATGTACTCTGGCTTCCTCCCACAGTCCACAGAAGCAGGTTAGGTTAAATGGCAACTCTAAATTACCCACAGGTGTGAATGTGAACGTGAATGATTGTTGTTCTCTGTATGTTAGTCCTGTAATAGACTGGGAACCTGTCTAGGGTGCACACCAGGTTTACAAGCGCACACACACACACACACACACACACACACACACACACACACACACACACACACACACACACACACACACACACACTCTGACAGGAACGGACAAACATCATCTCCACGAATTGGATTAACCTCCAAAATAAAAGTCTCAACATGGTAAGAGGGAATTATTGGCTCTGTTGTACAAAACCTTATGCCAGTCTCAAAAAGGTAGGAGGTAAAGTAGGTCATAAAAGTTCGATCTTAGAAGCTATTGTCTATTTGGGGATATAGTGGTATAGCTTTATTGCAGATCAACTTCTGTTAGGGCATGTACATGTGTGTATACAGCGACTGAGGGCAGTGTCCAGATAAGTCTCTACGACATGAATGAAATTGAAAGTAACATCCTTTGTACAGATTGAAATGAGTGGAGTGAAGTACACGCACCAAGCAGCAAGCACATTCAAAATATCTCCAGGAATTTTCTAGTTTGAAATCACAATTTGAAATCACACATTATAAGCTTCACAAAGGTAGCAGTAGTGGAGGTGGTAGCAGGGTTATATTATTGTGAATTTCATTATACCGTCAGGGGCTCCTTTTATTTCATGTTTTCCATCTGCTGCTCTCAATAAGTAAAACCAGGTCAATACCTGTAGTTTAAAACTAATGCTTTGGAGATGAGTTACATGTTGCCATCATTGTTCCCCACAATGGCTGTTGCTATGTCAACAAGAAAAAGAGTAGAGGGACTATACTCACCGACAATCCCAAAGGCTGAAACAGCCCTGGACAGACCTGAGGAACCCTTTTGGCCAATTTTGGTGCGGTTGCCCAGGTCAAGGCGGCCCAGCAATTCCCGAACCTCTTGCTGGTTGTACACATGCTTTGGAAAAATACACACACACAGATATAGTATATACATGAATACAGCTGTAAGCAGTTTCTGTTTCTTCATTTATGTGCACAGTTTCCATATTGTAGGAGACCACAAACATAGCTTTTCTCAAAAGAAAAGCTGCTGCTTGTGGACAGCTAATTTTCAACTTAATTCAGAGCCCTGTACTATAAAATTCTTTTCTGTGCAATAATAAGTAAATGACAAACAGGCCTTGTTTAATCAATGGCCCTACATTTTGTACAAAGGGGTTTAGACTGATCCTCAGTGAGGCTATTAAGCCAGAAATAGATTAGCTGCTCTCCAAATTCTTTTGGCAATATTGTAATGACTAAACAGTAACTGTGCTTCTTATTATTCACTTCTAAAGAACAAATTCAAGCAGACCAACTACTCTGCAAACAAGTCATCTGCACAGGAAGTTTCTCAATTCATACAGTAGCAAGAAAAAGTAAGTGAACCCTTTGGAATTACCTCAACTTATGTATTTATTATACATTATATTCTAATTCTATTCTTATTATATCCTAAAATATGGTGAAATCATCATACTAGTTACAATTATGAACAAACACAATCTATTTTAACTATTAACAAACAAATTATGAATATAATATTTTATTGTTCATGTCCATATTGAAAACATCACTGGAACAATCAGAGTGTAGGTTGGAACCTCTCCACTAATGGCATTAATAAAAGCTAATTGGAGTCAGGAGTTAACAAACCTGAAGTCTAGTCAATGAAACCCGATTGGAGGTGTGTTTCAGAGCTACTTTGACTGATAAAAAAAACACTTAACACACACTGCTGATGTGAACCAGGCCTCGCAAAAAAAGAAAAAAAAAAAACTTTTGATCAAGAATTGTTGATTTGCATAAAGTTGAAAGGGTTACAAAGACTCAAAGAGTTTAAAACACTGATCAGTCCACAGTCAGACAAACTGTCTATAAATGGAGACGATTTAGTTCTGTGGCTACTCTCCCTAGAAGTTGGCGCCCAGCTGAGATTACTCCAAAAGCACAACAGAGAAGGATCAGTGAGGTAACGAAGAACCTCAGCGTAACAGCTTAAGGCTTAAAGGAATCATTGGAGCTGGCTAACATCTCTGTTCATGAGTCTACCATACACAAATCATGGTACATGGTTGCATGGAGCATGGTGTCGCGCCATGGACACCACGGAGGAAGCCACTGCTCTCCAGAAAAAACATCACTGCGCCCCTGCAGTTTGCCAAAGAGCAGCTTGACATTCCACAACACTACTGGGAAAATATTTTATGGACTGATGGAACTAAGGTTGACTTGTTTGGGAAGAACATGCAGCACCATGTATGGCGTAAAAAGGCCACTGCATACCAACGTGAAAACATCATCCCAAAGGTGAAGTAGGGTGGAGGGGTTTTGCTGCCTCTGAATCTGGACAGCTCAACATCACTAAGGATAAAATCAATTCCCAAGTTTATCAAGGTGTCTTACAGGATAATGTCAGGGTGGCTGTCCACCTGCTCAAGCTCAGTAGGAGTTGGGTGATGCAGCAGGACAATGACCAAAAACATCAAAGTAAATCTACAACAGCATGACTTCAAATAAAGAAAATCCACTTTTTGGAGTGGCCCAGTCCTAAACCAGACCTTAATCCAGAAGAGATGCTGTGGAATGACAGGAAGAGACCTGTTCACACCAGACATCCTAACAATATGTCTGAGCTGAAGCAGTTCTATAAAGAAGAATGGTTCAAAATTCCTCCTGAACATTGTGCAGATGTGACCACCAGCTACTGGATGAGCTTATTAGAGGTTATTACTGCCAAAGGAGGTTCCACCAGATATTAAATTCAAAGGTTCAGTTACTTTTTCCACCAGCACTGTGAATGTTTAATGGTTGTGTTCGAAATGGACAAAAAAGAGAATTGTTTATGCGATATTAGCTTAAGAACACTGTGGTGATCTACATTTGTGACATAGCGAAAGATTAGATCACATTAATGCAGAAAACCAGGTCATTCCAAAGGGTTCAAATACTCTCACCACTGTATAATACATTTTACCTCTTCTACACTACGTATTTGTGTGTGCATTTCCTGTTTATTTGTAAAATTATATGCTTTCCACTGTAAAATACATCAATCTAGGAGGTGCCCACTATCCAATTATTTAGGTTCTTCAACTCACTGTATAATCTTTATTCATCTCAGTATCATAAAGAGGTTCTATGGAGCTCTTTATTTCATTATATGTGTGTCAGCTTTCCTCACATACAGTATGAACTGAGAGAAAGTGAAAGATGAGGCTGTTTCCTGCTTTAAACCTGCTCACCTCCATCTCTTCACCACATTCTCAAGCATCCACACTGTTTATAAAATACTACACTATGCCAATCAAATAAACACGGTTTCCCGAGGTCAGCGCAATATCTGCAGGAATGAGAGCGTGGGGTAATGGATATTTAGTCATGGATGCTTCATAATAACAAACACATCATCAGCATAATCACCCGCAACACGAACAAACAAATCAACTCCCAGCTCATAGATCCTAGTAATGAGCAATGGAGAAGAAAAGGAGGCGCACTCAGCACTCATCAGCTAAGCTGTCATCCACAATACACTTGGGACAAGCTGAGTGATTGTACAATTTTCCCCCAGGCGTACTGTACTGTATTACATAAGCATATACATTTGCACTGTACCAACTCTGGTGGAAATTCAGAGCTTACCTTATCATCAATTATGACCAGGTCCTTGGGTTCTGTGCGGTCAATCTTCAGGACTCGATGTTTGGTTTGTGCCTGATTGCTCCCCACCAAAAAATACCTCTGGAAAGAAGAAAAAATCATGATTGCACTGTGGGTTATAAGTCATTTGGTGCAGATTATCACCAGTGCCTTTGCAATGTATCCTACATAGTTGGTTCTGGTAATAAGTGCATACTGCAGACAACCAATTTATGATTGTGTAATATTTTGTGCATATAGGTTTTCAACGCAAGAAGCTTTCTTATGGATGATATTCAGTTCAGACTTGTCTCTACCAACCAATTTCGAGAGAACACAATAGAATACACATTTCCAAATTCCAATAGACATGGACAGTCTCTGTTATTACAAGTATGGTATAGTGGATGTGGACTCTCTGTGGACACAACACAAGGAAGCTTCATAGAGTCCCATTGTTATAGTCTTAGTTTCTTCAGGCTTTTTTCTTACAACATTTTCTCTCCACAATAAGCTTCAAAGGTAGAAATGAATGCATCAGAAACCTGTGAAATGATACAAGAACTTCAATCCAGATATGTATCATATAAACTCCATGACTTTGAATGGAAGTGGAATTAGAGTAGCTACAGTCCAGAGTACATTTGGGCACAGCACATATTTGATCACAAAGCTCCATTCTAATATGCCCCTTGTTAAAATCAGTGTCTTCCCTGTATGTCTCTTTTTTTCATGTCATTATTTCTCTCATACTGGGCTGCAAGATGGCGAAAGAACGTTAAATTGGAACACCATGTATCAGTACAGTCCGCAACCATTAAAGTCATCTCTTCATGTTCCACACTTCCCAGTATCCTATGGAGCTCTATTTGTCCACAATAGTTAGACCACTGTTATCCAAGTGGGCTGAAAGGGGTTCAATAAGAAATTGTGATAACTCAACTGTGAAAAATGTTTTCCTGCTTTATTTTCTAAATGTTTGTGACTAGTGATGATGGACAGTAATCACACTTTCATTTTAACACCCGTGTACGTTTGGTTGTTGACAACATTTTTTAAAATGCATTGGAAAAACAAAGCAACACACTATTAGTAAAGTAGGAAGGAGGGATGCATAATAAATTGCCTTTCAAGTGCACATATTCATACTCAATGTGTAGAAACCTAATCCACCCTAGCGTAATATGTACAAATAATTTTGTCTGGTGAAAAGTAATTATTCTGACTGTCTAGACAACTGTATTCCCTGTAATTTACTTAAAATGGTTCATGGTAAATCAAAGTAGACTGGGCTATACTTGGAGCAGCAAGTCATCACAAACACTCTTTTGCTGCCATCTAGTGTTTGCTGACGGGCATGTGCAATTCCACAGGAGTTCTCCATCCTTTTCCACCCTCATGTTTACATACATTAACTTTTTTTAATGTCTGACAAGAACCTGTGAATTATATCAGATTGAAAACCCAGAATGTCTGGGATAATTTGTTCTGAATGTCCTGAGTAAATACTTGTGCCACAGTGTCTTTATAAGGCACTCCCATTAGAGCTGAGTAGTTCCTAGCTCCATTTTGCATTTCCAAAATGCAAATACGGGGAACTGTATGAAAATCAAGCAGGTTGCTGCTGATAGGCAGCAGGCATACTGAATCATCTATTCTTTGTCTCAAAGAAGTGTAAAAAATAAACTATATTGCTATAATCAGTACATTGCTCTATGTACTAATACTTACTGGTACGTATCAGGGCAACCAAAATGCAATCCGGAATAAGTGTTAAATGAGTTGCACTGTAATTAATTTGTTGCCTACTTGTACCCTACAAAGTGGAACTCAAACAGAGACTGAACAGACGTTTTTTGAATCATGATGAGACAGTCACAATGACAGCGAAAAGATTATGTCAAACGTACAGCTCTGGTTTCATACAGAACCATCCTCTGGATCCCACTGATGATAGCCGCTGACTGAGGCATCTTTATGTCTGTTTTCTCCAGTCACAATCCAGAAGAGACAACACAAGAGCTGCGGAGTGAATGTAAACACAATATGTAAGTCCATTACACTACATCATAAAACACCACAAGTGTTGCACATACCGTAATCAACGTTGATACTTATAGCTACGGTATGTGCATCTTTTTATTTTTGTCCCTCAGCATTTCCTAGCTAACGTTACTCACCAATAATTTAGCTAGCTAGCTGTGTTAGCCACAAATCGTCTCCAGTGATGATAGTATGCATCTTCCCTGGCAGTCAAAACAACAACTTTGCACGTTTTCAATGAATTAAATATGTCTGTAAGCCGCCAAAGTATTTTCGGCTAGCACTCAGGAGCATGCAACATTAATTTGTTTTAGTCAGGTGACTCATGTATGACTTGTGTTATCTCACGTCAGCTGATACGGTGCTTCGCAGAGCCAAAAAGTTCGAAAAACCGAAAATGCGATTAAAAAATAGAGGGTCCTCCTCCTTGACTTTTTGTCTATTCATACATAGATAACAACTATACGCGTTAATTATTGTGTACAACTAGGAATACACACACACCTCTTAACGCGGCAAACTTAAAGTAGAAAGCTTTAACTAGCTACAATATGGAAAGCCTCCCCTCCCTCACTTTTGTTTGTTAGTTGCTATGGTAATCGTGCTTGGTGACTGTTGACCCTGGATAACAAGGGGTTATATAAAGCTTGGTAGATTAATGTAGTAAATACTTGTTAACAAGCGATGATAAAAGTTTAAACTGGTAAAAATGGATGACGGAATGCCCCAAAGTAACGGTAAATAAACTTCTACTGAAATATAACAGCAGTTACTGTACCTAAATACCTTTTTTATCGGCACTTGAACCTTAGGTCGTAAAATAAGTTACAACTGACAGTTTGTTTTTAGTGTCTGACTTTTAATTCTACCTCTCTACTGATATTTAATAAGCTCATATGGACCGTTTAGTGGACAACCTAATAGAAGATGAAGCTGAGAGAGAGAACCTTTTTGCCAAACCCATCTGCTTCATCATAGTTGGAAGACCGGTAATTTACCTTTTTTCACCCTTTTAATTTAATATTATACTGGAGATTTAGAAACAAATGAAGTCATGTTTTGGCGATAAGAACGTATGAACATTGCTGGATGCAGTGTAAGTCTGAGTATCCACTCCTCAACCACATCCTGGAGTTTGCTGTCACCAGTCCTCAAAATTGAACCAAGACACACCCGAACACCGGAAATGTTTTTTCTAACACCTTTCATGTCATGTGACTTAATGACTCAATTTCAATTGTGTGGCATTTTATGTGACAGGGTGTTGGCAAATCCACCTTGGCCAAAAAAATTGCACAGTCTTGGAAGTGTATCTTGATTGATGGTAAGGAATTTCCTTTTCATACCAACATAATGTCTATGCACATCATGTGATATTTCCTATCTGCTTTTACAAAATTTCAGATACAGATCTGCTCAACACACACATAAAAAATAAAACAAAGCAAGGCATAGAGGTGAGTGATATCCTATTCTGTATCATGGTACAGGACGGTTAATTGTTCCTCTTGTGCGTCATATGTTTTCATGTATTCTTCATAGCCATTAATGCCTCTAATTTGCATGTCTGACAATTTTAGCTCCTAAATATCTTATCTGAGGGGAAAAGTATACCAGAGGACAATGTGCTGGAGCTGATTCTTGCCAGGCTTAACTCACCAGATGTGGACCACTATGGTAAATCATGTACTCAGGATGTATTTAATCAGGCATGCAAATAAACCTCTGGCTTTCCAAATTGTTTGTAGTTTGTAGAATGTGGTTAACTTAAAAAAAAAAAATTGATGTGTACTATGACCACCAACAGCAAGATGTCCTTCAAAACAGCAGTATTGGAGCTCTGCCACTGCTTGTATTTGATTAATCTATGTGTTGTAATACAGGATATGTGCTGAGCTGCCTGCCATTCATGTCGGAAGAGTGTCTGAAGATTCATGAGCAGATTGAACTGATCAAAAACCTCAAGCTAACACCTGATTTCATCATTAATATCAAGGTTAACATCATATCATATTTATAGCTATATTTACAGCTCAAGTTAGCAATATCTGTTTTTTTGAATGAAATGTGTCAGTGTGTCATTGGTTTAATTATGAACGTAGCACCCTCATCTTCCACTAGTGTGCAGACAAGGACCTGGCCCAGAGGCTGTCAGGTTTGAAACAGTATCCAGAGACAGGGCAGCTGTACAACAGGGAACAGTGGAGGCGTGATGAGGTGTACATCAACACGAAAGAGAACAAGGATGAGGAAGTGGAGGATGAAGAGGAGAAGGTATGGTTCAAGGGAAAACACCTCATGCCACTGTGTTTAACCTTTCCTGTCTTTAGAGTAATTTGGTTGTGATTGTATTCCAGTAATGCATATATAAATATTCTTAATTTCCCATTCTGTTGTATTATTTGGAAACATTTGGGTTTTGCACATTTTAGAGGACTCTTTTTCATTCTAATCAAGCTTATCACACCTATAAACTTTAAACCTTAAACAAGACAGCTGCCAAGCCATGATTTTCTATCATACTTGTAGGATTTGTTTTGTCTGTAGGCTGTTGAAGAGGAACTCCAAAAGGATATTATTGATCAAATGGTGTGGATACCAGAGAATCTGGCCAGAAATGCTTTTATCAGAATCAACATGTACAAGGATACCATGCTCAGACCACTGGAGGTGAGTTACCTGGGACTGCACAACCTCTGAGTGGCTCACAAATGAATTAAGAAGTTAAATAAACTACTCATCAGTCATCAGTGCTGTCAGAGATATTGACTCAAAAGTCAGTATTATTTTTCAAATGCCAAATCAGAGTGATGATATGTATCATCCCTCTATGTTTGGTGAAAATGGAGCCAGTGTCTCTGAGATATTAAAAAGAATTTACTATCCAGCATAGAGATGTAAAACCATTTCCTGTTTTTTCATAATCCGAACTGTGGCATCATCTGAGATATTACCACTGATGCAAAGATGCTTAATACTGCTTAATCCAAAGGTCTTTTGTTACAAACCAAGTTTACTGTAATGTTCTGTTATAATAATAATAAAATCAGATCAGGGTTTAAATGAATTGCCCTACTGACAAAAATATATTTTTTAAAACTCACACTAAAACTTTTAGTTAATTTTTTTTTTTTCAGGACTACATGACAGACCACAACCCCATCTACTTGTTGGAGCTGGATGGAAACAACACACCTGAACAGCTACACTTGGTAAAAACACTAAGGATGAATTAACTGTCTTTGGCAAACACATGCTACAATATCACAAACTATATAATAAGTAACAAAATTTTGCATATCATATTCTGTTGAATTGATTTTGTCACCATAATAAGTTTTTAATTAGTAGCCAATATTAGTCTGGTTCTGGCTTAAATGGGTGAAGCATGTGTGTGAGCATAAATGTGCATGTATTCACTGGATTGATGTGAATTGTTTTGTCTGTAGTCTGTAATGTCCCGTCTTGGATCCATGGCAATAAAGCGTGTCTCCATTCCCATACTCCTCCGCCAGGCTGATGACGAAGAATTGCCAGAAGATGTTGACACGGTCTGACATTAATGATCATATTTTTTATTTTTCATCAAAACACAGTCAGTTATGTAAATGCTTTGAAACCACCAGTATTTCAAACAACTTTGAACAATAAACACGCATGTGATTCTCATTTAACTAGAAGTAGTTCAATCCTGAGTTCATCTCTTTTCCAGGAGGACCTGCTGAGAATTATGTCGTCTTCCAGGGAAGTGGCCCCTGGCTTTAGGTGGAGAAGGAGCCGCTGGGGCCGAACCTGTCCTGTTGCTCTGAAGGAGGGCAAGATCATTCCTGGCAAGCCTGAATATTCTGTAGGGTGGGTGCTTTTTATAGGCTGTGGCCTTGTGAAGAAAGTTTACAGTGAGACTGTGCAATACTGTCAGCCAACTCTCATGTCAACCCCAATATAGCTTCCAGGACAAACTGTACATCCTCTCATCTCAAGAGGCCTGCCAGAAGTTTGTCAAAAACCCCAGGCGGTATTTACTTCCTCCAATGCCCAGGCCCCCTTGTAGGGTTTCCATCATTGGGCCCCCTCAAGCAGGAAAGAGCACCCTATGTAAGCTTCTAGCCCAGCACTACAACACATCAGTGCTTGACATGGAGGAACTGGTGCAGCCAGTTCTGGCCAAGGTTGAACAGGAGAGGCTTGACAAAATCAAAGAGGAGACTACACAGGTCGCTATAGAGAAAATCAAGATGAAGATGGAGCAGGATAGTGGACAGAGTTCAGGCAAGGATCTTTTACAGTCTTTATTTTTATACTGTCATAGAGTGGTCTAATGATGCTAGATTGTTACAAGCTGGGCATTTAGTATTAAATGTCAGAGTTTTTGTGCTAATGTCTTCTATTGTTCTCAGTGACAGAGGATCATCCAGAGGTGAAGGTCATGGTGCTTAGTGCACTGGAGGAAGCCAAAAAACTAAGCACATCTCCCCTTGGCCTGTATGCTGAGGCACTGGCCAACTGTATAAAAGAGGTATGTCAAACATCTAAACATGGCAGCTGCATTAACACAAACTTTTTATTCTTAAAATTTTTTATGTAGACATTAAGATCCAGGATAGCCAGGATTTGAGACTATTGTTAGAATGTTTTAATTTATTGAATTTATTTTTTAGAAACCATTGACAATATTAAACATAAATGTTGCCATTTGATGTTAATAAGGTTGATGTTACAGATGGAAGAGGCAGACACAGGTGCAGAGGTCAGTACTGGCTGGGTGCTTGACAACTTTCCCATGAACTTCTCCCAAATGGATGCCTTACAGCAAGGTGAAATCCTGCCAGACATCCTCTTTTGTCTCAAAGACAGTGGTGGAAATCAAGGTAGGAGACACAGAGACAAAGCATCACAAACAAGTTGCTGTTTTATTTAAATATATAGACTTGTGTCATTGTTCATGCATCACCGCACTTCAAAGTGTTGTTCAATGTGAACAGTTTTGAAGAGATTGTATGAGATGAACAAGGAGAGCGTGGACAAAGCTATAAGGAGGAGGTTGCAGGACGAACAGTCTGAGAAGGAGAAACAGGTCCCGTAAGTGCAGATAAAATGATGCGGTGACATTTTGCAGTTTGTTATATCAGAGCAGGATTGTTCACGCATCAGTTCTTTTTCTGCTTCATTTCTCTCATTAGAAACCAAAAGGAGCAAGAATCAGAGGTGCTTTCAAATCTAGAGACAGTAGATGAGGAAACTGATGGTATGTATTATCTGTCTATGAAGCAGCTTAAATGCCCATACCCTCCATGAGCCTGTAAAGTGAAATCAGCATTATTTTTGTTGTATTCTTTTTCTATGCAGAAAATCCTAAGCAATCTGAAACCACCAGGCCTATATGTCCTGACATAATCAAAAAGGAAGGTGAGACATTTTTATTAAATGAAATTTAATAAACACAAATTCTGACTCATCTCTCAGTATTTACAAACTTCTATTCTCACTCTCTCTCTCCTTCTCCCTCTGTTTGCTCAAGCTGTGATACTACCTGGTCATTGGGAGTTGGGTTATCCAGATGGCCCAGAGATGAATGACTATAAACTGCAACTGCAACAGTTTGTGTCTGAATGGGAACAAATGCAGTCAGCTCTAAATGTTACCTGCTCAGTACTGGAGATTGATGGCAAAAGCCCTGAGGATTTGCTTCAAGAGATGGTCTTTCAGATGGAGAGTGAGTGTAACCTCAATCGCGGTCTTTCATTTTTGTTACATTACACACCTCATGTCTTTCAGTTTATGAAAATATACAGTGAATAAATGTATACATTTAAAAAAAAAAAAATTGTATTGAAAAGGGAAGAATACTAGTTTCCAAGACTGTTGGTATGCAGCATTATTTTTGATAGGCCTTTTAAGTGAGAGGGGAATAGAAAGACGAGGAGAATGCAAAGGCAGAGAGTGGAGTTGATGCCTTGGTGATAATTACAATTTTTCTTATGTTACTCTCTTGGGGAAGCAAATAGTCAATATCAGTTAGAGATTAGGTTTTAAGGTTTTGTAGAGTGAACTTATTTTGGAGATTTTAGATTGTTAGTCCTACAATTTTCTTTGTGTCCATTTGTTTTTTTTTTATTCTTTTAGTCCTTTGTCATAAATCAGCCTTGTTCTGGGAGTACTAGACCATTTTGTCTCTGTTTCATGTCTGTGTGATAGTTTTAGTGGGATAGAGAGAGCTTAGGTAGATCCTTGGTTCGACAGAAAAACAGAATGTCCCTACCATCACCTCTTTGATGATGTGCCAACTATGCTGCTGTGTCCGCTACAGAGCCCTTCAAGTATGTGCCCTGGGAGCTGTCAGCGGTGGATCTGGACGAGGAGGCAGAGGATTTGGAGGCCCTAGCAGAGCTTGAGAGAGCCGAGGAAGGCAGCAGTGACAATGATGCAGCAGAGGAGGATGAAGTCAGTAAACTGAGAGTTCTTTTCATTTTAAAGCCCCAATAAGTGACTTTATCTGAATTTATATGCTACGGGTTTATAAGTGAAGGGACTGAAGATACAGGGCTGTTTTACTGCTTTGTTGACAGATGTTTATAATATAAACAAACCTTAAACGGGATCTCCTCCCTCTCAATGAAACCAGGGGGACACAACAGCCAAGAGATTATTAGGTGATACTCATCATTTCTGCCCTGTGGCCTTAAAAAATCAAAACGTCCTGTTGCCCTGTACGGAGGAAATTGCAGCCAAGTACCGCGAGAAGACCTTCTACTTCTCCAGCCCAGAAGCAAGAGACGCCTTCCTTCAAAACGCTGCACAATTTGTTGCAAAGACTGAGCCTCTCAAGGTAAAAGCTGACATGAGACAAGAAAGAAAATAGTAAAATAAACAAAAAAAAAATCCTCACAATATCTTATCTTCTTCTATCTAAGCCTCCTGCCCTGCGGGTCTTTTTGCTTGGCCCCCGTGGGTCAGGCAAGACCTCTAATGGTGAGTGGCTCGCCCAGCAGCTCGGTCTCTTCCATATTCAGTTCAGGGAGCAGCTCCAAATGCTCATCATGGCCAAGACAAAGAAGCGAGTGCCTCATACTGATGAGGAAGAGTCTCAAGAGGAGTCTCCTGAGGACTTGGAGGCCCTGATACAAGAAGCCAGGGGGGAGGGCGAAGAGGAGGAGATGGAAGATACCTCTGCCAATATGAATGACATGGAGGTCAGCCTCAATAAACTGTATCTCTAGCAAGATTTCCAATATTATGATGCCTCAGATCACTTTCTCGTTAGAACCAAGAGTTGATGAATTATGATATCTTCTGAGTCTGGATTATTGTGTATTTGCTTTTGTGTGTCTGCAGCAGGAAGTGGTACTGACTGATGAGGAAATGGCCATCAAAGCCTACCTCTCTGATGGAGAACCTCTGACTCCACAGATTCTGGACATGGTTATTGCACCATACTGGAAACAAGAACCATACATGTAGCTGTACACACGCACAAAACCACATTTGCTGTCTTAATGAGTTAGATGAGAAGATTGGTACCACCCTCATATCTATGTGCTAAATATGAAGCTATTAGGTTTATGCTAAGTTACCTTAACTTATACATATACATTACATGTATTCATTATATATGCATTTTCTGTATATTTATGTGCATTGTTTTTACGTAGTTATGGTGTGTGTTTGTGTTTTTTTTTTTTGTGAATACCTGACAGCACAAGCTATTTGCTGACCTTAAAATTCTATCTCTTTCTTGCAGGTCCACAGGTTTTATTTTGGAGGGCTTCCCCCATCATCCTGATGAGGTGCAGTACATGTTTCAGCAACAGCTTTTCCCTGACATTGTGGTAATCATATCGGTAGATGTCAGAGATGTTCAGAAACGTCTGTTGCCGACATACCTGGAGAAGTGGCGTGAGCGCCGCAACCACCGTGAAGCACAGCTGAACCTACTTCGCGATCTGCATAAGAAAAACAGGGTAAGCAAGTTGGTAATAGTATTTTTCGGCCAACTTTATTATGAAGCATTAATTGTACTGTCTTGTGTAAATATGTAACACAATTACTTTGATGTCATTGGTACAGGAGGAGAACATTGTCAAGAGAAGGGCTGAGCTCATGGCAGAGAAAGGTGCTACGGCAGCCAAAACAAAGGTAAGCGATCTCATCATAACCACAACAGTGATTCCCTCTCCTTCACTAATTAACCGCTCCATCTACTCTTTATCCCCTAATCGAGTAGTTTAGGTATCACGAGGCTGAGGAGGAGGACGATGAGGAGGAAGAAGAGGAGGAAAAAACTGCAGACAACATAGAGGATGAGATAGAGGCCATGCTGGAGGAGGAGTTTCCCTCAGAAGAGGATAACGAAGACAAAGAGAACGAGGAGACTGAGGAAGCTGCTGCTGAGAGGCTGGAAGTGGAGATAGAAGAGCGTTTTGTGACAGATGAAAACAACCTTGTTACTATAACGGTACAAAGACAACCACACAAACCCATGATGGCACTTAACTAGCCAAACAACGATATGGTTACCACACCCTTACCATTTCTGCTATTATTTCATGTTAAGGACAAACTACACTGTAAAGAAGTTGTACTTTACTTACCCTCATATATTGTGCTTTGTGTTTTCTATAATCAGGAGCTGTTGAGTGAGCAAAACATACCCAGTGTCTCAATCAGTGCATCTCGCAAGCTTCAAATCGTCCGGCAGCAGCTGCTCCAGAAAATGCAGCCTCTGCTGACTAACAGGGAGTCACTCTTCCAAAAATGTCAACCCATCTCATACAGCCTGGCACAGAAGCTGCTGCTCTCCACTTACAAGTTACACAGCGCCTTTGGCTGCTGGGATCCCATCAAGGTATTTATAATCCAAGAATGGCCCCGTCACCAGTGGGATCAGTCCGTGATTTTTGTCATGAATAAAAGTTCCAGAAGTTATTTCAGATATAAGTACACCTAGTTTCTCAGCAGAAGTCTCAAATTTCCTTTACATAGTGTAATGTATTGTAACATGTTGTTTATCCACACACAACCCCCTCTACAGCAATACAAGGAGAGAGACTTAATCCAGCCCCTGCAGTGGCCTCTCAATACCACATATCCCCTGATCTTCCATCAGTATATCTACTTCTTTGCGTCTAAGGAGAACCGCAACACATTTATGGTCAACCCCTTAAAGTACCTTAGGCAGTCCAAGCCCACCCCATCCCTCCCTGTTAAGATGGCAGTCCTTGGACCACCCAAATCTGGTAAAACGGCTGGTAAGACTCACAGCAGTTGCAAAGTTTCCACTTTCTCATTTGCATATCCCTTTCTTTTTTTTTCTTAATTTTTGGTCTTCTCTCCATCTCTCCAGTGGCAAAGATGTTTGCTCAAAAATATGGCTTGGTACAGCTGTCCATTGGCAGTGTTATGCGTATGGTGCTCAACACTCAGGAGCACACTGATCTGGCTGTCCAGATGAAAAAGCACCTCTTCCAGGGCCTTGTTGTACCCGATGAACTGGCCATTCAGTGTCTGGAGGTGGCGCTCATGAGCTCGGTCTGCAGCACTCAAGGGTAAGACAGGTTCCATTCTTATGTTTATTAAAACTCAAGGCCTGAAAAGGTCCTAACTTTTACCTTAGTAACATCACTGCCATGTGCCATGTTATGACTGTCATGAAACCTGCATAGACTTGAGGATGTTTTTTCCAGGTACGTGTTGGATGGCTTTCCGATGACACTTAAGCAGGCAGAGCTTATGAGTTCTCGGAGCATCATCCCCATGATAGTAGCTGAGCTTGAGCTGGACACAGTGGAGGTCCTGAAGAGAGGCCTTGAGGACAAGATAAAGTCCAACAAGTGAGACAACACTTACACACAACAAAAGGAATAATAAATACACAGAAATCGTGTGTATTTTCAAAATCACAAGCCTTCAAAGTGAATGTAATAAAAATGTCTCTTCCTCTCATTATAGGCCTCACCTGATGCATGACAGCTCTGAGATCCTCCACATTCGTAACTCCTGTTACAAGCAGGAGGTGGAGCTGGTGAAGAAACACTTCCAGCAACAATATCAGAACTGGATTCTGCTTGATGGCTTGAAGAGCAAATGGTGGATCTGGAACAGTATTATAAAAGAAGTCAGTATCAGCATGAGATACATCCACAGTTACCTGGATAGGGTACGCAGCGGTAAGTATTAGAAACTCAACCAGGTATCAGCTCAGCAGAGCTTTTTATACCTGAAGTAAGATAACAAATAAATATATAGCATAGCAGTTTGCAATAAATAACTTATAAATGCAGCTGTGGCAATTAAATGAACAAAATAAAACTTAAAAAGTTTTTTAAAAAGAGATAAATTAATTTAAAAAGTCAAACAAAAAGTGAGTAAATAATAAACTTAAATCTAGATCACTCTCATGATGACAAACAATAGATCCTCTTCCACATGCATTTTAATTTTGCAGGTCAAGCAGCCTGCATCAACAGGCTGTGCATCACACCCAAGGAGCTGCACCATCGGCTTGGAGAGTTTGGCCATTACTGCCCAGTCTGCCTGGCTCTACATCACCACCTGGGAGACTGCTCAGAAATTTCAGTTTTGATTCATGCAGCTGAGCACAGGGGACAATATTACAAGATGTGTGGCGAAAACCATTTAAAGGTCAGTGTAGTGGAGCTTTAGGACACTTTACAACACACAGATATCAAATGTTCGAAGGTGGAAAGTTGTTGTCTGCTTTTAAGATATTTTAAATTCTGTGTGTGATTCCTGTCATTACTCAAGGGATTTCATTATGTCTATATCATGCTCTGCGATTATAAAGGATAACATTTATGTTAACTGTGACTGAATCTGAATGAATGTATTGCTTTCTCAACCACAGAAGTTCCTGTCCACTCCAGATCAATTTGTGACTCCTGGCTGCCCAAACACTCTCCCAGAGCCCCACCTGCTCCCAAGAAAGCTAACTGAGATTCAGGTCAAGAACAGGTTCCCACAGCAAGTTGAGATGAAGGGCTTTTGTCCCGTTACTTACCTGGATGGAAAACAAAGGTACAGTATTCACCCGTATAAAGTCTAACTCTAACCATATCTCACATATGTCTAAATACAAAAAAATGTGTACACCACTAGATTCATTATTTTGGCAATTGTTTCTCCTCAAGTTCCAGCTCCACATAAATAGTTAATTGTGAAATATGGATAATAAGCCACGGTTTCTTATGTCTTTTCTTAGACACGTCTAGGACCCAAAATAAAACAACAAATTTATAAGGGGTCCCTGGTCCAAGACTGAAGATTCTACATAAACTGCATTTTGCAAGCACATAATGTAAACCTAATGTGAATAATAATGACACAAAATAGTTAAAATCATACATTCAGAAAACACTACATGCCAACACAAACAAAACATGTTAAGAAAACTTAATTAGTGTCAGATCTCTTCTTACTGCCCTCAACTCTTTACTATATTTGTTAGTTTTCTATTCATGGAAGGCTACTTTGTTCCCAGGTATGAAGCCCTGGTTCGAGGAAAAATGGAATATGCTGTGGAATACAGAGAACGGATCTACATTTTTGAGACAAAGCAGAAACAGGACAAGTTTTTGAGGTTTGGTGCTATCTCTGCATATGCGAATCTCCACTCTACTGCTACTAAAATAATGAAGATAGTCAACATTAATTTGCTTCGCTGAACTTTGGTCTATTCAGTAAAACTTCATGTTCACACATTATTTATCAAGGACTCCTGAAACCTACTGGGACCAGAGGCTGCCCAGTAAAGTTCCTCCTCTTTGTGAGCCTGTAGCCCTCACCTCCCTCCCAACGTTGGGTTACTTGGAGCAGGTCAAACACACTCAAACACACCTAAAAAAAATGCTGTATTAGTCCCATCGGCATAGATTTTATAATATCAACATTTGATATAAGTGCATTTCTGAAGTGTTTCCCTGAGGTATCTGCTCTGCTTTGAGTGAAGTCTGTATTTTTTAGGGTGTGGCAGTAGCAGTCATCAAGGCCATGACAGCTGTTGGGTGTCTCAAACCAAAGCATCCCTTCCTCTGTATACAAAGATCAGCACTCCTATATGTGGCCTTCTATCTGAAAGGTAAACAAAATTCAAGAAAATTAAACATATGTGTACTGCTGAATTTGAATTAGAAGGATGTTAGGTGCTCTTTTCTTAGATATGTGTTTGTGTTTTGTTTTTTGCAAGACCTTTCTTCAAAATGAATAGTTTTAATAAAAAAACATTTTTCTGTTGCAAGTAATTCTTTACTTTTGCTTCAGTAACTTTTAAAATCCAGATCTTTCAATTGTGATACTGCATTTTTCCACATGTATCGTTTCTTTTATTTGTGTAATAAGTGAAAGCTCACATTTTTACAGCTTTCAACCACAAGAGCACAGACTACACTCGCCAGAAGTACAAAAAAAAGCTGGCCTTGTTTGAAGAGAACTGTGCGCTCATTCCCTACCTGAGCTCAACAATGAGAGGGAACTACAGGCCCCCCAGTGAACGTCCCATTGACTTTGAGTTCAAACTTAACAGGTTCCTGGCCTTGGAAGACTTGCCAAGAGCCAACTGTGTGCTGTAACTGTGCCTGTTTTGCACTTTTGACAATCACAGTATGTATGCTTTGATGACCTGTGTGACAAAAAAGTAATTTGAAATATATTTTAAATGTAACCTCTTTTAAGAGTTTATTTTATTGAGAGTTATCTGTAATAAAGCATCCTTCATTGTCATCAGGGCTAGAAAAATTATTTTGCCTGGGTGAATCTTGCTTCTTCGTAGCTTGGCCATATACTCTTGTAAACACTGAACCTTACTTTTCATGCATTGCATTTTACATGAAAATTAAATATATATTATGCAAGCAAGTTATGAAGAATATGATGGACTGAATATTGTCCTCTTTCAGTAGTCAGTAGCTCTGTTGCAGTGTTCAGTGTCTGCCATCTGCACGTCAGGCTTCCCTAAAGGTTGGAGAGTCCACACATTTCACAGTTCAGTTATTAGCAAGCGTTCAAAAGTACACATGAAACGGCTAAGATCGATTGGTTATTTCATTTTCATTCATTTTCATATATATATTAGACAAACAGTGATTACATTCATTAATGTTTACTACATATATAAAAAGTCTAACTTTTAAATAAATAAATACATAAATAAATAATTAAGTAAAACATTCATCTCGTTTATTCGCGCGAGATTTCCAGGGGAATAGTGAGCGCGAATTCGATGAAAAATCCAGTGGTCCTTCCCATCGTCAGCTGTTGTGCCTGACTGCTGTAAAGAAGGTAAGTAGTGACACCATAACCATATGATATCACTCCTCTCAGTTTCTTAAAACGACGCAAAACCTGCCACAAAATACTCAGCTGCTCTCCGGCTATATAGTAACTTTCTGTTTAGCGTGTTGCGTTAGTTAGCCTGCTAAGCTAGTTCTGCAACGTAGCTAACCTACTATTGTTGTTTTCTTTAACTTAACTTGCAGCCACTACTACTATTACTAAGTCTCAATCACATTAAGGTCCCCGAAAGACGTTACGCCGGTTAACAAAGCCAAAAAATGTGACTATAGTGTCTTACACGGAGAATGAGACTCGCCTTTTGAAGTTGAACTATCAACTAACATGAGTCTGTGCTAGTTATATAGTGTGTGTTTTCTTTCACTTTCCTTTCTCCCGAAAAGTGGATTGGTGAAGATGTCTAAAAGAAAAAGCAGCTCTGTCAGTGAGAACCCCAACAAACGGGTCAGACCTGAGCAAGCGGAGGAAGAGGAAGATAAAGATGCCGCTGATGGTGACCAGGATGATCCTCTAATGAAACAGGTACATGTATGTTCACTCACTGTCAGGCTGTAAGCATTCAAGTTTTCGTCTCTATAAAGACATTTTATAATTTTTTTGTTTCCTTTTTCTTCTTTTCCTTATTTCATGAGAAAAAAATAAGAGCAGTGTAGCTTTATTACGTTTGTATCATACTCCATATGTTGCATGCATGGGAGTGAAGTGACAGCAATAACTTCTGTCTAGTTGCAAAGTGCTGGTGAGGTGGTGAGTGATGCAGGGATTGTGGAGAGCATCACGTTGAAAAACTTCATGTGCCACTCACTCCTCGGCCCGTTCACTTTTGGTTCCAATGTCAACTTCGTCGTCGGCAACAATGGAAGTAAGTGAAACAATTTAACAAGTGTGGTATTCCAGTAAAGAGAATTGGCAAGGTATCTAGATGTTTTGAACTGAAAATAAGAGAAATCCTTGTTTGCCACCCCAGAAACTAGGTTTTGCAGAATTGTCTGTTACAATGGCAACTGATGCCCAAATATAACCTAACTTGTTATGTAGGAGGTTGAAATGATCATACCTCTTTTACCTATTTTTTCTATTTACCAGGAAGCAGAAACGATCTCTCCTCACAAAAAATTTTTTAGTAGTTTCACATTTATCTCAGACCCATGTTACCAAGATTCTAAGAGATGAGCACTGATAGAATTAACTAATTAGTTATTACCCACAGTGTGAGTTTCGTCTCATTAATTCCACAGTGAACAAAAATGAAGAATGAAATATTGGTTTTGGTTTTGTTTTGTGATTCTTGATTGTTAAATGTTTTCTTCATTCATATTTGTTTAATATGTGCTGCTCTGTGGCCATTAAATTCACAAGTGTATCTGTAAATAGCCATTATTAATTGATGTGATCTGTGCTTGACCTCTTGTATCTGCAGTTTTAAGTTGTGCAAGTGCATTTATTTTGAATGATCATGTCAGCTTAAACCTAAATCATGTATTTATGTAAATTTAGGTATACTACAGGTTTTACTACAGATTACCATTTTGCTGTGATACCCTCTGTTTTGTGTCTGTCTTATCTTCCATTTAGTTCTTCTGTTTATTACACTGGTTACATTTTCTTTTTTTTTTTTACAAACTGCTTGTGTGACAGGTGGAAAGAGTGCCGTCCTGACAGCTCTCATAGTTGCTTTAGGTGGGAATGCGCAGGCCACAAACAGAGGATCATCCCTCAAGGGTTTTGTGAAAGAAGGTGAAAGGTAAACGTTGTGTCAGTTATTATTCTACGAATATGTCCTTGTGGTTCTTTCCACTCAAACTCCCAACTTCCTTGTTTACAATGTTGGGCGCGGCACACTGACTATTCTTAGGAAAAGAAGGCACTATAAAATTGACTGCATCTGTTGTCTTTAGAGTGTGTAGGACTCTCATATCCCATCATAAATGTGAAATTGTATGATGTGTAGTAACGCTCAACAGATTTAAAGTATGTCACTGTGTCACCTGTGTTTCCGCAGCTCAGCTGATGTATCGATTACCCTGCGTAACAAAGGACGGGATGCTTACAAACCTGAGGTGTACGGTGCAGCCATCATTGTAGATCTGAGAATAACACGTGAAGGGTTGAGAACCTATAAACTGAGGAGCAAATCAGGTAAAGACCATGAAAGTTTATGGATTTCTCATTTACAGTATTTTGTGAAGAGAACACTGCTATAACTTGGTACAACAAAATACAGTTTCATATTTCCACCAAGTAAATTTAAGGTTGAACATCTTTTAACAAACAACAAAAAGGAGTTTCATTTATTTAATTTATTTCACAATTACAAAACACTGCTGAAGAGTAAGAGTATAAAAGGAATAAAAGGACAAGACAAAGTTTGCAATATTAGTGTGCAAGTGTAACACTTCCATTCGCTCGCTGAATAATTCTCATAAAGTGTTAAGGATTCATAAGCTTTTTTTCTCCTCTTGTAGGTCAAATTGTTTCAACCAAAAAGGAAGAGCTCCTGTCCATCCTGGATAACTTTAATATTCAGGTATGAGCAATGCAAGTCTTGTTCAGTACAATGTTGTTTAAACTTTATTATGACAAAATGAAACCATGTGGAATAAACCTGTGTTTCTGTGTTGGTGAGAAGGGGTCATTGTTCAATTGTTTTCATCCAAAGGTCAATAATCCTGTGTCAGTTCTGACTCAAGAGATGAGCAAATACTTCCTACACTCTAAAGGAGAGGGGGACAAGTATAAGGTTTGTCTAGTAATTACATATGACTACATTTTTAAGTGAGAATCTGATGTTCTTGTGAACTTTGTTTTTTTTTAATTTTCATTCCTTCTGCTCAGTTTTTCATGAAAGCTACACAACTGGACCAGATGAGAGAGGACTTCGTCTACATCAAAACCACCAAGCATGTCACAGAGGATAAAGTGGGGCAACATAGTGAAGTAAGAATTAGTCTGCCTAACATTTTCACTTTAACTATATTAATACTATAAGTTTAAGAGTTTAATGAATACATGCTTAGGCATCATTGTGGATAGAATTTGTAATTTTTAATTATTAATTCAGTAGTTTAGCTAGACAACCTAGCTAGTTTTATTTGACCATGTATGTTTTTGTGACTGTTACAGTGCTTGAAAGACTTGAAGCGGAAATACCTGGAGAAAGAGGACCGTTACAAGAACCTATCATCACTTGATGAAATGCATACCAAACTGGAGGAGTTGCAGAAGCAGATGGCCTGGGCTTTAGTAAGATCATTTTGCCTTTTTTTTTTTTTTCTCTGTCTCAGTGATGTCGGATTAGTGCAAAAATTATTTAAAAGATGATTCATCTAAATATTAATGGCTGCGAGTGCCTGTGTAAAATTGTACAGGTGACAGAGATGGAGAAGGAGTTGGAGCCGATGAAGGAGAAGCTGCGGTCAGACAGACAGTCCACTGAGAAGTATGATGAGAAGGTGGACGAATGGAAGGTATAACACTTCTTTAGTATTCACCATAAAATCAAGGGTTCAAGCAGCATATGTTTGATTCTCATCATCACAAATATTTTTCATTTTTTAAAGATAACACCAGAATCATTAAGTGTGCATTTTTAGTATAACCTACAATTACTAGTAAATAAAGAACTACTACTTTTGTTTGATAGCTCACACCATAATTGGCACATGTATAGCCTTTAACCCCCTACTTCACTGATCTGTTTTTATGTTATCACGCAGAACAAGGTGGAGGAGGCTGAGAAGAAGTACAAGCAGATCCAGGAACAGTTGGAGGGGATCACCCAGCAAGTCCAGGAGCTCCAGCCCAAATGTGCTGAACTCAAGGCTGAGGCCCAGAGACGCAATACTCTTCTCAAGACCAGTGAGGTCAGGTTCTTACGATTTGTCTGTAATGATACTTATCTCTTGCACTGCCTCACTTCTTGTTATCAGCCACATCAGTTTGCAGTTTCAGTTGCTAACAACTACAGTTGAGTAATGTAATCCAGGTAAACCTAATATTTTTGAGCGACGGTGTCTACAAAAGAAAAATCTGTCTCCGTCTAACTTTTTATCTTTTATTGTTATCATAGTGACACTTGGTTTGCAACTCTGTCATTGTTTCTGCTCTTCATTTATGTGTGCACTCTAGGTCACTGTCCACCGATGCAAAGCTAACCTTAGAGACCTGGAAAAGGACAAGGTTCAGTTGTCCTCTAGGATAAATGATCTCAAACTTAGGTACGACTTCATCCTGTTTTCATGTGTTGCATGCAAGCTGATATATGTTTTAATTCTATGCTTTTCCTCCTTCTAATATTTGTTGTCACATTTTTATTTAAATCTCTCTAG